ACATCTGGCGCACGACCAGCTTCATATGGAGTCAGTGGCTTGGTCACATGTCGTTCGCTCTGGGCGACCCGGGGCACGGGTAGGATATGATAGGGATCGGGACCCTGGCGTGCTCATCCGTTGATTCGTTACTGAAGGCCGTGGTGACTTTGATCAATAAACACCACTTTGCACCTCGCCAGAATCTGTCGTTGTGTTACGTGTAGCTGCGCGGTGTGGGAGGCAAGCACGCAGACATGCACGCTGCAACCTGCTGCACCCGCTCGGCATTCTGTTGTATCAAAGCTTAGTGGCCACGGATATCGCCGTCCATAGAGCTCTGCTCAAACCGCAATGCTGCCAGATGACTGAAGGGTCGAACGGTCATCGAAGTATAATTATTGTGGATATACTACTCCGGAGATTGGGTCGTGCCGCGAATGATCGTGCCAAAGTCGACGTTCGGCATGATTTCGCGGGTTCCCCATGGTTGGAAGCTATGAGGCGCTGTGCTGTAGCATTGTCGTCACATGTCGGCGAGGCTGGATCGCACGAATACACAGGGTGTACAATCCGTCCATCTGGGATCGTACGGGGCGAGCCCTGTTGTGGAAGCATCAGGCGTCGGCTACGACTCGGCGAGGCTGACCTATCCAAGGTTGGCATTGACCCGCATCGCCTCAATCGAAGTGTGGCGGCTGGCGGCACTGCGCGAAAGTAAAATTGGAAGCTTGCTGGGGTAGCTGTCGAAGGGCTGTTCTGTCTTTGTTTGCGCTGAAAAAACGAACATCTGAAACCTCTTCTCACTAGCGTCATTAGCCTCGCGATCACCGACGCGTCTACGGTGCACCGACCTCGGGACGCGTGCACATCATTGCACGCGTAGCCAGCTTGCCACACACTCACACTCCAACCGGAATTACACAATTGGCGACGTCACCTTGGCCACCGCAGGACATCATCATTCGTCTCAGCAAGCGCGAGGCTGGATCATGTGGTCTAGCTTCCTTTCCCGAGCGCGTCCTACCCCTGAGAGAACAACACCTGCAGTGCAGTGCACGGTCGACACGCCGGAAGATGTAGCTGCATCGGTGGAAGACAGACATGTCGATATGTCGGAGTTGCAGCCGACTATTGTTCTCGACGATAGCGGCGACGCCACCCTATTGGTCGGCACCGATTCAGCTGGTCTTCAGCCGGTCCAGGTATCTTCGACAGCAATGACCTTGGCGAGCCCGGTATGGAAAGCAATGTTCGAGCGACACCGGAAAGAAAACGGCGCCATTGAGGTGCCGCTCCGGGACGACGAAGTAGATGCCTTGTACATTGCACTTCGAATCGCTCATCTGCGCTTCCATGAGATACCACGAAAAGACGGCCTTACAATCGATGCCCTACTCGAGCTCGCTGTCGTGTGCGCCAGATACGACATTGTCAAGCTCGTTCGGCCGTTCCTGGATCTCTACGGATGGGCGCAATGCCACTATCCCGATACGGACTCCGGAGAACGATGCGATCCCGGCTGGTTCTATGTTGCCTGGACTTTTGGCTACAAGGACAGCTTTCAGCGTCTTACTCGGTTTACAGTGAAGAAGATCGGGCTAGATGACGACGGGAATGCTATCATGGACGATGGCCAAAAGCTTCCAAAGTATATGCCTCCAGGGCTTCTGGGTATGAGAATCTACAAACCAATCGAAACAATCGTGCAGATATGCTGACCAACCTTCAAGAGCGCATGTTGCAAATCAGGGAAGCTACACTTTCGGCTATGCTGGCTGTCCTCTACGATATTCTAGACGACATCATACACGTGTATGTCTGTCAAGTCGATGAATCATGGGAGCCCAAGTGTCGAGCCATGGTTTTGGGCTCCTTCATCTCCTTCCTCTTGGAGAATGATCTCTACCCAGCACGACGGAGAGCTTCCGAAACTCCCTTCAGCATCCAAAAGCTGTACGATCTCGCGCACTCTGCCCAGATTTTGACTTTCGAATCACATGACTATACAGGTATGGCAGCACATATCCGACGGTCTAGTTGGGATCCTGCAAACGTTACGGCGGAGACCTTCAAAAACAATGGCGGCCTAACTCTGCACAAGAAGTGTTTTGGGGCCTTCCATCTCCGATCGAAGCTGAAGACTATTTACTCAGACATAGGCTCAGCCGTGCTCCAATCTCACATTGAGCACATGGATAAGCAGGCTCTGAAGTAACTTTCTTAGCTCCGACGGCCCGATGAACGAGTAAACGCGGGAAGCCATACTTCGGGTGATGAAACGCGACGGTTCTCACGCGGAAAATGCCGGAAAATGCACTACAGTGTTGATGACCGAATTTACTATTTACGGCTCGTAGTAGAATTGAACAATGACAGGTCGTTGCGGTATTCCGTTGCTACAGCACGATGACGAGGCTCGGCTCGCACTACCGCGCGCAACAACAACACCCCGCTCACGACGAGACTTGGTACTTGGCAACCACCTCTTCCACCTTCCCGATGTAGTCAACCAAAGTTCAACGCTCCCGCTTTGAATGTACCCAAGCCATCGCCAAGACTGTATAGCACAACAATGCCTGATTGCAAAGCCGATAACACGGCTTGCGAGGATGAACACAAGCTTGGAAGCCATTGGCATCGATGGCCTACATAAACCTTGATGGGCTTCGGATTCCTGGAGCCTCAAGATTGACAGCCTCGCAATGCTTCCTACCATTCGTTCCGCAGCCGTCGCGTTGCTGGTTTCCGCCGCGCCCGGCTTGGCTCAGTTCCCAGCGGAGCCCGTGGGTCTCAAAGTTTTAGAATCGCGCTTTGGAGATGGTGTAAAAATCACCTTCAAAGAGGTTCGTGCGATTCAGCAATCAGCAATGCTTCTTATCTAATATGTACATGTTAGAACTCGCTTTGCGAAACCACACCCGGTGTTAAGTCCTACTCCGGCCACGTCTATCTGCCTCCGGGAACCGCGGACTTGGGTCAAGGACAGGATTACCCGATCAACACCGTGAGTGCAGGTCCAAAGCATACATAGCTCTCACTTACCAATGTAAACTAGTTCTTTTGGTTCTTTGAAGCTCGTGAGGATCCGACGAATGCGCCGCTCACCATCTGGCTCAATGGTGGACCGGGTTCTTCATCCATGTATGGTATTCTCGAAGAGAACGGACCATGTTATGCGAACCCAGATTCCAACTCAACGCGTCCGGCGGAATGGAGTTGGAACAGAGCCTCAAACATGCTCTATCTCGACCAGCCGGTGCAAGTTGGCTTGTAAGCACTACATCTGCTCCCTGGCCCAAGAACCTGTTTGTTGACTCCTGCCCGCAGCTCCTATGATACCCTGCAGAACATCACTCGCAACCTTGTTACCGGCGAGGTCACGCTTCTCAACGAGACCTCCACCGTGCCTGAACAGAACACCACTCTTCTCACTGGAACTTTCCCTAGTCGCGAACCAAACAACACCGCGTTTGGCAGTGTCAATGGAGCCGTAGCAGCATGGGAATTTGCGCAAGCTTGGTTCCAAGAATTTCCCCACTACCTTCCAAACGACACTCGCATCAGTCTTGCAGCTCAATCGTATGGCGGACGCTACGGCCCCGCTATGATGTCCTTTTGGGAAGAGCAAAACCAGCGCATTGAGAATGGTACTCTTGGCGAAGAGGGTTACATCATGCACCTTGATACCCTGCTTCTCATCTCCGGATGTGTTGATCGCTACGTGCAGTACCCTTACTACCCTCAGCAAGCATTCCGTCAAAACGGATACGGTATCGAAGCCGTCAACGAGACGACATACAACGCCATGGTTGAAGCAGTGCCAGAATGCCTCGAGCGCATCCAGAACTGTCGCGATGCCGCTAGACAAGACGACCCCGAGAACCTGGGTATCGATACCGGTGTAAACGAAATTTGCGAAGACGCAGAATCGTTCTGTCGCGCGGAAATCGTCAGCCCGTACAACCAGTATGCAGGCCGAGACTACTACGACATCTCCACCCCGTCACCACCTCCATTCCCACCGCCATTCCATGAAGGATACTTGAACCGCGAATGGGTACAAGCTGAACTCGGCGTACCACTCAACTGGACAGGCAACTCACCTGAAGCCTCCTCCGCATACCGCGACATTGGTGACTACCCACGTGACAACTGGCTCGACGACCTTGGTTTCCTGCTCGACAACGGCATCAAAGTCTCGCTCGTTTACGGAGATCTAGACTTTGCCTGCCCCTGGGCTGGCGGTGATGCCGTCGCCAAGGCAATCAACTGGACTGGTTCAGCTGGGTATGCCTCCGCACAATACGCTGAGATCCAGACCAACGACTCCTACGTCGGTGGCCTCGTTCGTCAATACGGTAACTTGAGTTACATCCGCACGTACCAAGCCGGTCACGCTATCCCAGCATACCAGCCCGAAACCGCTTTCAAGATCTTCACTCGTGCGCTGTTCAATCTCGACATTGCTACTGGTACTGAATCAACATCTGGAACGGATGAGAGCAGCACATACATGAGCACTGGTCGCCCAGACCCTGATGTGCAATTCGACGCTTTCACCAGCGAAAGACTGACGTACTGCTACACTTGGGACCTCAGCTCTTGCACCGAGGAGTACGTCGATGCGATTCTGGATGGCTCGGCGGAGATTTGCCAGTACCTTGTTGTCGATGCGAATACTACTGCGCTGTTCCCGGAGGTTATTGCAAAGTGCCGCGCGGAAAGCGGCGGCAATGGTACTATGCCTGCTGGGCATAGTAACAACACGCTGCCTGAGTTCGAAGGTGCTGCTGCGAGCGTAAGAGGAAATGCGTGGACCGTGTGGTCAGCACTCGTCATCATGGGTGTAGTGAGCTCTATGCTCTAAGAGGGCGAGACAGACTCTAGAAATGGTTGGGTGCTGACACTGTCCGACATTGTCTCCACAATACGACGATACATCACGACCACGTGCAAAGAATGCATATAACATGATTTGGTATCCATTACCTCAACTCGGATCTCCTCAATCTTCCAAACTAATTATCAAGGTTAACACCAAACTTCTTAGCCTGCTCCCTCTGCACCTTATCCCCCAAATGCGCTTCCACACCCTCCGCATCACCCTTACCCCCCTTCCCACCTCCACTTCCACTCTTCTCATCCTGCCCGCCCTTCTTCGCCCCACCGCTCTTCCCATCCATACTCCGATCCCCACCCTCCAAACTCGTCGCGCCATGCAACTCCTCCACATCAGCGTGCCCCCCATTCTTCCTCACAACCTCATCCCCCGCGCCCTTACTCTTCCCCACCGCATCAGCCACACGCTGCGCCCTCGCATCCATCTCCTGTCCCTTGTTCGACGACGTCGAGATATCCACTTCGTCTTTATCTAGCTTTGTGAACTTTTGGTCCAGCTGCGAGCGCTCGGGTGAGGTGGCCCCGTGGTGCGGTTCTGTGCGCTTCTTTGACGAGGATGTGTCTTTCTTGGGTGGGAGCGGGTCTTGGGCGGAAGAGTCTTCTTCGTCGTCGAGAGGGTCCTTTTTGGGCTCGTTGACGCCGAATTCTTCGGCGTTGTCGGCGATGGGGGCTGCGGCGCCGCCGGCACCCATTCCGGGGAGGGCTGGGGTGGGGTGTTAGTTATGGGAGATGGACGGGTTTGGGCATGTTTGGGTTTTTTTTCTTACCGTCTCCTGCTTCGACTTCGGGCATAGGGGCTACGTGCTTGGTGTGTTGGAGGGTTTTCTGTTGGTCACGTGTTAGTCGCTGTTCAGTCTTGTGTCCATTGGAAGACGTACATCACCAGAAGCTCCATGAAGAAGCTCTTGACCCTCAATTGGGCCATTGTCGCTAGATCCGTCTCCGTTGCGAGGCATAATGTTCAATTCGTAGATTCGAAAGAAAGGTTAAGTGGTATGGTGGTTAGAAATACTGCAAAGCTGTGTAGCAAGAATAATTCTATACCCCAGCTTCAACACGACACCTTCATATACCAGCTACTAGGTACTTGGAAGTTGGCAACCCCAAGTTCTAGGTCTCCGGTTCAAAGACGTCATAGCTTTTGTTTATTGTTCGTTGCAATGCACTAGGCGGTCCACTAGGCGGGGACCGGAGAGCGTCCGGCAAAGCTGTAGTGGACTTGCTGCTTTTTATGCACAGCAAGCCTCTCAGGCACCGCACCAGATCGAGTGTAGTCCGAATTCCCCCACATTTTGTGTCATTGTACCTGAGGCCTTTTCTGGCTTTGGCGCTCGAGCCCGGGGCGACTTTCCGCGAGTAATATTGGCGGTGTGGGTTGAGAGCGACTGGAACATTGACTGCGGTATGGTACCAGGACGTAAAGTGTACGAATCGAGTATATTATCATGTCAGCTAAGGGTATAATACAAATTAATGGTGTCGCATAAACATCGTCGTCATCCCTCCTTCGTTACAACAAATGAGACTCCCTAATAAACAACCTTGTGATCCCAAAGAGGCGCCTGCCTCACGCTGTTGTCGTCCCACTCGACCTTGCCCTTCTCATTCATGAGTGCGCCCTCGTCTGTGACCTCGACACCATAGCTTCCCAAACTTTCAGTCAGCTCCGCAACCTCATTCTTGCTAACGCCAGCTTGATCTCTCGCGAGCCAGATGACTTCTTCGCGTTGCGCCAAAGCGGGGTGTAGGTAGGCTTCGAGAACGTCTTGCTGGGTGTAGGCTGGTACAGGATGGCGGAAGCGTGTGATCAAAGAGGAGGATATCTCGCTGACGGAGAGTGTATGCGGGGAGAACGCCTTCTTGAGTAGGGATCGCTGTGGTGGGGCGTTCGATGGAGGAGCCATGCCAGCGCCTTGCTCACCGGCGTACTGGCGGCTTTCCTCTCTGTAGCCAGAGACAAGAGCTTGCTCAGATCGCCTGCTGTCCTCGCGCGAGCGTTTGACGTTGTTGTATCCAGGGTGCATACCATTGCCTTCGGAATGTCTTTCAGCGTCGTTGTGCTGTTGGGGATGGTTCGAGTCGTCGAGCAAGTTCATCTGCTTGATCTTGCGCTTCATCATGACGTGGAAGATGATGGTTGCTACGATCAGCACTATCTGGAGCACCGTTGGACCAGCAGATGTGACACTGTTGCCGATGCCGATACCGAAGAGACCCAAGAGACAGAGCTCTCCAAGGTAGACACCTACCATGAGCTGCTCGAGCGCGCGAGCATAGAAGCCACCCTTGGTGTCAACGTGGGTGTCGTGGACGTAGATCATGTTGTAGCGGTAGGCCAGGTAGATGAACCCGATACCGAGTGTCGCAAAGCCCAGAACGAGTGGCGCAATGCAGGCGTATGAGATCGCGATGACGCCCAAGTTGGTCCATTTCGGGTACTCCGCTCCCCAAGATGGCTCCGTGAATGACACATAGCGCATGTACTTCTTTCTCGGTGTTTTGGCGAACTTGCTCAGGATGAACACGCCCACCAGTCCCATCAAGTTGAAAAGGTACCTTGCAGCGTTGGCAAGACCATACAGAATGAAGTACGAGATGTAGAAGTTGGAAGCTTTGGGAAGATTCTTCGACAGTAGTGAGACAGCCGATGCTGGATTGCTGACGATTTGACTGGCGACGGCGGTGGCACTGGAAGTGAAAGTTGTGATGAGGAAGACCTGAATTACTTGGAATGCAAAGTACCAAGTCTGGGTCTGCTGCTCGACTTCGGACAGCGTTACTGCGCCTGCAAGTTTGGCGACGACTAAATTTGTCAGTATGCATTGGGAATAGGGAGCCTAAGGACAACTTACAGCGGCAGATAATAGGTACCAATGCCATCAGTACAGCGAGAAGAATGGTAGGCAAAAGTCCAGTGATTACACCAAGGATGGGTCCAGGAATGGAGTCAATCCATGCCAAGAACGGCACGTTTTCCGTGAGATAGTTGACGTTGCTGATGATACCAACGATCGCGACAGGAATGGCCCAGAACATAATCAGAAGCGCAATGAATATATTCGCAAGGATATGACGGAGTTTTCTGTTCTTGGAGCCCATGCCGAGGTTCTTCCAGATGATCTCATCGGGTAAGACACCCATCTGGCGGGACTCAAAGCTTGCTGGTCTGCGATGTTGGTGTTCGTTGAAAGCGGCTTCGGCGGCGGCCATGGTATCGAATTCGATGAAGACGGCACTGGCAAGCTTCTCCCTGCCAGCGAGATGGGACTGTTGAGCCGATTGGATCTTGGGGAGGAGCTCCTTGATTTGGTTGCGGTAGTAGCCAATGGAGTCGACCTTGTGTCCAATGAGGGGCTTCAGCTTGTGCGTCGGTCGCAATGCCTTGTCGTAGGTTGCGTTCTTCTCGCTACCCTTCTTCTGCTGTTGCTTGGTGACAGCTGACATGAACTTGATCTCGCTGGCCTCCAGCTTGGGTACATTCTCTTCGAGTTCTTCGACATCATCTTCTAGGTCCTTGACGTCAGGTACCAACCAGATCTGCGCGACTTGTGGGAACGCAGTGTGTAAACTCTCGAGCGATAGATCCTTCTCTGGTACGTCGGTGAAGAGAACTGTTCGTTGCGAGATGCGACTAGCATTCCAGGTGGACAACAGGTAGGCCTTTCGGACCTTGACAAGGTATAGCATCTCCCTTCCGATTAGGAACAAGACCCAGCCGAAGAAGACCCAGGCCATGAGCGCATGGGCAAAGTAGCGAACGTCGTTTTCGACATTAGAAAAGCTGATGATATCTAGGCCGGATTCACCACCTCCGCCAGTGGCATTGACAGGGAATAGCACTGGCCAAGTGATGATAGCACCGACAAAAGCCATGAGTGTGAGCACCTTGAGGAAGCGCATGTAGAGGTAGGCATCGAGGGAGTGGTGGTTGAGGACGTAGTCATCACTGATATGCATGAACTTCTTGATCCAGCCGAATTTGCTTGAACCCGCCGATGGAGTCTTCTCACTGTGTTCTTCGTCAGTCTCGATGGAAGATGTGGAGGCAGATATGTGATGAAACGTACTCTTCGAAAAGCGCATCGTGGAAAGTTCGTGGTGCGTATAAACGCCTCTGTTTTGCTCGCAATAGCAAGAAAGCACCCACGAGGATTCCAGAGACCACTATACATGGTACGAGCGTTGAGTACAAAGCAGACACTGACGAAGAGCTGCTGCGGTGGCTGCCCGATCGCGAAGACGCGCTGGGTGAAGACATGGTGCGCGACGTCGAGGATGTGAATGAGGCCACGAAACGAGGGTGTCGTTTTCAGTGTGTGGTTTTAGCAGGTCGAGCTGCCTTTGATGTATCGGCCCTGGTTACACCTTCCATAACGGCGCTTGCATCATAGCACCCAGACTCTGGCGTTTCCCCATAAACATTCAATGTCATAGTACATGGTCGGCACACGCGTTCCGACTAGTCGCATGCTCTACCAAACAAGATGGACCAGGGGCAAGTCGCGCGAGGCCGGAGGCTGGAACGCAGGTTGGTTAGAGGCTGGAGGATGGTCTAGCCTACCGGTTACGTCGATCCAAGACGATAGCGCGCATGCTGTAAAGCTTGGGAGGCGTGAACGTCGAAGGCGCACGCGGGGACGAGCGTCTGTGTCGTCATTTGCCCAACGCGAAACTCGCACAATCTCTGCAAAACAAGGTCATGCATTCAACAAGAGCTGCTGGGCATTGCTCCGTTACACCTAGCCTGCCGTTTTTGCCGTTCAGCGGCAATTTCCGTGCAGCGCTGGCCAACGACATCGTGGTTGACATCGTGTGAGGCTCTTTTCGAATGGAGGTGTGTCGGCGGGCCTTACAGCCAAAATCTGCCGGAATGGTCATGGCGCAGTCACTTAGCCACAGCTAAGCTTCAACGGGACGAAGATCAGGTTTTCTCCAGGCGCCACAATGGGGTGTGTGGGTCACTAGCTACGCATGAAGCTTGACTGGACATGGGTTTGCGTTGGCATTCAACTTGCGAGCAGTGGGTTCTCATGTTGCGATTCCCTCCTCTGGTCAGAAATACATCATTACTAGAATTGATAGACTATAATACAGGGCTCCGGTAATCCGTAGAAAACTTAGCTCATGAGCAGTCTCGTAATGGCACTAACATTAAGTGTCCTTAGATCACTGTAATGTTGCCCGGTACCCAAGAATACCACTGGAATGCCTGTCGCGTGCACCATCGACACCAGTGTACCCACCATATCGCCGACGGTATCGCATTTTGAGATGATAAATCCATCGAGGTTTCTCCCCACGCCAAAAGAAGCGTTGAAGTTGCGTGCCTGTGCAACAGAGTCTGTGCCGACAAGCGCTTCACCCACCATGAGAATCTTGTCTGGGTTGGCTAGCTTGCCGAATTTCTCAAGGGAAGACATGAGACGTTGGTCGTTGTGTCGGCGACCAGCGGTGTCGATGAGCACTACGTTGAAGCTGTTCTTCGAGGCAAAGGTAACGGCATCCGCTGCAATGTTGGCAGCATCTTTGCCATAGCCCTTTTCGAACAAATCGACCTGACCTCCTTCTCTTTGCGATAGCTCCTTCAGTCTATCTACGTGGACGCGTAGTTGCTCCACAGCACCAGAACGAAATGTATCCGCTGCTGCGATGAGCACGCGGTGGTGGTTTTGCAACAGGAAAAAGGCGATCTTGGATAGGTTTGTCGACTTTCCGACGCCGTTTACACCGACAATGGAGATGACGTAGGGGCGGGATGTGGTGGCGTTGGTGTGTTGAATTTCGCGGAGGAGGTCCAGGGAGGACGTGGGAGTAAGCATCTTGGTGAGAGCCTTTTCCATGGAGGATTTGAGTGTTGTCTCGATCGCTGTTGGAATAGTTAGTAGCTGGGTGTGGTGAGGGATAGGCGTGTCAACTGACTGGTAAAGCTGGGAGTCTTCATGCCCACGAGATCGCGCTCGACGCTCTCACATAGTCGCACCGCAGCTTCGAGAGCCACATTCTTGCGAAGGAGGTGCTGTTCCATTCCCTTAAGTGGTTTTGCCAAATCCTCCTTGGTGAGTGTCTTGCCGCCAACCACGTTCCTGAACAGGCCGCCAATTGCACCCAAACTGGACCCTACTAGCCCACCAGAGGCAGCGGGTGCTTCCTTGTCCTTCTTCGCGTTTTGTGCTGCAATTATCTCGTCCATCTCTTCATCAAGATCTTTCAGCACGAACTCGCCCTTCTTTGTCTTGTGGCCCCATGTCTCTGGTCGGATCTCCTCAAGCGCCTCGTTCCCAGAGGCGTCGCCCTGGATGTCTGATTGCGAGTAGTCGAGCACAGAATCGTCCTGTTCTTCGGCCCCGAACTCGCCCCACACTCTGCCCTTCTTGGCTGAGCCCCTGCCCTTCTTCTTGGCTGATGCTTCGTCACCCGATGACACTGGTGCTGAGCTGAATGCCGAGGCCTTCTTCTTGTCCCGCCGTGACATCTTCCCTCCAAACGGTCTTGCCTTTCCAGTCAAAAGCTGACTTTGCGCAGGTGTAGTAGGTCTCGACGTATCTGGCGTGGGTACTGGTGTTGAATCGGCGCTCGTATCGTACAAGGACTGCTGTGGTTTCTGTAATGCCGTTGGCTTAGGCAAGCTTTCGTCGGCGCTGTCGTTGTCGGTACTCGATTCGGGAGTGGTGAGCTTGATACTTGGTGCGCCAGAGTCGCTGGCACCTTCCAGGTCATGCATCTGTCGGTCGAAGTAGGCGCCGAATTTGTCGCAGTTGACCACACTGCTGTGCTCCGTCTTCAGCTGCTCGCCATAGAGGCCGACGAAGAGTGCGCGCACATTATCGAGGAGCTTGTCGACCCACGTCAGGTGTACTAGACTCTGGTATACGGCCTATGGCACGGTCAGCTCTTGCGCATATCTACGTCGCATTGCGCCGTGGCCCTATCTCGATCGATTGGCGAAACGAGGACTGTGTTCATACCACAAAGATGAGGCCAAGATCCTTCGCTGCGGTCCACTTCAGAGTATATCCCTCCTTCTTGTACGTAGGTTTGGCGCCGGCATCTTCGGCGTGAGGTTGCACGCGCTCCTCGATGAAGACATCCCGGATTAAACTGTTGATGACGTTTGCGCCGACCGGGACATATGTGCGCGACCACAGGACTACGCCGGAAGTAGTCAATATCTCGAAGGTATCCAACATGGCGAGGGTGAAAGGCGGCGGGAAGGTTGCGGAAGGGAGACGTGGTGGTGCGGCGGGCACATGTGGGATATGACGACGGGCCGTGCACGCTCTTGCCAGATGGTCGGAATTCGGAGGTGCCAACGACACCGCAGCTCAAGGCAGAAATTCAACCAACATTGACGTCGACGTGTCCAATTGCGCATCACAAAACTCGGGCTCCTTCGTCTTTTTCCATTCTCTTAGACACCGCACTCGCTACACCGACCATCGCCCCGACGCGCAGCCATGCAGCGCCCCAACTACGGCAACCCACCACCGGCGCATTCACCACCCTGTACGTATTAAGACGCGTCTCATCGTGCCTCCTGTAGACGCTGTGTACTGACTCCATCAAGTACACCACCCCGTCCCACAACACGTTTCCACAGTCCCTCAGCTACGGTCACCACCTCCCCCGCAACCCCCTTCACAACCCCAGAGCGGCTATGGCTACGGGTCACAGGCTGGTGGCATGCCGCCTCAACAAGGCGGATATGGCGTGCACCCGTCGTTCGGAGGCTTCATCAACGACCCCACTGCTCAGTTAGGGTTCCAGATGGGAAAGAGCGCCGTGGACGCTGGGCAGCACTATATGGAACAGAACGTATGTCCACAAGGCATAGCGCAGGCCTCCCGTTCATGAACAGACTACTGACAACATTCCAGCTAGGACGCCTTGTCTCAGTATCCGCACTGAAACATTATTTTAACGTCACAAATTCCTACGTCCTCAACAAACTACGCATCATCCTCTTCCCATGGTGGCACCGTCCCTGGTCGCGCCAACGGCAACACACGGCCGACCCATCAGCCTCCGCCGCACTACTATACCAACCTCCGCGAGAAGATGTCAACTCACCAGACATGTACATACCCACCATGGCCCTGGTGACCTACATTCTGCTGTCAACACTATTCGCCGGTCTACGCGGCGCCTTCAACCCCGAACTCCTGGGCAAAACCGCTACCGTAGCCATCGCAGTCACCTTACTCGAGATCCTCATCATCCGAACCGGCACCTTCCTCCTCGCCATCAGCAGCTCCTCGCAACTCCTCGACCTCGTCGCATACAGCGGCTACAAGTTCGTCCACGTCATCGTATCGCTGCTCATCACCAACTTGGCCAATTGGATCGGTTTCAGTAGTTCATGGGTCGGCTGGGTCATATTCCTTTACTGCTTCAGCGCGAACTCGTTCTTTTTGTTGAGGAGCCTGAAATACGTGCTGTTGCCCGACAACAAACCACAAGACGCCTTTGGCGCTCCTGCTCCCGTGGGATATCCTCAGGATATCAAGACTGGTCAGAAGTCGAGGAGGACGCAGTTTTTGTTTGTGTATAGCTATGTGGTGCAATTTGGGTTCATGATCTGGTTGAGCAAGGTATGAGTGGGGTACAATCAGTGGCGTAGTACATCTACGCTGAGGGCGCAGAGGGCAATGTATGTCCCACTCAGCCCTCGGTTGGACTTGAGAATACGCGTAGCTACGCTGTTACTTATTACCATTTAACGATTTGGGCAAGCGAGGAGTCCGCGCGAGTGTAATGGTCGCGTTTGAGAAGTACCATGTATCATGTATCTATTAGCATCTAGCATCCGCATCCGCATACTCAATGCAGAGAGTCTCATGCGTACTGATTGAAATCTACATGTATCTAAATCATGTCGCACAAAACCAACGAAAAGAACGCCTATGCCCGCTGTAATATCCACCAGCCATGGGCGAGTGAATCCTCCAGTAAGCCATACCATACATGCGCCCATACACCACTTTTGAAGAACCCATTCCCCACATCTCTGCGAGAATCCCCGACCATCTAACCCACAACCGGCACAATACGCCCCATAGCACGCATGTGCCCCATACTCTCCTCATTCTCCCTCTGATAATCCAACACCACCTCACCAAACTGCTCAATCTGGTCCTGTGCCCTCGGCGCTCCGATCAGGACAATACCCCTCGGCACCACCACGTCAGCGACCTGGAAGCAACCAAAAGTAACTACCTTTTTGATAGCGGGACAGGACCGGAAGACACCAGCGACGATCTCAGTGTCGACGACGGGACAGAAGGAGAGGTTGATCTCGCGGAGATGAGGATATTCCTTCTTGCCGTCGAAGATTTCTGTGAAGGTAGCATGGGAGATGTGGCGGCAGGAGGATATATCTAGGAATTCGAGGCGCGAGCCGGAATGGGCCATGAGGGCGCGGAAACCGTTGGATGCGAGGCCAAGGGGCTCGTCTTCAGGTCCGTCGGGGTTCGTGTTGTCTAGGTCGCGGGTTGAGTTGACATCGATGTAGTGGAGAGGTGGGTTGGTCCAGTCGGCGAAGAGCTTCACGTAGCCGGCGTCGGTGCATTCGTTGTTCTCTGTGAAGCGGAACTTGCTGAGATAATGACACTTGTTGTGGATGGCTTCGAGGACGTCATCAGTGGGCTCTGTTGTGTTGTCTAGGAAGTGCTCTAGGCACAGGGTGCGAAGATTATCGCCGACTGAATCGACTAGGTGGACGAGCTTCTCGCGGGTGATGGGGTCGTAGAAGCGGAGTGTGAGGTGTTTCAGGTGCTTCAAGTGAGCAATAGCGTCGATGCTGTCCGGGCCGATCTTCTTGCAGCGCTCAATCTTGAGGCGTTGAAGGTTGGGGCAGAAGGTGGAGAGTGCCTCAACTACTTGGTCGTCGAACGCGGCGTCTAACCACTCAACTTTCAGTGACTTGAGATCTTGGCCCCGGGCAATGAAGAGCTCAATCCATTTATCGTTGGAAACGAGGTTAGCTCCTAACAACTGGATTTCCTCCAGTGCCTTGGCCTTCTCGTTCATGTAGTCGATGTTGCTGTCCTTGAACTGACAGCAGTTGCGCAGCGACAGACGCTTGACATTTGGGCAAACGGCAAAGATCTGGTCGTAGTCCTCCGTCTCGAGATATGCTGCCTCATGAATTGCGATTGACTGCATATCTGACTGGAGGAATAGCTTCATCGTGTTGGAGTTCATCGCTCGCTTCTTAGAAAAGATCTCGCTGATTCGGTTCATGATACCCTCTGGCATATCGCCCAGTTCGTCAATGTCCTCCGAATGTTTTGCGAGCTTCTCGATGCATAATTGTTGCAGTGTCTTGGGTCCGCGCTGTGTCATACCATCGAGGCGGTTGCTCTCAATCTTCCTGCGACCCTTTCGCACCACGGGCTTAGCCAGTTTCTTCTCTGCCTTCGCATCTTTGACCATCTCTTTTCCACACGGTGTACACAGGAGACCACCGTCTGGACCAGCTTTGCTGTATGGTGTGACGGTAAATCGCTTGTCGCAAATCTCGCAGTTCTCCAATTGACCAGGGAGTGGCTTTGCCTTCTTGTACATGTCCATGGCGTCTTCAAAGTCGGACTCATCGTCTGATCCCTTCTTCTTGCTCTTCTTCTTTGATGCCTTCTTCGCCGCCTTGCCCTTCTTGATCTTCGCTATGGCCTCGTCTTGGTTGCGTTTACGTTTGCGGGTGCGCTCGGCTGCCATTGCGGAGGATTCGGCTTGTAGGTCCTCCTCGACATCTTCGTCATCTTCACCGGCATTTGAAGGTCCCTCGCCATTATCTCCTGCTTCTGCTGCGTCTCGCTCGGCTTGTTGACGGCGCTGTTCGTACGAATCGCGGATCTCTGCTGCAGAGATGTTGTTCGCCTGAAAATGAGATATTAGCGAGTGTCTCCCTCAAGCCTCGCCGACTGAGGTTTGCGCAGCCGCTATCGAGCAAGAACCCAGCCGCTTCCGATCTTCATGTCGCAAGTCTCGAATGTTGGGCATGCTTGTCCCCAGAACAGATGTCACTCACGGCCAGAAAGTCTGTCAAGGCAGAGTGCGGCCCCCGAATGCCTGCGCCTCTAGGTCGTCGTCCGCTCCTGTCGCCACTCATTAGTCTTGCGCGCTCATCAAGTCGAATAGCGAAACTTGACTTACATGATGTCTGTATCTATTTCCTACTGTAAGAGCGATTGAAACGAAAGTGATTTGAAAAAAAGTGCTGCGGTACAGTCGCGGTGGTGCGACTGCGCTGGGTGTGAGTGGGGTGGGACATGCGCAGGAAGGCGCGTTGGGGTACGGCGCGCAATCACGTGGTGGCAATTAGTCGCTTTTTCCGGATTAGTCTACCCCTGACGGCATTCCTTTCACTATCACCACAGTCGCGCGATAGGGCTATCCATAACGCTATCGATTCAGGAATTCAACTTTTGTAGTCCTATGTACGTCCCTCCGGTGGGACAGCACGTGGTAGACAATTTGCTGTCATGACCACAGCTAAATCAAATAATCCATGTACACATCAAACGCCAGTCCAATCCAAACTACCGCATCCCCTCGCAGAACAGGACCTTGTCCGTTGTGCAAACTTGTCAATCTCTGTCATCTCGATATACCGGGGTCAAGTAACTAGATGACTGTGTCGTCGTCACTGTCATCATTGTCCTCGTCTTCTTCGTCTTCCTCCTCATCCGAGTCCCAAGCATCGACAGTGGACCCTGTCTGTCGGACAGTATCCCCCATAGGCATCTATGAAATAGTCAGTATTGTTTTTGCCAACACTCAAGATTTGAAGGATTCATCGTTGAACATACCATAGGAGGACCTCGAGGAGCAGCACGAATCTTGGCCCATCCATTGGGGCGGATATCCGAAGTGTCAGATCGCTCAGCCACGCTGGAGGTGAAGGTGTGGGACGAGCCGGTGACGGAGGAAGTCGAGCGACGATAGGCGTTGGGGTTGAAGCCTGAGCTCGCACTAGGAGCCGCATTGGACTGGGTGTGCCAGGACTTGGTGCGGACCTCGCTCCAGCTGTCGGTGTTGGCGTTCCCATGGCCAGCCGGGTAGGAGTATTCGGTGTCGATGAGGCTCTCGTCTGCTGAGCCGTTGATGGACATAGCCTTCTGGAATCCAGCCGACAGCGCAATACCTCCGTCTTCAATATCCTTGCGCTCGGTTCGTCGGTTGATGCCGTTAACAGTCTTCCACTCGTCATCTCCCTATACAGGTCAGTATGACGGCCACAGATAGCCCTTATAGAAAACTCACATAAGTAGAAGATGTTTCACTAGTAGCTGCGGACCAGTACTCGGGAAACTGACCCTGGGAGTGGTCGGGTGGAACAAAGGCCCTATCTGGTTCGATATAGCGGTCTTCATCGACGGCCTCATCAGCGAGCTGAGCCTCAACACACTTGAAGCATTTGGCAGTGTCGGGCTTGGCGCGCTGAGACTTTGCGAACTCCTCCAAGCCCTTCGTCTTGCCACACATGGTGCACTCGATCTCGACCTTCTGCTGCCCAGTGCAACTGTGGCAGTTGATGGGTTTGGTGATCTTGCTTGAGGTCTTGATTTGGTGTCGTGCATCGGTCAGCTGCTTGGTGGAGTACTTGACTTGAGGAAGGTTCTTGTGGCACCGGCCGCATTTGATCTTCATGGGAAGTGGGATACCCTGGAGCCTTGGAAGAATAGTTAGCAACGCGTCAAATTGAACAACGACTGGGTTAGTTCAATGGTAGTCACGCTGTCGTTGGCATTTCCGGTCAATGTTATCTGTACGTACCTGTCGATCTCGTCCTGGTTGTAAGCGTGCACATTGCGGCGGCCTCCCATCGTTGGCGACTGGTGTTGTAGAGTAGTATGTCAAGTATGAGAACGAGAGAGTGTGTGGAATGGGGTTGACGAGAGACCCTGAGACCCTGTATGGCGGTGGGATTAAGAGAGGGATGCCTAAGCGAAGCCTAAGGATACACGTTGTTTGTTTGGGCCGAACTCAAGGTGAAGGCAGGAGCCAGTGAGAGAAGCTGCAGCTGCCCAACACATGCGTAGCATGTGATACTGCGATCTCGGCGCTGAGTAGCAATCATCGTCTGGAGTCCTGTACGGACACCTGAGGTTACACACTGAGCACACAGCCTTGAAGCTGTCTAACACTCTGCTACGTCTTCAGCTTCTCCAGCCTCCTCTATCTTCTTCCAATCTCTCTTTAACTACTGCCATAGGTCGTAAGGGACAATCTGGGAAGCCATCAGAGGCCAGAAAGGCTAAAATGCGTGCCCGCGCTGCTGCGTTCCAGCCTCAACAAGCCCAAGCAGCAGCTGACGCTCAAGCTCAAGCTCAAGCTCAAGCGGCTGCAGATGCTCAAGCGCAACAAGCCGCTCAACCCTTACCTCAACTTCAAATGTCGAACAATGCCGAGGCGATGGACCTTACATCAAGCACCGATAAACAGACCAAGGGTGCATTCGGTTCCAACGCCACCTCTACCTCCAGTACGACCCTTGGAAACCCCGAAAGGAAGGATGTCGGCACACAAACATAACTCTCGTGCGGAGGCCACAAGGTGAATGCCACGCTGAGATGCTACCGCTTGCAAAGCCTAATCAAGACAATCTAGATAGCCCCGGCCTGGGGACTTCAACAGATATCAGTGGAGATGGGGTTGAGTTTCACGTGAAGTCAGCAAAACAGAAGTTTAGCGATGGTGAGAGAGGCATGGAGTTTGGGTTGTGCATCACTAGTGTCGCCAAGATTTCGAAGCGGTGAACGCCGGCAGAAATAATTCTAGGATCGGGGCATTCGCGACCAGGAACCTTTTGCGCATACACTCTCAGCGAATACGTGCAGGGAATTCCCCAGTCGCTAGTTTACGAAGCGGATCGAAGTTGCCCCTGTCGCACAAAGGCTGCCAGCCACCGCAACTGCATTATGGCCACCGAACGCGGCTCCAAGCCCAGCACAGCGCAACCGCGGCGCAAGTCGCAAAACGCAGCGCCCATAGACGACGAAGACACCCGCGCGATCGCCGAATTCACCGAATCAGCCACAAAGCAATATGGGCGCGGCGACCGCATACGGCCCAAAACAGTCAAGGATAAGAAGCTGCGGAGAAACATTACATCGCTTGAGACGAAGAACAAGCAGGCGGCGATAGAAGCGAAGAATGTCGAAGTTTTGCTCGAGAATAACCCAGGATTGTTGGAAACCGAGAATGAGCTGGAAAGGACATACAAGGTACGGCAAGACGAGATCAAGCAGGAAGTTGGTCTGGAGACAGCAAAGAAGGGCTTCGAGTTGAAGTTAGACGGTCTGGGTCCTTACGACGTATGCGAGTACAGTCGCAACGGCCGTGATCTGTTGATCGCAGGCAGGAAAGGACATGTCGCGACCTTTGACTGGCGAGACGGAAAGGTCGGCTGCGAACTCCAACTCAACGAGACGGTGCGAGACGCGCGATGGCTGCACACGAGCAACCAGAAGAACTTTGCGGTCGCGCAGAAGAACTGTGTCTACATCTACTCGGGCGACGGCGTGGAGATGCACAAGCTCAAGAACCACTCTGAAGCCACATACCTCGAATACCTCCCCTACCACTTCCTCCTCGCCTCTGTATCGACCGCAGGTATAATACGATACACCGATGTCTCAACCGGACAGTCACTACCACAACTGTACACAAAGCTCGGTCCCGCGACAGCTTTCGCACAAAATCCACACAACGCCATCCTGCACGTCGGCCACCAAAAAGGTCTCGTAACCCTCTGGTCGCCCAACAGCGCCACGCCCCTCGTCAAACTCCTCCCACACCGCGGCCCCGTCCGAAGCATTGCAGTCGACAGATCAGGAACATACATGGTCAGCACATCGCAAGACCGCCGCATGTCCGTCTGGGACGTCCGCATGTTCAAGGAAATGTACCAAACCCACCTCCGCGTGCCGGGCACCACCCTCTCCATCTCCGACCGCAACCTCACAGCCGTCGGCTACGGCACACAGACCTCCATCTACAAAGACGACATCTTCCGGCGTAACGCCGAAGACGCCGCACCGCCCATCATGCCATACATGGGCTGGGGCGGCGAAGGCCTAAACGTCAGCCGCGTGCGCTTCTGCCCCTTCGAAGACGTCCTCGGCATATCGCACGACAAAGGCTTCTCCTCCATCATCGTGCCCGGCGCCGGAGAAGCCAACCCCGACACCCTCGAGCCCGGCACCAACCCCTACGAAACCTCCAAGCAGCGCCGCGAAACAGAAGTGCACGCCCTGCTTGAGAAGATCCAGCCCGAGATGATTGCGCTCGACCCCAATTTCGTCGGTAACCTCGATCTTGCATCTAATGAAGAGCGGCAACGCGAATACCGCGCTGCGAGGGGCGAGAAGGAGCCGGATAAGGTGGATATGTTGAAGAAGAGAGGGAAGGGCAGGAATTCGGCGCTCAGGAGGTATTTGAGGAAGAGTGGGACGAAGAATGTGGTTGATGAGGAGAAGGAGCGCGCGAGGGAGGCGTTGAAGAATATGCAGAAGAGGCAGATTGAGAGGAAGGAGAGATTGAAGAAGGATTATGGTCCGGCGCTTGAGAGGTTTGCGAGAAAGTGAGTCTGGAAAGAATTGGCTTGATGCTGTTTCAGACTTCATGTTGGCGTTGGCGGTGAAAAGTACGCGTCTTTATCAGCATTTCACGGCGTTTACTTCACAGATCTGCTTCACACATAGTTGACTAAGGGACTGACTTCGTAGAGAACGAACAACAAAACTCCATACCCATTTTAGCCTATCTAAAACCCCATGATATCATAAAAGTCATTGACGCGTCGTAAACCTCTAAGCAGCTTGTTCCATCTCAGTTGCCTGCTCCAGTTCACCCCTCCACGCTCTCGCGCCCCTAGGATAAACCCTCTTGTACAAACTAACAGCAACAGCATCCATAGGGCTGATCTTGCCATCGAAAGTAGCCTTGAAGTATCCGTGCGTACCCAAACTCTCCTTGATGAAACCGCTCCGTCCGCGCTTCGTCCACAGCGGTAAGCTCTTGAACCACTTGACGTCGCCGTCGTTGAAGAACATGTAGCGCACTGTGACGACGCGCTTGTTGATCTTGTACGGGTGGCCTGTCAGGATGATGCGCTTGGCGATGATGCGGTTGGTGGAGGGTGGGAGAGATGTTCCGGTCGCGATTAGGCGAAGGGAAGAGGGGTGGTCGGGAGAAGGGGTTGTGCGGGTGAAGTAGAGGAGAGGGACGTTGCCCCAGGTTAGAGGTCCGATGAAAGATGCAATGGCCGATTGGCCAGGGTGGAGGAAGCGAGAGAATTTGTGCACGTTGTTTGGTGTGTTGCCGGCGTGGGAGAAGAGCTAGATGCTGTTAGTATTGAGGGATGGAATAGAAGCTTAAGGTGACTTACAGGGTTGATTACTATCCTCCTTGGTCCGCACTGCACGATCATCTCAGTCTTCGACTTGATCGGTCCCTCATGCTCAGAGCTGAGGAGTATACTGTAGTTGGCGGCTGTGCGCTTGTGCTCGTGTCTCAGGAGTGAGAACATGGCCATCGGCCGTGACTGCATCTCCTGGAATTGTAGCGGGACACCGCGAATGTGAACGCTGACCCGAGTTCCGGGCTTGACACCGCCAGCCCAGGCTTCGCGCATGAATTTGGTCGCTGTGCGCTTGTAGTCGGAGATGTCGAGCAACCGCTGCCACTCTTCTGGCTCGTATGGTCGATCCTCTTCTGTCTCCCATGTGCTGTTTCTCAGACTCTTCAGTCCTCGGTAGCGAATGAGACGCTCTCGCGCATTCACGTTGGGGTGTAGTTCGATCTCGTCAGGGAACTCGAGATCTTCGTCCTCTTCCGTCTTTCTGGATTTCCGGTACTCCTCAATCTGTGCAGCCTCGTCCTCTGGTGATGGGTCTAAAAACATCTCCGATTGGGGGTATTCTGAAGGAGCGCCCTCGGTCATAGCTTTGCCATCGACGTCCATTCCCTCTACACCATCTGCAGGATGCGCGGGCTGGCTCTGGGCGTCTTCGTCAACTTCCATGTCGTCGAAGTCTTCCAGATCCGAGCCCGAGTCGGACATGTCGTCGAGATACCATGCGGACTGGTATTCACTTGTGCCCTTTGGTAACCGCCTCTTTTTGGCGGGCACGACCTCTTCCTCCTCGTCTGAGAAGTAGTGGTGGTCGTCTAGCAAAACACCTTTGCGCTCAGAGGGCGCAATGGAGGTGGCGTAGTTGGTCACGTCGTCCATGATTGTTTCCTCTGGTGCGAGATCTGCTAGGTCGTCCTGGTCTTCTGTGGGACGCTCCAGGATGCCATCGCCTTCTGTGTCAACAGCCATCTCTTCCTCTTTGTGTTTCTTCCTCGTTTCTAGTGGAGCGGCTACGATCTTGTCGACCTGGAAGTCACCCCAGTCTCCCACCTGCACCAGCCTGTCGGCCTTCAGCCCAAGCCCGCGCACGACACCGGTAATGACAACATCACCAGTGCCGTCCGCGTTGACGGCCGACTTGCCTCCAGGCCATGCGATATCCTCAATGAACATGTAGCTCCTCTGGTCCCTCCACCTGACACCCTTTGTGGTAGTTGTGCATAGCGATCGGACGAGGTTTGCGGCTTCTTGTCGGTTGTCGAGAGAGTAGACGCGCTCGGTCGCGGGTAGCCAGTGGGTGATGTACGACTTGAGCGACGAAACGACTGAAGGCCTGGCTTTGGCGGGCTCGACCTTGTCCAATCCTTGCACCACGGTGAAGGTGTTTGAGATACCCTGGCTTTCAACCGACTTCATAATCAACTCGCCCTCTGCGTCGACCTCTTCGTGCGCCGATAGAATGAAGACGACGAAATCGGCGACACGGCAGGCGTCGAGAGCGGCCAGAAGATCTCTTTTGACTATCAGATATTGCACCTTCTGCTTGAACCGGTCGACGTTTGTGCGTGTCCATCCTGCCTCGGGAACCTCCTCTTCAATGTCCAGGCTGGCGTTCAGGCTGCGCACAGCTTCGGCGGTAGAGACGTCCGAACATAGCGGGATGAGGGCGGTGATCCTCGGCGCACCGTCCTTGCCGGCGAATACGTTGGATGACTTTGCGTGCTCGTGGTCCTTGTTGATGCGCATCTGCTTGGCGCGGTTGCGGCGGTCAAACTTGCTCATGACTTGCTGGTGGGGGGTCTTGCGGCTGCCGAATTCGAACGAGAGTGAGTTGACCTTGCCTAAAGAAACAGTCAGCAGAGTTGGACGCGGTGGCGGGGAAGGAGCGACTGACCCTTGCTCTGCTCCTTCAGCGCGCCTTTGGTGGCATGGCGGGACTTGAAGCCCTTCTTGTCCTTCTTGGTCGTGCTCCGGTGGTGGTGCGCTGTCGCAGCCATGGGCGCCATATTGTTGCCGCTGCCACCTGATTTGAATCGGAAAGGAATCGACGCCACCTTGACTACGCGGTGTCAGAAACTCGGCGCTGCACTGTCTGGTGGGTGGTGGAGAGTGGGACGGCGATAATTTTGTTAATCGATAAGCCAACCCGAGTAATTTTGGCTCCTCGGCTGTGGCGTCATGCAGCACACCCCTGCCACCCTGCATTCACCCCTCGCCTTCTGCTTTCACATGCTCGATGCTATCCCACGCCTTCGCACATCACGCTTCAGCAATTCCTCTCCCAAGCCGATGTGATGTCTCACGATGAAGCTGACTTACGCCGCCCGTGTCTTCGAGCTGATCACATGAAGACTTCAGCCTTCTCTACTAATCGATGCTTTGGTAGGGGCAGTCGTCGCATCGGTCTGCTGTGAAGGACACTTACGGTTGAAGCAAGCCGGATAGTACGATCATCATCGACCCTGGATATGTGATTCAGACTTTCTCAACAAATCATCCGCTGAGATGCCAGGTCTCGCACAATACATCGCCGTGGATGGCCAGTCAGACGACCAACGACTCCGCTTTGGACCCCTACAGGCCACAACTTGACGATGGTTACGTTGTTCGATGTAAGGAAGTTCAAAAGGGTCTCAGCGGCACCCTCGTGATTGTGATTCAGCTTTCTCCATTCCTCTTCGTCAAGCCTGCGAACGATCGCACTCGGTATCAGCGTCGTCTTTCTCGCTATCCTCATCAGCATTCATTTCGTCACAGGGCTTCGTAATGCCGGAACTGTCTCAGGAGGGTGTAGGCAACCTGAGCGCAGGGCAACCAAAACGAACGTACAGCGCAAGCCATCGCCCTCCCATCACACCACGTAATTCGATCGAAACCTCCCACCACCCCTTGGAGTCTTATCCCTTCGGTCCAGAGCAAATCCTGGGCCACGATACAAACTTGGAACTTCCTCAAGACAAGCCTGCGGCAGTCGATCTCCTTGTCCGCCTTCTCGTCGACATCCTGGTATACAGCTACGACGTCGACTTTCACGAGCTCCATTATGCGCTCGCTGCATGTTCTCCCAAACTGTCCACTACGAACCTCTCTGCGCGGAATACCAGCCTTTTGACCTATCAAGGAACCCGCGTAGTTCTCGAATACGCTGATGTCATTCACAAAGCATGTGAGACTGTCGTCGACAACACGCAAAGCCTGCTAAAGGATAGCGACCGCGAGTTTATCAGCACCTTCATTATGGAACCAGCACGAACTATTGGAGTCGATATCGCTTACGTCTTCGAGCAGCTGTACGCTTTCCGGATGCACAGGTGTGAAGGTGGAAATCATCACAAGACATTACTCTACACTAAGCCGTCTTTTTGGACGCGGGGACGCGGTCTCCTGCCGGGGAAACTGGGTATAGATAAGAGTCAAAAGCTACTTGCACGCCGGCTTGTCTCGGATGACATGGTCGTTGCGCAGCTTGGGACAAGATCATGCGAAGCGCTTCGGCTAGTGCTCGGCAAGGCAATCAAAGATCACAACCGCAAGCATTGCAAATACGGCATGGCCAAGATCAATCGAGAGGTCTATGCCGAGCCAAAGTTTGTCGCTTTGAAGAAAGAGCTCAAGTGGAGAGATTTCGTCTTCACAAAATACCTCCACGATGAACAGCAGGCTGCAATGGCAAGTGGTCAGTCAAATTTCAGACCGAGCAACCAGGCGGAAACTAGGACGACTAGCCGATTCCTTGATGTACCACGACGAAACAGCGAGCACCTACGCAGACCAAGCTCTCTTCACGATCTACCCAGCATACGCGAACGGCCTGAGAGGCCCCCGAGGCCACTGTCTACCTCCAACATACGCCTAGGTTCACTTCGATCAAGACCGGCGCGGCCGGGACTGTGGACCAACTATTAGTGATCTGTGCCGACACCGAGGCATGTCTACTTATGCGACGCATACCGGGGAAAGTGATGAGTAGCACACCGATAGCAATATCTACACTGGACAATAAAACGACTACTGTAGATAGCTCGTTGTGAAACAAATTCAAAAAGAATTTTTTAGGAGAAAGCCTTGGAATCCAAGGTACCACAAAGATGACATACCCACTCCCCGCCATCACCCCCTCTCATCCAATCCACCACCCTACTCCCAAAAAGCAACAAGCCTCGCCTCAATACTCTCCCTCGCCTCTTCCCCCTCGCTCCCCTCAACCCTAAACGCCGTATGCGGACACCTCCACCCCCTCTCCTCCCTCTTCGAATCCAAGCCCTTGAACACAACCATCTCCCACGGCTGCATCCCACTCATATACCACCACTCATGCCCTTGTCCTTCACACATATCTGTCCCCTTCTTTCCCTCTAACGCCCCACAACTCAAAACATAATTCTCACTCCTATTCCCTGTGCGACTGAACTCCCTCAACCTAACCTGATAATCGGCATCAGGCACCGTATTCGCGTCGCACACGGCCAGCGGGTCTCGACGCACGGTTTTGAGCGGCCGCCAGCAATTGAGGAAGGCGTAGCGGGTGGATGTCTTGAAGAGATCGTTGATGTGGGGTGGGAACGAGAGTTCAGTCAGTGTACCGGCGAGGGCGGATGCGGAGCCCGCGTAGTCGACGTGCGGGTGACCCGAGGGAATGTCTTGCCATCGGCCGAGGGCGTCTTGGATGCCCTTTGCGGAGGGGGAGGTGTGTGCGCGGATTACGTGGTTGAAGACGTGGACGGTTGAGGCACCGGTTCTGGGGGTGTTAGCTCCTGTTCTTCTGTGCTCCTGTATGCTGATGTCTGTTATGGAGGATGTTGGTAGGTATTTATACAGTTTCTTGACTACTTCTTCCAACTCGGGGTAGTATTCTCGTTTTACGTCTTCTTCGCTGCTGTGCCGGTCGACTCTCCGCTTTTGAGGCAGTGTGACGAATGTGAAGCCGTTGGCGTCTAGGTCGAATATCTTCTTCGCTTTTCGTACGTCGCGGATGAGCATGGGGCGAGTGTATTCATCTTTGTCGTCGAGGTATTTGACTTTCCATTCTGATTTGGGGATGGGGATGCCGGTGGCAGGGAAGTAGTTTATATTGGCGATGACGTCGGTGTTGTGTGGATCTGGTTGCATGGTAACTTAATCTGGACAGATGTTCGATCCTAATGATTGTCCTAGAAAGGAGTTGCGATTTAGTTGCAGTAAATCCATATCTAACAAAGCATAGGGCTCATTGCGATGTGAACGCGGATCCGCTGGCTAGATGAAGTGGGGTAAGCACATGCAAACAGCACACGCATGCAACAGCCTTCATCACCACTCGACATCTAAGTGGTGTAGTAATCATTTCTCATCTCTCATAACCTGTGATCACCATGAATTTTGTCTAAACCCGTTTTAGACGTCGCTTTGCAAACCTCTATTCTAGAGTATCGTCTTCAAGATGTCGATCTGCTCCATAACAGCGCTCTTGCTCGTACCACCAGTGGCGTTTTTAAGCTCTACCGCGCGCTCGTAGTCTAAGCACTCAACTACGTCGTCGCCTAACCTGGAGTCGATACCCTTCAGCTGTTCCAGGCTCAGCTTGTCCATGGGCACGTTCTGGTCCTCTGCCAAGGCAACTACGCGACCAGAGATGTGATGACCCTCACGGAAAGGCACGCCCTTTCGGACAAGGTAGTCTGCGAACTCTGTGGCCAGCATCTCCGGGGCCAATGCAGCGTGCATCTTGTCGGCATTGATCTTCAGGGTCGACAGAACACCGGTGGCGATCTGGATGGAGTCGCTGACCGTCTTGATGTGGTCGATGAGAGGCTCAACAGACTCCTGCAGATCCTTGTTGTAGGTTGTAGGAAGACCCTTGATGGTGACATACAAACCCGCCATGTGCCCGAACGCACGACCGCTCTTTCCTCGGATGAGTTCCAGCGAGTCTGCGTTCTTCTTCTGAGGCATGAGGGAGCTTCCAGTAGAGTAGGCGTCGGCCAACCGCACGAAGCCAAACTCCAGACTCGAGTATATGATCAGATCCTCCGCCCAGCGCGACATCTTGAGCATGAAGCTCGACCCCCATTGTAGTGTCTCGAAGACGAAATCGCGGTCTCCGACAGCGTTGAGGGAGTTTGTGAGTAAGCCCTCAAAACCAAGCTCCTTGGCCATGGCGTCGCGGTCGATGTTGAAGGGGTTGCCTGCCAACGCGCCGCAGCCGAGTGGAGAACGGTTAACGCGCTTGATGACTTCGCGGAGGCGCTCGAGCTCGGATGCGAAAGCGGTGGCATGCGATAGGATCCAGTGCGACCACCGGACGGGCTGTGCCTTCTGGAGATGTGTGTAGCCCGGCATGAGCACGTCGATCTCAGCCTCGGCTCGCTGTACCGATGTCTTGATCAGGAGCTTCAGGTAGCCCTCTAGTGTCCTGAGCTGCTCCCTCAGCCATAACCGCATATCGGTCGCGACTTGCTCGTTCCTGCTTCGCCCTGTGTGGAGCTTGCCTCCAATGTCCTTGCCGATGATCTCGCTTAGCCGTCGCTCGTTGGCGGTGTGGATGTCTTCATCGTTCGCCTTGACCTCGAAGGAATTCGTCGCCCACTCCTCCTTGATCTGGGCCATGCCCTTCTCGATGGCTGCGAACTCGTCGGCGGTGAGGATGCCATTGTTCTTGTTTGCGCGAGCGAACGCGATAGAGCCGGCGATATCTTCAGCGTAGAAGAGACGGTCGTAGGGGAGGGATGCATTGTATTGCTCCATGACTGGGTCAAGGCCCTCTGCAACGCGTCTTAGCACCAGTCATCCATCTCAAGTGTTGGTGAACTCAAGAAAGCCAATGGCTGCACAAACCTGTGAAACGACCTCCCCAGAGCATGTTTTCTGCTACTTTCTTTTCGGATGCCATCTTGAGATATATGAGAGAATAATGTGTGAAATTGGGTTGTGACTGTTTGCGCGTTCGAGAAAAAGATATGACGCTCCGCATCGGCGGCAGGGGTGCGATAGCGCTAAAACGTCGCGGGGAACTTTCCCTCGTCTCCACATCGGCTGCCCCTCAGCCACAGGCCCGTCATCATCAGGTACACATCAAGCTTGCAGTGTCAACTCAGAAAAGATTGGATGTGAAGATATTTCATTTATTCATAAGTAGCGTACGTGCTCTCGACACAATTCAAACAGAAGTCCTCCGGGATGCTAAACACGGGCTATCCCATTCACTCCCAAAAGGAATCAAGAACTCTAGAGAACCATCTGGTGGAAAACTTAGCAATACTTCTCATCAGAACTTCTCACGATCGGGGGCTTACAAAAGAAGCGACGCCAGGTGGAATTTCTGCGGGAAGTCTCCTGATTGAACCCAGCTTCTAATAAGCCCGAGTTGGAGAAATGCTCCGGCACATGCTTAGGCGAGTGTGAGGTAGCAAGCAGCTCGTTTGCAGAAGCTTGCTCGTATTGTTCCGAGATGGGCGAATCGCAAGATAATGAAGGTGCCGCGCTGTCTTTCCGCTTTCGTTGGGGTATTTGGTCTGGTTTCGTTTGTGGTTGTGGCCGTTGCTCTTGCTGCGCCTGTGTTTGTTGCTGCGATGCGAAGGCTAGGTCTGGAGAAGCTTGTTTCTCAGCGTTGGCTGCTATTCTTTCTATTTCGATAATGGGCACCGGATGCCGAGGTTGTGGGTGAATCAATTCTTGGTCACAGTATTTGACCATGTGTGTTTGCTCCGGCATTGCTGACATGGTCTCCGGTTGACAGGCTTAGACGGTAGTTGTAAGAAGAAACACCAGAGCTGTTAATAATTTATCGCAGCCACCACACCCCTACTTAGTGCAAGCATGATGGATCTGCGCTCGTGTTCTTAGCACACAATGTTGTTGAGGCGCTTTGTGAGTGTGGGGAATTCTTCCTTTGCTCACTCACCGCCTTTGTAGGTGTCGAAGACGATTTGAGGCTGGGGAAATCTTGCTTTTTACTTTTGGGACTGGACGGATATCTCTGCGGTTCGGATGCGCAACCAAGTCGTTCAATTCATCGTATCGTAGATCTCATCAGTGTTGTCGTTCCACACCGCTACTATAGTCGAGGATTGAAATATGTCATTATTCATTACGTCCAGCGTCAGCGCTAGGAGATGCTAGATAATAGCCTTGGTATAAAACTCGATCAAGCAATTTGCATCTTTCTACGGTCTTGCCGTGTACCGATCTCTTCAATGGAGCTCAGATGCCTCCCACAACTGCACCGATAACACTCAAACCCAGCAGTGTTGAGACCACCCAACTCGCACCTCCACTGATCCTCACACCCGCACTGGCATATCCTCGCTCCTCATCGGCCTTTCTCGCACCGACCGCCTTGTCCGTGTTGAAGCAGCCGAACGTGCCCGTGCCGCTTGCGCCTTCTTTCTCGTATTCCTCCATCTTCTGTGCCAAGCAACTCTGAACGATGTCTGGTGAATCGGTAATGCAGTATTGGAAGCAGCCGTCGTTGTCTTCTGAGTTGACAATGACTGGAGTTGAGGACGCGGATGGTGATGATGTGGTTGAGTCGGGAGCGGAATAAGTCGCGATCGCGTTGATGTGCCCGTTGCAGCATGCATCTAGTATTGAAGAGTTCGAGCCACCGACAGGTACGGCGCACGATGGGAGGTTGGTGGGTGGTTGAGGGACCGAAGTGAATGGTTGGCACGACATCTCTGTGATATTGCTGAGACTTTATCGTGTTGATGTGAATGTTCGGAATTCTTGAAGAGGCTGTCGAGGAGTCTTGCGAGCGTTTCGTAGATGAGTTGCGGTGTAGTCGTAATTCGAGATGACGTTGTAGGCACTAGACACGACTTGCGCGCCGGTCGAAATTTCTCTCGCAACAAGAAAACGGGAAATGACGAAAGACGATGGATAAGAGAACAACTCCGTCGCTATGCTGAGACTTGACTGAAGGGAACAAGCAAGTTATGTCGCGAATGAAACACAGAGTTGTTCACAGAACAGACTCAAAAGGAAAGAACCGAATGAAAACCGACTGAAGGAAAGAAAGATGGTTGAAGTTGGAGAATACTGCACTATCATCGCAAGAGCAGAGCCTCATATGTAAACTTCGTACAGTCTAAGAATATCTCAGGTGGATACGCGGGTGGGTAGTCGGCAGCGCGAGATCTAGCGTTACGCGCCGACCCTCTCGGCTGCGCGACGCGTTGGTTGGCCCGCGACGTTCAATGGGATTACGCGCTAGAACCACGGGCAGATCCGAAACAACACGTTCTGTTGTGGTTGAAACGTTGTTATGCTGATTTTGGGTAACCGTCATGCTCTGTTCTGTCCAATGGGTGTGTCGGGTTTGCTGTGTAGTGAATGTCACGTGCGCGGGATCGAACCATCTGGGTCGCTAAGTTGCCGCTGCCTAGACGGCCGAAGGGCTGAGTAATGAGGAATGCATATTAGTGGCTGATGGAAAGATTGAACGCAAGTAGACCAGGGCTCTCCGATTCGATTGTAATGTGGAGTTCGTCGGGTACAGAAATCCGTTCCACGTTCTTGCCCAGGTATAGAGTTGCGAAGACATTTCTGCTTGACCAGGCACATTGCGGCCATCACCAGCGTACGAGTTGTTGTACAGGCGGTCCATAGTCGAAGCGTATGACAGCCAAATCCTTTGAACTTGGAGCATGAATCTGACGCGCCACCAACGCCTTCCTATAACAGAACAGACTGAGCCCCATACAAGGCGAGACAGCTGTCACAAGCGGTATTGGGTTCAGCTGTTCTCGTTCTCATCTTCATGCGCGGCCGCCCATGGGCTTCTCTTGCGCAATGATACGCCTCTGCTCTCAAGCACGAATGGTATTGGCGCTAGGCAAATGGCGATCGCCATCAGTACTAGACTCGCGTTTCTGGTGCCTACATTCAAGAACAGATGTCTTCCGACGAGTGGGAATCCAGCACCAGCAAGATTTCGAATTAGTCCAATCCCGGCAAGGGCTGATGCTGAGTAAGTCTTGTAGGCGTCTTCGGTGTAAGTAAGGGTCATTAGAACTGCATAGAGTGTCAGTGCGGTACGCTTGGAGTTGTTCGTTTCTGTGACATACTAAGAGTGTAGAATGACCATCCCCAGAAGGCGCTGGCGAGAACGGCAAAGAAAGGGTGTATGTTTGGCGTTGCGGTAAGTGCAAAAGCCAGAAGAGACACTGGTAGAACGATAGCTGCCAGCTTCGCATGATGCACTCGTGCCTCGGGGACGTCGCAATGGCCGGCCTGAGAAACCCGCCTTTGATAGTATCTTTCCTGTAAGACGTTGGTGGCTAGGCCAAATGTGATGCCGACGACAATCCCGAGGAAGCAGATACCGACGCCGATAGTATCAAAACCGTATCCGTTCGGGCCAAAGATCATGTGAAAGGCTCCGTTAAAGAGGAAGCTCAAACCGTATAGAAACCCGTTGTAGAGTGCACCAAACTGCACGATAGCTTCAGAGCCCAAGAATCTGAATGGGCGTGCGAGTGCTCTAGTGAACAGCTGCTTCGGTCCTCGTTGCTTCATTTCGTCCGGCACCTCAATCTCATCGTCGCCTGTTTGCTGTCGTAGGGTCCGTGCTCTCCGCAAGAGGATCACACTATGTCTTGTTTCTCCAAGGCTATAGAGCGCGACGACCATGACCACCCAGAAGGCCAAGCAGATGAAGAACATGATGCGGAACACAGTATGCCACGATCGACCATGCGCGATGAAAGAGAAGAGCACAAAACCAGTCGGGCTACCACCTGTTGCTGCCCAGAGAAACCAAGACATTGCTGGCCCGGTATCATGGTGATGAAAAAGATCCGCGATGGTGCCCCCAAAGTTCGAGATTGTCGTGGATGAGAAATAACCCGAGAACAGACGCAAGACAAGGAATGGTCCAAGGCTTTCTACATACGTCGTCCCCAGGAGCAGCAAGAGAAAGATACCATAAGACACAATATAGACAGGTCTTCTTCCAAAGTATTCCGAAAGAGGAGCCAAAGTCATAGGACCAAAAGCCAACCCAAGGACATACATGCTCAGTCCCAGGACCGCGACGCTCGGCGACACGCCCATGTCTTTCGCAAAGTCGCTCGCGACAGGACTAAAGCCACTCGCACCCCAAGAGACGCTTAGGTCTATCGGGACAATGGCAGCAACCATTAGCCATTTGCGCGCTTTCGACCAGTTCCGGGGGTCGTCTGGATCGTGGGACTCGAAGGCTATGACTTTGGTTGGAGAGCTGTGTAGCAGAGGCTGGCTCTCGGGTTGAGAAGAGCTCATCACTGCGGAAAAAGGCCGCGAAAGCTGAGATGATCCCGGGGTTTCCGATGTTTGGTGTTGATGCTTCGGAAGGCAGGTACACAACGCGGATTCGGTTCCCCCCCAGATGATGACGTCACCGGTCATTCGTCCCGGATTAGCACCGAAACGCCGGAACAGGATATTTTGGATGAGTATAACACTTTTAATTCTTGCGGTGATGCATCTTTAGCATTACTTTTGTGTGAGTTAGTTACAACTTCGACTGACGAAATCTTAACGCGATGATCTAACATAGGTAAACTACCCCGGAAGCTGCTCGATGTGTCCATCCAAAGCTCCACGCCGCCCGGGCCTGCTCATCGAACATGTTCCATAGTTCTTTTGATCGTAAAAGGCCAATGCCTTCCCCCTTCTACTTCTTTGCCGAGTTCCCAACTGACAAGTACATCAAACTGTTGCAAGCCTTTAACTTCCTTCAACGGGGTGAACAAGGCATCCTCGTAGATATGATACGGTTTAGGACGCGTCCTCCATGTCACCAGGTCGACCCTTATGTATCTTAGGGCCTCCATCTTGGATATCGCCTTCCAGGTACGAGTCTAGCATGACAGGTCGTATGGCGGTACACCTTTCGCCATCTCCCACAGCATGCTTAAGTCATGACTTCTCCACTTCAGGTGTAGCGATTGAATTGCTTGAAAGTGATGCGTGGGTACAAGACGATGGAGGCAGAAGAATGCTGTGCTGGTAGGGATATAGAAAGTGTTGAATGCATAGAGATACTGTATGGATTCCGAATACCTAGCGTTAACAAGTTAGTCATATTTTGTACACCAGTGAGACCTCAGGTAGGAGAAGAGACATACGCGATCTTACACGACCGTGGAAAGGCCATAAGCTGCTGAAATTTCGCGCATTTCAAATCGAAGGACGATACCGTCTGGTCGTGATATATCCACAACTCTTTCTCTTCGGGGATGAGCTCCACTTCAAGTTCTTCATTTCCGAGGGCGTATGGATAGATCATTGTCCGCAGCTCTGGAGGCAACTTCGTGAAAAATGAGCATTGTGGCTGAGTGGAGAACCCATCCGTTGCTGCGCTCAATGCCGAGACTTCCATCGTGTCAGAGCGGATAGGTGGTAAAGATGCGTTCCAGTCCGCCCGACGCGTGTTCCGCCATTCCATACTTACTCGTCTTCGCTCTTGAAACCTCTTGGCACTGGTCCTGTGAAGTCTAGGCTCGATCACTGCCTCGCAGAACTTGCTGAGCACACTCCAGGCCATCTCTTTGATCGATCGCATGACCACTGCCACAGAGTCGATGAAGATGTGGTAAAGGGAGAAAAGGGCGATAACGATACTATGGAATCGACGTCCTGACCGTTCAATACTTATCATCAATACAAAGAGGTTCACTCCGAAGTCGAGTGTGGCCCATAAGTGATACGGTAGACTGGCGCCTAATCACCCTGATATGGCAAAGCCATTGCGGCACAGCATCATCCAAGTCGGGGCGTGGCTTATGCAAGGTGCCCCTTGGCTGAGACCGTGACACGCCTAGCTCCTTGCGGGCCCAATAGAGCCCATGGCTGGATAGGCTCTGTTTGGTCGAGTGAAGTTTGACTTCATAGAGTAATTTGTTCAATGAAAAAGACATCATTGCATGGGCAACCAGTCACTCACGCCTATTCCTCGCGTGATTTCGAAGGGCCATGTCTTTCCTCCACTCTCTCGTCGAAGGTTTCCATCTTCGCCCCAACTAGTGTATACCGCAAATCTTTTCAAATCCCTCAGAGTTTCCAGCGGAGTAAAGAGGACATGTTCATATGCAGCGTCCACATATGGCGCCCAGATCACCATGTCGACCTCCATATGCTCTAGTGCTCCCATTTTTGATATTTCCAACCACATTGAAGACCAACATGAAGCATTATACGGTGGATCGCCTTCAAGAAACTTTCGCATCTCGTGGGTCGAAAGATACGCCCATCTCAATTTCATGCAACGAATGCTTTGGAACCAACGCGGAGGAAGAATGCGGTGCAGAGCGAAGAATGCGGTAAGGCTGGGAATTCGAAAGGTGTTGTCGCTATAGACATATTGCGCGGCTTCGACGTAGCTTTGGCATATTCAGTTAGATATTGGATCATGAAGCAGTAACGTTGTTCATCTGACAGGTGTACTTTACTCACGCAGTTTTGCACGACGCTGGGAAACCGAGCAGCCTTTGTGCTTGTACACAACTCAGCTTGAATGGAATCTCGTCGTCGTTGTCCTCACACATCTGGCGCTGAAGCTGTTTATCGTCCTGGCCATGGAGCTCAAGCTGAAGGTCTTCCCCTCCCATGGCGTATGTGTAAATAAGCCTTCGAAGCTCGAGAGGCAGCTTCGCGAAGAACGGCGACTGTTGTTGGGTAGATACGTCTGCGGTTGAGCAAAGGTGAAGGGCGTCCTCAGATTCCTGTCTTACTCGAGGAAGTCGTCTATTCCAAGCAGCACAAGCTTCTGCTCGCAATCTAGCAATGTACTCCTTTCTCTTACGTGCACTTTTCTCTATTCCGCGGTCGTAAGGCGCAACAATCAGTGTTTCGATAAGTTTGTCCTTCAGTGAGCGCATCAATGTTGAAAGAGAGCGCATGATGGTAAAGCCGGAATTACTGGTTTGAGGCTTCCTTTGGAAGAGCTTGCGAAGTCGTCTTCAGCGATGCGTACCCAGCTGCGGCGTCAAAGCTAACATCAACCGTAGAATCCAGAAGAGAACGAGGTCGCAGTACGAAAGTGTATGCACAGGGTGGCGCTGTCTGATGCTCTGCAATCGCCCATGCAAGGAGAGAATACCTGTGCTGAAAGTGGCACGGCATGGGGCGCGGCTTTGGCTAGCGAGGAAAAGACCAGGCAGCAGTTGCGAGGCGCGTACCCCAATTCGCGCAGCCATCAAAACACCTGTATCATCAAAAGAAGGGGAAAAGCGGATAGCAAGACTATCAAGCTACCGTACTTGCTAATCGAGGCATCAGATGCACACGGTGGCACGTGCTCGAGAGTCCATCGCCCACCCAGGCGCACATTGGGGCAGCTTTGAGGAAGGTATCGTCCCAGGTATGCTCTATATTATATCGGTCAATGAGAGTCTGCATGATTTGAGGGTGCGGAGTTGCAAGAACACGCGTGTGTATGATGACGGGTACGCGATGACAAGAAAGCGCGTTCCGTCATAGCTCGCCAGAAGCAGAGCTAGTTGCCAGCCCGGCACCACAGCGACGTCAACGACCTCTGCACACCCTCAGTGCCAATATGGATTTCAACCTGCACCAACAAGTGTGGCCTGTTTACTCATCGCATCTTCGACAGCAACATGTAGGCCGTCCCGCCTTCCAATAGACCCTGTCCTCGGTCGCTTTCACGCCGAAGGGCCGAGTAGCGCGTCTTCCCCGTAGCAGTCACTCCTCTTTTACCCCGGATTACGGCCAGGATCATCGAGCTTAGCTTCAATTAATTTTCCCGTGTACCTGGATACGACTCGTATAAGAATGGGGAGCGAAGTACTTCCTAGGGCATGTAGTGCTCGTTGGCGCCTTCCGTTCACAATATGCGCTTTACCACAGCGACCGCAGCGGCGCTTCTGCTGTCTTCGAAAGCATGGGCTTTTCTAAACGCGAGTCAGAACAACCAAAGTCTGACCATTGCCAATGACCGTCTTGTTGCGTCGGTGAGCAAGACAAGAGGGTATATCAATGTTCTTACTCTTGACGGCCAGAACCTCCTCGGGACGGAAGATGGCAACACTGGAGTCGGTCCATATCTCGACTGTTACTGCACTCCATCTGGCTTCTGGACACCTGGTCGAGGAAGCAATGTTCAGTACCAGCTGTTCAACGGCAAAGATTCTACTAATACTTCGTATGGGGGTATCAGCATGGGCGAGACCTACGCTCCGACCGGTCAGAGGCTAGAGCAGTACTGGTTTCTAAGAGAAGGGGAAACAGGACTGCATACCTTCAGCCGTGTGGTGTACAACAACAAGACCACTCCATTCTTGCGCAACCTGCAAGAGTTCCGCACACTGTTCAGGCCAAACCATGAACCCGCGCTCTTCACGCACTTCATTACCAACGAGAAGTTTGCTGCACCCCGCCCAGATACCGAGGGACAAGTCACTGTTCAAGACGCTACATGGTGGCTGGCCAATAAGGAAGATCCGTACGTGACGGGCGTAGGAGACTACTTCACGAAGTACACCTTCCAAGACACATGGCGCGATCACAAGGCCCATGGTATGTACGCCGACGGTACTGGTAGCGCCAATGGCTCAACCTACGGCGCCTGGCTTGTACACAACACTGTCGAGACTTACTTCAACGGTCCCGTGCATTCTGACCTCGTCGTCGACGGCATCGTGTACAACTACATGGTCTCCAACCACCATGGCGATCAGACACCCAACATCACCGATGGCTTCGACCGTACCTTTGGGCCACAGTACTTCCACTTCAACTCAGGCGGCTCGCTCGAAGAGCTCCGGGAAGATGCAGAACAGTATGGTCTCCGTCCGGAATGGAACGCCGACTTCTACGATTCCATCGCAAAACACGTACCGAACCTCGTCCCCACCTCCGGTCGTGGTACCTTGAACGCAAAGATCAACCTGCCCACCGGAGCCAAGAACCCCATCGCCATTCTCACAGAGAGCGGCCACGACTTCCAAGACAATGTCTTCGACACCAAAGCATACCAATACTGGGAAGACATCTCTCCCGCAGGCGAAGTCACCATCCCACGTGTAAAAGCAGGGAATTACCGTCTCACAATCTACGCCGACGGCATCTTTGGCGACTACATCCAAGACGACGTTCTCGTCTCCGCTGGAGAAGAAACTTCCATAACTACGACATGGACCCCCGAGTCCGCCGGCACAGAACTCTTCCGCATCGGCACCCCCGACAAATCCTCAGGCGAATACCGTCACGGCTACGCCCAGTCCTCCACGCATCCCCTCCTCACAGAAGAATACCGCCTCTACTGGGGTGCCTACGATTTCATCGACGAGTTCCCCGAGGGCGTGACGTACAAAGTCGGTCAGGACGACGCGTCTCAAGCGCTCAACTACGTCCACTGGGCTGTCTATGGCGGGAAAGCGAACTACTAGCGCCCGGAACCTGTACCTGATCATCCGTACAACTGGACTATCCTGTTCGATGCCAAGGCGAATGAACTCAAGAACAGGACTACAGCGACGTTTACGGTGCAGCTTGCGGGTGCGAAGACGGCGGCGGGGAATACGGATAGTTTTAATGCGAGTGAGCCGTATTCGAATCTGCCGTATACGGTTAATGTGAATGGGGTGGATCTTGAGCCTTGGGTTATTCCGTGAGTTTCTCATTCTTTCTCCGTCTTCAAGCATGAAAGTGTACTAACAATCATATCAGGTACAACCAATCCTCATCCTGCGCCGTCCGCTCAGCAGTCATATGCTACAACCTCGCGCACAAATTCCTTTTCCCTTCGTCCATGCTGAAGGAAGGGGAGAACAGCCTGATCCTCAGCTTACCGTATAACGGCACCAACTACGAGAGCGCGCTGTTGCCTGAAGCGGTATATGTTCAGTATGATGCGATGAGATTGGAGGTGAAGTAGATGGAAACGAGAAATAGGATATTTGATCTATCGAAGCTCGATATATGAGAAAAGAACAATCAACGCCGTGATTATGCACCGCTAAATGTACATTTGCTCTTCCCTTTGTCATCAATGAGTGTATCCAATGATAAGGCTAAGCAACTTCCTCAACCATACGTCCACTGAAAGGTTTCTGGGTCCCTTTCTGTGTCTCCCCAGAGAAAACTCTGCCAACAGGGGCTTGGAGCCACTCGTCTGGCACAGCAAGTTGTGTCCCCTTGGCGTTCTGGATGTATCGTACGTAGAGTGGGTTCGCTCGCTCAGGCTCCTGTTCGATCTCCTCGCCGTCTTCGTTGAGCTCGATCATGGACTTACGGCCGCGTTTCGGGGGTTGTTTCTTGAGTAGACGGTTGATGGTGTCGAGCTAGAGTGGAAGGTCAGTAACTGTAAATACAAGAAGATGCTGCGTTGAACAAACCTTCTCCTCTTCATTCCTCTTCTCACTGAGGTTCTTCCTCCGCCTTGCCATTTCTGCCCTTCGCATAGCGTGCTCTTCGGCTGTGAGGTGTTTCTTCTTCTGCGCCTCGTTCGAGAGGGCTAGGAGTGCGCCGTCTTCTTCTTCGTTGATCAGGGCGCGTTGACGCTTCGTCATCTTGCTGACATCGGGGGTCTGGTCGCGGCTGAGGTCTTCGTCGCTGTCCATTTCGTCCATGTCTCCACCTGGTGTGACGCCCATATCGTCGTCTTCCTCGCCCTCAGCATCTTCGTCTTCGCCCTCTGCGTCTTCCTCCTCAAGATCCGAGTCGGGGTCGCTGAGGTCGTCGTCATCGTCGTCGTCCATGGCCATTTCCTTGGCCTCGACTTTGTCTTGGGCCTTTGTGAGCTTTATGGCTGGCGCTGGCTGGACGGGGATTCCTCTGCTCGCGTTTACGGTGATGCGTGGTGCTGGCGTGTCCTCCATGTCGTCGTCTTCATCTCCCTCGGCGTCCATGTCCTCATCCTCGTCTCCTTCAGCGTCTGGCTCGTCGGAGTCGTCATCCACGTCCATGGCATCGACCTCCTCAGCGTCGTCGTCATCTTCGTCTTCTTCGTCCTCGCTGTCGATCTCCCGCACTACGCGACTACTCCTGGATGCGCGTTTGCCCGCGACTATGTTCTGCCTGCTGACGCCTGCCTTTGGTACGACTCCACCGGTGGCCTGTCTGAGCTTATTGGGTGATGACTTGACGGTGAGGTGGATCGACTGGCGCGTCTCTTCGGGCGAGGAGCGCTGTATGACAGCCGCAGCGGGCGACTGGTTGGCAGTGCCGCGGCGAGGGCGGGTCGAGGAGGCGGTCGGGGCACTGGAGGGTGTTAGAGGAGCTGGAGGTGCGCGCGCGCGGAGGCGAGGCATGATTGCAGAGGAGCGAAGAGCGAGGCCGGCAAAAGCGGGAGAAGGCAGTCAGGAAGGATTGCGACGGCGTCAGATAGGCCGTCGGGTCCGTTGGCCTGGCGCAGGGGTGTGCAGGCGGGTGGCACAACGGTGGTGGTGAGAGGGGCGCCTCTGGGGGCAGTGACGGCGTCTTGGGGATGTTGTACTCGCTGCGCTTCCCTTGGCGATGGGTGCAAGCTATTCGCTCGCCTTGTCAGCCACATACCTGGTGCTGTTTCCTCGCTGGTCCCATCCCTCGCCCTCGGATTCGTCATGCTCGGTGCTTATCCGTCGCATGCGTTTCGCCGCGCGATCTGCCATCTTTGCGATTGGTAAGATGATATCCTCTAGATTAAAAGTGGTTCCAATGGCGTGTTGCGACAATTCTACGCGTGTTGGTCATCGGCCATTCCATCAACCTTCAGATGGAGATTCGCCGGGATCTTCCCCAGGTCCTGATTAGGCCGAAAGCGGCTAGCGCATCTTTCCCTTGGATAGAACGATGGCCTTTCTCGCATCACAACATTGAGAAGGGATTACCCTTCTTAGTAACATCCCGACTCGTTCGCATCTGATCTGAGTTTCGATTGTAAAATATGTGGTATATCAGGTTTACATTGGAAGACTACCTAGATCAACCCCGCCTGTCCACTTCTCAGGTAAACACAGCCTTGACAGTCTCTTCAAGATCTTCCTTAGGCACACCCAGCTTGTCGTTCCAAAGCCCCATAGATGAGAAGTCCCCCAATTGCTGCTCCTTGCCAAACGTCGCACCCTGGATCAAGTACATGATGCCGCTGTGATCTCCCGACTGGAGCTTGGCACGTCCTTGCTCGATGTGCTCCTTCACATTGACCTTGTTGACAGTCCACTTCGTGCCAGTGACCTTCTCTGCTGCGGCCAACATCTCCTTTTGCGTTGTCTGAAATCCACTGATGTAGACATATTGGTTCTTAGTCAAATCGGGGTTCTTGAGTGCGTTGACGGTCGCGATACCGATTTGGTTGAGGTTGGTGCTTGAGAAAACAGCTTCACCATCATCAAAGAGGGTTGTGGTCCTTGACTTGCCGTCAAAGCCCAAGAACGCTACCCTGAGGCCCCAGTCGAAGAAGGGGCCAGTGGCAATTCCAGTCCAGCCAATCTCCTTTTCCTTGGTCTTGAGGTATTTGATCGTCTCGAACTTGGGCTCAAATACGGGCACGATCTCGCGAGCGCGCTCGTCATAGACGTTGCTTCCATACTCTGAAGGAAGGAAGCGCTTCACACCCGCTGCGATCGCGGCATCGATCAACTTGTTTTGATCGCCCAGCGCCATGCCGCCGACGAGCGACAAGACAGCATCTTGGCCCTGGAAGGCTTCCTTCAAGCTGTCGTGGGACTCGTAGTTCGCGCGGATGACTTTGACGCCTTCGGGAAAGGTCGAGCTTGAGCCTTGGCGCGAGAGGACAGTTGTGTTGAATGAGGAATCCTTGAGGAAGGCGTTCAAAATGGAGGGACCAAGGTTGCCGCTCGCCTGGTATCGTTAGTCATCGTATCCAGGAGAAGTCCGGCAAGTATACATACACCGACGATGATGACGTTCTTGATAGACATGTTCGAGAAGTGTTGATTGTTGAGTCTGAATAGGTTTGATATCTGTGATGGGTTGTAGAGTGTGTGGTGATTTTGATGCTGTGAGTGTCCTTGATTGTATGGTCTATTTCACCGATGAAGACGCTCTCTTATGTACACCACGACGAAGACGTGATTATGCATAGCTATGATGCAGGTACAGGGCCCCACATCCCCAAATCCGCGCTGCTTGTAAATCTGCGTCGTACAACCATGTTACCTTAGTAATAAAGGCTGAACCAAAGCCGCACATGGCATGCAGTTCAATCATGATGTGGCGCCATTGCTTACGGTACTAGTCTTGGTCGATACCTAGGTGCCTGGGCAGGTGCAAGGTCGGTGTACTTAATCTCTCCGACAACCACTTTCCAGAAGCTTCGCTGCGGAAGTAGTGCATGGCGAGGGCTCTATCGCCGAAGGTTCATCTCGTAATTACGCCGAAATGATCATGCCAATAGATCAGGTTCAAGTCGGTAGAAGGCTGATGTTGGGGTTGCTTAGCACATCTCGCGGAAATGCACCGCCACGCCAAGGCGCTAGCCTGATCCAGATCATGACTGTGGAAGTCGCGCGCACGCGCGGTCGTCACCCGTCTCCTAGAGTTGTTACTTTGCGCTTTCCCACCGTCTTCGTCACATCACCAATGCAAACCGCGCATCTACCTCAGTGCAGTGTTACTCATGTTGCAGCAAGATGAATCTTTACATTCGCACCTCAACCCAGAGCGAACGCGCGTTCAATCTTCATCGCCAAGACTCATTCTGTTCTCGATAATCCCCCATCTCTCAAGCTGCATGAGCAGCTCGAGTGGATCTCCTGCGTTCCAAGCGCTGATTTCCCACTCTGTACGATTTCTCCCGCCTCCTTTGTCGTACACCCAGGGTATCTTCTCAATGGTCCACACAAGTTCTCGTTGTGACGCGTTCAATCGTCGGATGTACTCCCTCGCTTTCATAACCGCGTCTTTAGTCCCCTTCCGCCGAACCTTCATCACCGACGCTACCACATACATTCCTGGACATCTCGTGTTGAGGCGCAGCTTCGTGTGCATTCGGTCGATATCCGTCAAGATCGCGTGGTACGCATGCTTGTTGAGGCCGAGGGCGTCCATTTCAGGTGTATGAGGCGGATAGATGGGATGTCTGAACCCGAAGCGTAGTACTCGGAGTCTGGTTCCTCGCTCTACCGTCTGACGGCATTCCAATCTTCTGTTATGCTCGTAGCTGGTTCTGTTCACGGCACTAGGAAACTGCTCCTTCCACGCCCGATCATCGCTCACCAGCGCGGCAATGATATCTTGCTTCAGTGTGGTATCGGCATACTGCTTCCTCCTATTCACTAGAGGGTTGTCTTCCATCTCAGCCAGATACTTTGCATATGTACTGCGCCGCGTGCTGGCATTGATGCTTGCTCTCATCCAGGCTCGAAAGTAAGGATCGACACCGTACCGATCGATATTGGCACTCAGAACCTCCCGCTTACGAAGCGGGACAGCATTGGGACAAAGAGGATATGGCTTCGAACGATCTCGAATTTGTGCGTGGTGGGGGATGAGGTCATCTGCACACCTGATCGTCTCCGTCGCAGACATTGCTTGACGCCCAAGTGTTGGTCTTGGTCCAGACTCAGCGCATGGAAATACATCGATGAAGGACAGACGCTGACCCATACGCTGACTTGGCTTGGCTGGAGGCGCAGACATCAGTGCCGCTTGCAAGGTTTGGTCGCGGTCGACATGGAGAATCTGGATGTGTGACTCTGAGACACGAGACGGCGCGAAAAGCGAAAACGAATGCACGCAAACCATCACCGAAACGCCCCTGGCTTGAAGGTTCCATGTTATCTCTTCGAGGAGCTGATTGAGCGCGACAGCCTCTTGCTGGTTCTTCTTCAGCTGTTCGGTTGTGTCCCAAAACCTGCCGCATTTGCCTGGCCCGTGCTTCTTTCCGGAAGTCTTGCGTTCACCGGCTTCAGCAGGGGATGCCGCGACCGGTCCTGCACATTTCTTTCTCCTTACTCCCGTCCAGATCTTGTTCAAGAAATCCCTCAGCGCAGTTGTCAAGCGACAATAATCTTCATACGTGAGGCCATGGTCTGCTAGCGCAGTTGTGTACTCTGTAGGTTCGCAGAGCCGAAATGATGTCACAAAATGCGCTTCGGATCGAGTACATTGTTGACGGTCGGCGACCCCAGGGAACAGCATTCCGATGTCGTCAACGAAGCGTTTCTCCGGCTGTTGAGGGGGTAGGCGGAAGTCGCTTGCCTGCACGACGGATTTGCGAATATTCTCCAATGTCGAGTGCCTCATACTAATCGTCGATTTCAAAAGGCTTCTTGCTCTAGCTCCAATGCGCTCGCTAAGGACGCGGTGATCGCCTGAGACGCAGGCATCAGGCCGTGTGGCCGACGAGATTAGGCTGCTCTTTGGGTACGAAGACTCTGACTGCAGTGGCGGATCTGCGATCGTACTCTCCGAGCATCGTTTCCCAGACGACTGCGCATAAAGTGCGCGGTGATGACCCAGCGAGTTCGCCTTTTCAACAAGGTGAGAGTCGCTATTGGATTTGTTGTTTGTTGCGACATCCAGATCTGGCTTCGCGGTTCGAAAAGGTATGGGATCAGTGTGCCTGCGAGATAGCACAGGCCTGGCATGTTCGTGCTCTCCTTCTCTTTCCGCGCATCCCATGTCTCCCCTCTCGCTCCCCAACGTCGTTATACAATCCACCGACAGCCGCTGAGCCATTTTGAAGATCTGAACGTCATGGGTCTCTTTCTCGCGTGTCTTTCCAATTGCCATACAGTAATGACGGTGTCTTCACTCGTCGCGAGTGGATAAACTGGATTCGCAGTTCTCTTGAGGTGTTTGTAACTTGTTGAGGGCGCTGGTAAACATCATCGTGGGCAACAACCCACTAGATATGGACAGAAGCGACTGCCGGCTGCTAAATTTACAATTGTGGAAGCTCGGCAATGTTTCTCTTCCTGCAGCGCGATTGACTTTGGACCAATCCGCACTCAGAAATCTCGGCCGAAACTGAGGGCAGGGGCGTATGCGAAGACAAAGGGCTGCAGCAAGGGGCTGCCCTTTGCGCATGTCTTGGACCACTACTTCAACAAGTTTCGACGCACGATGACATTCGAACACCACAAGCATTAAGTCTTCACCCAAAACGGTCGCGTCCCAGGATCTACTGATTACACGGTCCATGGTGAGTTGCTCCGCGGATCTAACATGCGCTGCGCCCTCCCGTTTAGGTGAAGCTTTCAAGCGCAAAATACGTGGCATTTCAAGTCGGGCTTTGGTCACCGCTGCAATCGATTTAAACTCTGGAGTCCAAGCTCAATGCGATTGTTGTTGGCCCCAAAGGTGAGGGCATCTGGCGGTGGCGCAAAGGATCTCACAGTTCATGCGCCCAAAAACGCCGCAATCTCATGAGCCAGGATTTGCACGCATCTTCGCAGGGTCTCTTCCTCTACCCGATTCAGCCTTCTCAGCCGATATCTGATGAGAAGTAGAACATCGGAGTCATACTGTCGGCGCATTGTCATACACTGGTATGCGTCATACAAGCAATCGTAATGTGTTATAGTATGACAACCCCTTCCCGACAAGCTCTCTCTATCCCGCCACAAGAGCACCTTTCAGTCGTAATCTTGTGCATACCCAAGTACTCACCTGTCTTTTGGACGACTTCAATAGCTGATAGAACAGGCCAACATGCCTTCATATCCGTCGCGCCATTCAGGTCCAACACTACAGAAATTCCAACGACGAGTGCAGCACGATATGACAGTGCTGTTCAAGTCAGTATGTACATGGGAGGCTTTGAGTCTCAAAGCTACTGACTGCGTAGTATCTTGCATTCACTGACGCAGTGTGACTTCTTCGATATGACAGACAAAAGACCCACAGGGTTCGACACTCGAATCATGCAGCGTTTCTTATAAATTCTACATTCCAGTCGGTCACTTGAACTACATTCTCATAGAGTTGCACGAATACACCGACATAATCTCTCGGCTATAGACCATGAGCGACCAGGAATTCAAGACAAATCTAACTAGCTACTTTTACAACGAGTTACGTTACGCAAAATGTTCTCCAAAAAAAGCTTCGATATATGCAGATCACGCCATGAAGATCTATAGCTATTATTGGGGTCTTGGAGACACTCACGAAACGGCCTTAGGTCATGCCCAACACAGTATCGAGAAACATTTCCATCCAGCCGAAGAGTTGGACCTTCCGGGAGGTAGTCTTTACTCAGAAGAAGTGGCGAAACAGCAGAGAACCCAAGAAGCCTTGGTAGATGTCCGCATTCCTACTCGTGGCACATCCTCACACCCTTCGACCTTCCGCTATGCCGCTGCCACTGCTGATGAAGACATTCAAGGTTTGTAACTGCATAAGACAAATCCTGTTCAGCTTCACTAATTTGAGTAAAGATCATGTCAGATGTTCAGCATCCTCGAAAGCAGCTCCCACTAGCGCTTCAAAGCACCGATCCAACGATAGGACTAATCAGGAACACTCAAGTCAAAAGCCTTCCCAAGTTAGACAAAAGGTCATTTATCACGGTGGTGAGAGTCTGCACGCAGACGCTCGACAGAATGTCGGTGCGCGCACACCGATCCATGATCGATCGACACACCAGGTCCATGATCCACCACTGGCGCACCCTCTACATACCGGGGGATCAAGTCGGCATACACAGTCTCGCAAAAGTCGCGGTAAAGACGTCTCAGTACGCGACCAATCCCCAGTACGAGGAGCCGCCAAATACCAATCCAGCGCCTTACATAATACGAGCAAAGAGCAGGACGCGTACTACGTTTCAAAAGACTCCGACATACGAATCAATTACAAGAAACCTCCACCCGTTGGCTCAAGTCGCAGACCACGTAAACAGTCACAAACTGAAGGAACTCATCAAGCGGATTCTCCTTTTGCGTCCGCTGGTGATCATAAGCCAAGCGACCGTTCTCATACTCCAACAAAGTCTACAAAGAACAGTGGTGGGCCAAAGGTCAGCGAGACTGTGTCGGAGCAATCCTCAGACGAGGAATTCGATAGAGCCCCATCTCCAGGACCTCAGCAGTTCAGACCGCCGAGCATATCGAGCGAATCCCCAGACGAAGGTATGGCCCCCGGTCAAAAGCCGCCGGTAGATCTCTACAAGTTTCTAGACATCGCACGGTCGGATGATACAGCGTCGGTCAAGGACGCCTATTTCAAGATGATCAAGAAGTGTCATCCAGACAAATGGAACTCTTTGCCGGACGGTGATGAGGTCAAAGAGGAGAACAAAAGAAAGGCAGCGTACCTTAATGCTACAAAGGATGTACTGCTTGATGCAGATAAGAGGGCCTTTTATGATGAGACTGGGCTTATGTCCTGATCTTGCTTGAACTAGTGTAAGAGCTCTTTTGGTGGCAAGGCAGCAGCACTAGATAGAGCTATAGAATATATCTCAGTGAGCAAGCATTGTTTTGAAAATTTGTCCTAAAAATGAATAGCAGCGTGTTTGATGCGCCACTGCAATTTTGCTCATGGGTCAACGTCGGTTGCCAGCCTCACACCGGAGCGCTTCACCGAATTGCCGACCACCTGCGATTTGCACTCGCTAAGCTTTTCGCATCGCCAGGCACCTCGAAAGGGTCTCTGTCTCGTTTCATGTAGTCTCAGCGGTTGGTCCTTTCCTCACTGTCTGATGACAAGCACATGATCAGAGTGATGCGATTCGTCTACAGTCATAAACCAACATGCGTCAAACGAAGACTCAACATGTGCACATCTTTGGTGCAGCCTCTGTCCACGTCTCTCACAGGCGCCGTCAACGACCATGAGTTTCCTACTCGGACCAGTGACTCGACCACTGTTGAGGACTCATTTGTACGTGGTATAAAATTCCTTGGATTTGGAGAACCTTTACTGAACATCTCCACTCTCATAACTATGTTCACAATCTAAGGGCCATGAACCGCAAAGCATATGAGGCCCATCTACGAGAATGGGAAGAATACCGTAATCCGGGGTCCACGCATGCGGAGGCACCAAGACGGCGCCAACCTGTTGAGCCTCGAACAGGGTCATCGAGAAGGTCTCTTGTTGGCGATGCGCTGCTAGATGATCCAGAACGCGACCGGGTACGTGAGCAGCTCAAAAAACATGATCGTTTGCGAAAAGAGGCACACAAACGAACCTCATCCGAAGAACGGTACCCTGAGACACTCCGTGGTTGTTTTTGGGATGAAGAAGAGGTCGAGAGATACCCTGGCACAAAGCAGGAGAGCATTGGGTCGAAGCGGACATCGATACCCAAACAAGAAAGCCGAGTCTTGAATTCAAGCAATCCTACTACTGACGAAGAGGCGATGAAATGTCATGGAAAAGCTCGAGCTCCTCTCTCAACAGATGGGCATGTTGTTGACAGCGAGCGTCGCCGCAGTAAGCTGCCTGTTCCCTTAGTTTTTATACATATCGCTGACTACGACGGAGTTATTGGCAAGACTATATTTAGACTTTCTCAGAATCAAGGCTACTTATTCCTGACTAGCAGCCGTCATAGCAGAGTAAAAGAGGGATGGGAGAAAGCAAAGATCAAGGCTATCAAGGAAAACCACAAATTTGTACAAAAATGCCGCAAGGAAAAGGCTGCTCGTGATGCAGCTACTCTCGCCTCAGTACAGACACTGGACCCGAGACCAGGCAGTGCACACGACATGAGTAGTGCGCGGAGTGCCGTACGTCATCCTAAAGATCGCAAGCCGAGCGCATCGTCCCGTACGCGTCCTCAAGTCTTGCCAACCAAATCCACCCCAGACGCGCCGAGTGTTCGACCCGCTGGGCCTAAGCACACCAAGAGAGAGCGCAAAACTCCAGACCAACGCCCAATCTTGGTTCAACATACCTGGCTTTCCAACTACATGTCCGAAAACAAGATCACCCCGAGCGTACCTCAACCATCATCGCATAGTGGAAGCAAAAGCCGTCATGAACGCCCATACGCTAGCGTGGCCGACGAGAAGGACTCTTTGCTGTTGGAAGTTGGTCCTGAAACCGAACCACTGTCTTTAAGGAGAGAAGATGCGACGTAGGAGTGCGACTTCTGGATCTAGTTGAAGAGAGATGTCATTCTGTCCGTTGGGAGCTATGTCGCGATGTTTGGCTGCTTCGGTAGCAGTCCAGTATCGATGGACTTCAACTGGCTTCTCTGCCCATGCTGGCGGCTCTTGTTCGAAGAGGCTAGTGATATCTTGAGGTTGTTAGTTCTTTGATGATAATAACAAAGTTGACATCAAGTCGAAAGCGTTTACTTACCCGACTGTGCCGACGGCTGAAGTTTGTGATTTCAAAATATGAGCAAAGCGGTGGCAACGATGCGAGCTGAGGGAAGCAGTTGCGTGGCACCTGTAGCACTAGCTCTATCTCGTCTTCTTTCGTTCCCACCTCCTTCGACCAAATCCTGCGTAGCGTACGTACCCGTTCAGCCCATTGTTCACTACCTTCGGCGTCTCCAAATTCCGGGTAGAAGTCGAAGAGTCCAGCTTCTTTCAAGAGTTTCAGGGAAGTGACGCATGATCGATCAGTAATGCTCACCGCCCCTTGGGAAAGGTACTCGCCGTTGTAATAGTCTTCAAAGTTCAGACGAAAGTCGTCTCATTAAACGGGATCTTGTGTGTCTCAAAGCAGCTCACACATGCTGTCACCTTCCAGTCCATTCACTTGGAACACTTCGATTGCCCAAACCGGAACAGGCAGTCACCGCCAATTTCCGCAGCCCACGTGCAGCCCCACATAAAACACTTTCCATTGTCGGCGTCGCTACCTTCACATTCGTCGTCTTTGCCATATCATAGCGCCAGCTCCTTCCGTTACGACACATCGCGCATGCGCGTCCACAGATCCTCAGATCCACGACCTCACCTAGCGGCCAACATGAAGTAAATATACTGCACTCTGACTGTCTGCTCAGTTCCACTAACCGACGCAGTCCGACGGACGCGATCATCGAGTTGGTGGTACCGGGTTATGTTGGAGAGACGACTCTTCTCAAAGTTCACCGCGGTGTTCTCTGCAAGAGCTCGAAATTCTTCCAAAACGCCGTAAAGCCAGAATGGACCCACCAAGAAGAGAGAGTCATCAACCTCCCGGAAGATTTGGCGGACACAGTGATCAGCTACGTCAAATGGCTTTACTGTGACAAGCTTGCGATCAGTCAAGTCCTACCGCCAGACGCCCTCACGCCCGAGAAGAAGACTGAAGAAAAGGACAAAATCTACGTGTTGCTTGCGCAAGCATACGTCTTCGGAGAGAAGATGATGGATGTGAAGTACAAGAACGCAGTACTGAAGGCCATATACGGGCTCACGAACGCCTTTTCGAAGTCTATGGGATCGAAGAGCGTCTGTATTCTATACGATGGCACTCCTTCCGGATCTCCACTACGACGTTTCATTGCCGAAAACACTGCACACAAGGCCTGGCATGACTCAGAGAAGGGAGTTGGCTGGGGGAACTACTTCGACAAATGTCCAAAAGAAGCTTTGGCAGACGCACTCAGGGCGATGGTCAAGATACGCCCGGCGAAAGTCGACTCACTTCCTGGGCTTCACTCGTACCTAGAGGAACACTAGTAGAATCACTAACGATTTCCCTTTCGGTCATCAAACTGAGTGGCTGGGGTTGCACTAGTCGATGACGTGAGTGCCGGCTTTCTACTGACAAAGCAAGATACTATCGTCATTAGTCACAAGCGTAGCATAATATCAAACTCATCTGATTCTTCTACACCTCACTAGGCAACACCCCCCATCTATCGTAAAACTTCTTCTTAACCTCATCACACAACACATCATTCGCCTGATTAATCTCTGCCATCTTCTCAGTAGCTTTCTTCTTGTCAGGTCCACGACAGCGATCAGGATGCCACTTCAAACTCATAGAACGGTGTGCTTTCTTGATATCAGCAGCTGTGGCGCTTCGGTTAAGACCAAGTACAATGTAAAGATCTATTGCGGGTTTGATGCCTTGCGGAGGTGGCGTGACTGGGCGTTGAGATGATGATGGTGGTACATAAGAGGTCCTAGGTGGAGCGCCGGGGCGAAAAGAGTAAGAAGAGTTGGTCGGGTACGAATCGGACGACGAGTAGAATGTATAGCTGGGTGGTGATGAAGAGTACGAGGGGTGACTCGACTCTGCAGTCCAACGCCGATAGCCTGAAGGTGGCTTCCGGTCTCCATTACTGGGAAACCAGCTGTATGAATTACTACGAGGGCCATAAGAGAATGAACGTTGTGGGCCATGATCTCTAACAGTATATCCATCGGAGTTTTCTCGCGATGGCTGAGCATGGCGCTGATAGTCGTAGACAGAAGGGATGTAATCCGGACGGCGATAGCTCGGCGTACTCCGATCCTCCGCGTGTTGCCATTGCGGCTCCTGAACATTGCCCTGGTAGTGGTAATGGGAGGGCATGTACTGAGGAGCACGATATTCAGGCACACTTGGTATGCTCCAATCTTCTTCAGCTTGCGTTCGCATCTCTGCAAATATGCTGTCATTGTCGTCCAAAAGACTCCACATCATACCGGAGAACCCACTAAAAGCATCGTGTCCACCGCCATCTCTGGCTCTCCGTGAGCTATGCATCGGCGGGTCATCATCATACGAGAGTGGAGACGATGAGTACCTATGGTGCGCTATACTCGCTTGATATAGCTCTTCTAGGTATCTTTTCGAGATGATTGAATCTGCGTTGAGAACACGCTCGACGTATTTGAGGCTGCGCTCAGAGGCTTCGTCGATGGTGTAGCCCCTGTTGCGGCAGTGGATGTAATAGCTTCCCCGAAGCTCTTCTTCTTCTGCATGTCTATCCATGAGGGATGTGTAAGCGAGGAGCTCCTAGATAAGGGTTTACTGTGCAGTCTGAAGTTGAGGGTGGAGAGGCCTGCTCTGTGTAAAATTGATTGACCGTCCAAACTGGCCAGGTACTTATGAAGTTGGTGGCGCACTGTATAGATCGATGCTACTTCACAACGGTAGTGTAGTGAACGGCACAAGTTTTCATTGTAATCGAACCAAAATCGGCTTGAAAATGACTTAGGTAAAGGGTTGTGGTGCTAGGTGAATAGCATTCCTACATCAGCCTTACATTGTAGTCTCGCGTTTCGCACGTATTGTGTACACATATCGTACATAGCCCAATCCCTCCTCACATAGGGACAGGCGTTAGATGGCCATCCTTGTCATACTTCGCCTTGAAGAACGTGTAGCTCAGTGTGACGGTCTCAATACCCTTCATGTTAATATCCTTTGTGAATTCAGGATCGATGTAGAAGAAGACGGGCATGTCCACCGTTTCCCCAGCATTTAGTCTCTGCTCTTCGAAGCAAAAGCATTGGATCTTGCTGAAGTATGGGGCGACCTGTCCTGGTGTGACAGAATATGTAGCTACGCCAATGATATCTTCTGACGATTTGTTGGTTGCAGTGTAGAAAGCGAGGGCGGTCTCGCCGGGGAGGACTCGGACTTCGCGCTGTTGAGGAACAAACTTCCACGGTAGGACGTCGGATACGGAGCCGTTGAATGTGATTCGGATACGTGGGTGGTGTTCGACGGGCTTTAGGCGCTCGGAGGGATCGACGGAAGTATCGCCGCCGTGGGCCGCTGACTTTATAGGCTGGCCTCCCCAACCGGTCTCCTGGCAGATCTGAAGAATACGTCAGATTGGGTTTCTGCCGACAATGTGATGATCTATGACCATACCATCTTGTAAAACGGTACTGAGCCATAACTGAGCGCTGTGAAGCCTATTATCACACTGAAGACATAGTTCCTACGCGATGATCAGCGATTGCACTTTCTGCCAACAGAATCTTGTACATACATGACTGTGCGGTTCTTCATCTTATATTGCGCATGCATCTGGTCCATTCTTGGCACGGTGCCATGCTGCCGCGCGGGATTTGTGCTGTTCATCCATCTTCGTGCGGTCAAGGCGGGATTTCGGGCGCGCGGTATCCTAGTGAGCGAGCGAGAGCATGACAGGCAGGTCCAGGATCCCAGCGACCGTGAGGGAAGTTGTCGTAATGGCAATGCGGCAGACATATCGTATTGTTGTGTTGTAAGAGTCAACGAGCCAATGGAGGAAACCTCGGCGGAGTGATGAGCAATGGAAGTTCGCCGCGGGATTTAGCCCGATTGGGAACGCGTCTTGGAGCGCAAAAGTCGCGAGTGATTTGCGGACGTCATCTTCGATACTACCAGCACAACCATTCTCACGACACACATTTGTCTTCTCCTTCCAAAATTCGAAGTTGCGATCCCTGCCGACAAACAGCACAATGTCAGAAGTCCTCTGCGGCGTCTGCAACGCAGAGCCCAAGAAATACAAGTGCCCGACTTGCGCGCTTCCATAGTTCGTTGCCATTTGTGATCTCTTAAATCTACAATACTGATCGCATACAGCTGTTCATTATCATGCTTCAAATCGCACAAACCAACACATCCCGACACCACGTCAGACGCGCCAAAGCCAGCAGAGCCAGCCCTCCCACAACCACCTCCTCCCGCCCCAGTACCGCGCTACCTAAAGGCGCGCATCGACTTCTCCGTATTAGCAACAAACCCGAAATTCCAAGAGCTACTCAAAACACACCCAACGCTACTTCCGTCACTCCAACGCGTATACGCCAAGACCATCAAACCAGATCCCGAAGCTGAGAGTCGGCGGCGCATGCTCGAACGAAACGCCTCACGGGGAAGAGGCATGAGGGGAAGGGGCCGAGGAGCATGGAGGGGTGGACGCGGAGGTTTCAATGGAGGGCAGGAAAAGAAGGAAGAGTACTGGACCCAGAAGAAGGGAGACAAGGACGCGATGGAGGAGTTGAAGGGTATAAGAGAAGGAGAGGGGAAGGAGGGAGAGAAAGACGCCATGGCCGAGTTCGTTGGGTTGGTCGAAGAGCTCTTTGGGCAGCATGAGAAGGATGCGATGGAAGAAGTTTGATTGGTAGCCTACAACACCATCATTTCACGATGAGATTACGGACGAATCGCGATACCACAGCGACGAAAGCAAATACCTGCTAGAGAACGACAGAAGCCCAGATACCGAGCGTACTAGGAAACCAGGCCTATGGTCCAAGGCCTGAAGTACCCATGATACCGTCTTTGGGAACTATGTCTGGAGTATCGATACGAGCGCCAGGCTGATGAGAAAGTATCATTGTGTGAGGAATCACCGGCGCCGACAGATACTAATAGCCTATCGCTACTATAAGCTAGCTAGCACGTATACTTGATATCCAACTCTACCCTCGGCACTCCCTCGAAATCCTCCGGAACCACATACGAAATGTTGTAAAACAGATGGTTCCTCAGCGCCGTTCCATACGTCACATTCTGCTTCACCAAGCCCTCCGCCTCAACCTCAATCTCCACACACGGCAAATCCTCGAATCCCGTTATGCGTCGCCCAGTACCCAGCGTCCAACTCGGCGGCACATTCGACAGCGCAAATGTAAAGATATCGCTCCCTTCCTGCGTCCGGTTGGGATAGCTAATAGAGAGATGATTTGGCGAGGCGACAGCGTGGATCGACGATGCAGACGGGTAGAGGGCGAAGAAGGTGTTAAGCGGATAAGGCTTATGCTCCTTATCACCCGCCCAATGAACAATAGCAGGAACAAACTGATCCCCTCTGTTCACATCCTCATCCACCTGTTGTCCGCCAATCATCAACTCTTTGCTCAACCAACTCGACGCGATCCTCGGCTCACCTCCCTCGAGCTCATCCCAAACCGTTCGGTTCAGCCACCTTGGCTCTCCAATGAAGTCTCTTGTCGTAAACGCCTTTTCCACATGCGCTGGTAAAAGCGTCTCCACATCTCCAAGGACAAGCGTCATAGCCGCTCCCTGAGCAACATCAAATAGTAAATCCCCCTCCATCTTCTTCGGCTGGCTCGTCCGCTCCCTGCCCCAAAGACCCCACAGTACCAAGGAGAGAACAGACGAATGCTGTGTGATATCTCTCGTATACGCCCTATCATACGGCCCCACCACATTCCCCAAATACCCATTATAATGATCCGCTAAATCACCCATCATCCGCGGCAGGATATACTTCGCCGCCTTCGTCATGCTGGAGTTACCAACACCGTACTTGATCTGCGCACCCATGGCCCAGACATCAATCCCGTAATACGTAGGCGCGTTGTACTCGCTAACCGTCTCCGCACCTTCTCTTTGGAACAACTGTAATATCTTCTTCCCTTGGTCTTCCGCGAAAGACGTGAAAGTGGAGTTGGATCGACGGGTGCCGATGTATTCGCAGAGGAGAGCGCGCATCATGGCTGGGTTCGTGTAGCCGATTGTTAGGTTGTCGTCGATTGTGGGGTAGGTGCCGTTGCGGCGCATACTGCCCACGGCGGCGACTTCGAGCGAATCTTCGATGGAGGTTATGAGCGAAGGGGGGAGGAGAAAGGAGAATTCGGAGAGGATCTGGATTAGTTGGGTGCCGATGAAGTCGCGCCAGTTGGGGTCGTAGGTTGTCTTCGGGGGGGAGTGTATTAGCTTGGGGATTGGAGGGAGTGACGGTAGATGCTGGTCAACGTACGTATATCTTTGGTACGTATAAACCTGAATCAGGCGTTGGATCTGGTTCATCAGGGGATAGCTTGTATGTTCCGTACCATGGAGCGTCGAAATCATCTGTCATCTGACATGCTAGTCTAATGCCGCATTGTCAGTCATTTTCTTCTTAGACTTCACCTGCCCATTCTATACCATACGTACATGTTCCTGATAGAAGCTTCTGCATGCTTCACATCATCTCCCTGGTTCCTGTGCAACAATCCGGCTACATACCACGCTGTGAAGCGAACAGACCATGGTCCTTTGTCGGAGTACTGGATGAAGTTGTAGGATGCATCGTAGCGGTTGTCCTGGATGTGCATGGACCAGTCGAAGAGATCTTGGGCATCTGATTGGGACTGTTAGTGAGAAGACATAGACGTTAATTAGAAAGCTTGATTGACGTACTTGAAGAAAGTACTGTGCTGCTACGTTTCGTTACTGCAGCACTTACACGCGTGGCAAGATACGCTACGACGAAGCTGAATGCCCTCATCTTAGACTATAGACGAACCCAATGCATTCAATAGCTTCATTGTCCTCATCACATTGTCGACTTAAATACCTTCCCAGATTCCTGCACGCCTGAGCCGGATAATTGCACCCGCAATCAAAAACCTCCGCATCGTGAGCGGCGATCTACCCCAGACTTCAAGTATTCGGCGCAGTGCCCGCCGAAGAGTAGCCTTGTGTGTTCTAGTGAAGCTTGGAGTGCTTGGTAGGATCAGGTAGTTGCATGTGTAGTGTCACTTCTCGTTGCCGCTAATGACGCACCGGGAAATTCTCCCGGATATATTCCTCTGGGCGTCAATACTTCCGGTGCTACTAGAAATGAAGTCTTGGAACTGGTATTTGACTCTTGGAAAAGGTATATTGAGGCAGAACAACGCGTATCGCGGATGGGAATGTGGTATCGTAGAATCAACAGTAGGTTACGTTGTGAAATATTCCATCTCTTTCCTCAATCTTACTTTTCTTACGAACAAGAACTTATACCGTCTCGATATACCTTCTGACTTCCCAATCAGTCACGGCTTCATCCCACAGCCTAATCTCATGTTGCCTGGTGCCGCCAAAGTGGTCCACAAACTGATCGCCAAATACCTCTCTCGCGACACTTTCTTTCCTCATAAACCGCTCTGTGGCCTCCTTCAGGCTCTTGGCTAGGCGCTCGCCCTTATCCGCCTCTCCACCAACATCTTCGCCCTTGCCTAGAGGCGGTATGCTAATCTCCATCTTCTTCTCGATACCTCGCCAGCCAAGAGCTAGAATGGCAGCAAGGACGAAGTGTGGGTTTGTGTCTGCGCCTGGCACACGCACTTCGAAGCGTGTTGCCTTACCAGAAGAGGTGGGAGGAGAAATAAGACGGATGGACGCGGCGCGATGTTCAAGACCCCATGATACAGTAACAGGTGCCCAGAAATTCTCTACTAGCCGTTTGTAGCTGTTGACATTGGGTGCGAGAATAGGCATGATGTCGGGGAGACCGTCGATCAAACCCGCGAGGAAATGCCGACCAAGGTCCGAAAGGTACGCGATGTCTGAGTATGGCGCATTCTTGTCCTCTTCGCCTCGGTAGAAGAGGTTCTTGTTTTCTTTGTCCACGATTGAGACGTGCATGTGGCCGCTGTTTCCTGGGAGACCCTCGCGCGGCTTTGCCATGAAGCACGGTGTTATGCCGTACTTGGATCCGAGTGACTTGACGACAAGTTTGAAGAGCGACGCTTTGTCAGCCATTTGCTGGATCTCGCCGAATTCGAGAGCCTATGCTGTGTCAGTCTGCTTTGCCCGTGCCCACGAGTTGATATACCCACCGCTTCAAAGACACCCGGACCGGACTCAGTATGCCATCCTTCGATGCCACAGCCAAACTGGGCGCATGTGTTGAAGATGCCGTAGTAGTACTCCTGGTTGTGGACGGGTCGCGTGATGCTGTATCCAAACATGCCTTCGGTAAGACTGGGGAGCGAGTTGACGGGGTTGTCGCGCAAGAAGGCGGCGGTGCTCGACGTGTTCCTCTCTGAGCCATCGTGGCTCTGGGGCGCGCGGAATTGGTAGAACTCGTACTCGGCTACACGGTAACACATCAGCTTCATTGACGACGCGCAGCACCCGCTCTTCAACTGGCGTTGGACTCACCACCAGCCATAGCGCCATATCCATTCTCCTTCAGCTTGTCGACGGCGCGCTTCAACAGACTCCTTGGGCATGCGCTGAGGGTGCCCTTAGTGTCCGGGTCGTGGAAGCTGATGAGGAAGAAGGGCACGTTGTCCTCCCACGGTATCCTCCGGAAGGACGTCAGGTCGGGTATGGCGAGCAAGTCGCGGTATCCGTTCTCCTTGTTGGAGATGGCCAACTCCTTGAAGTATGTCTGGTCGTGCATGTCCCATCCGAAGATGACAGAGCAGAAACCGAAGCCCTCGTTGGCTATGCTGAGGAACTTTTTCTTGGCCATGAGCTTTCCGCGCAGGACGCCGTCGACATCGATGCCCGCGACCTTGACTGCGAGGTCATTTTTGAGGAGTTCGGGCAGTTGCTCGGCCGTCAGCTTGGAGGCATCGAATTCGGCGGCCATGGTGAGGATGGAGGGGGCTGGAGCGATGTAGCTGTTGAAGCTTATGAGTGAAAGGAGCGTCGTGTCGTTGGAAAGAGATATCGCGTCGCAATCAGGTTTGCGCGGATAGAGAGCTTAAGGGCCCAAGGCGTTTGGGATGCGATAGGCGGGACAGCTGGGGTGGGCCAATGAGGGGTTATCGGGATGCGGGCTGCGATGCATCCAACGACATCATAGCCTGGCCTTGCATGCGCGTACAGGCTATATCTTGCATAGTCACGCGTATGTGTGCTATCTCTCTCCTACGCGACACCTCGACACCCTCCCGAAGCGACAACATGAATCCCTATGCGACAACGTGATGATGCGCCGGCATACAAGAGACGGGCAAGCACGCACGTCATCCATCATGGCGGGGTAGTGGCCATACTTCATCAGCCCTGACGTGTAACGGCGTTTGGCGCATCCATGCCGTAGGACAGTTGTTAATTCGAGGCTGCTATCGTGCCTTCGCCCACCGCTCCTTCGTCGTGTGCCCAAAGATGACAGCCGCCAACGCGATAGCCCGCCCTTATCGTAGTCTATCAATGCAATGGGCCGATTTCGGGACCCTTGATGTTTGAATGACTTGTGAGCTGTCCGAGACTACCCGTTCGTCATCTCCATCTCCTCGCACTCTCCATTCCGACGACGCTCCTCATACGCCAGCCCGCACTGCAAAGTCCGATTCATAGGTGAGTGTGGAGACTGGTACTGTTTGCGCCTTTGGCAAACCTTCCCCATTCACAGGTCCGCGCGCTGTTCTCATGACGCTTCCTCTAGCAAAATATTAGTCATATCTCACAGCTTCCACAAAACTTTGCCTCACCCTTCATATCCATTGACCGCATTGCAGCACCTTCACTACACTTCTATCAGCACAATAACCAGACCAAACATTCAACATGGGTCGTCTTGAAGGCAAGAACTGCATCATCACTGGAGGCGCTGGGTAAGCACCGATCCCGCACGTACCACGACACATTTCCTACCAGCATTTCTTTTGCAATCATCTACCCTTTTGACCATGTTTCATTACTGGCTTCAACGCCGAATTGTTCATTTTTCAACGCGGGGAGCAGCACACACAGGATTTTGTCGCGTACCCGCAACTACCTACTGACAACCGCCAGCGGTATCGGTCTCGAGACTGCCATTCTCTTTGCTCGGGAAGGCGCCAATGTCCTCCTCTCTGATATTTCCGGCCCAGCCCTGGAGAAGGCTTCGGCCAAGCTGAAAGAGATAGTCCCAGAGGCCAAGAAGGTCGAGACTAAGATTACCGATGTTTCCAAGGAGACCGATGTGCAAGCTATGGTTGAGCACGTCGACTCATGGGGTGGTCTGGATGTACTGTTCAACAACGCAGGCATTATGCACTCAGACGACGATGACGCTGTCAACACACCCGAGAAGATCTGGGACCTGACACAAGCCATCAACGTCAAGGGTGTATGGTTCGGCTGCAAGCACGCAGTCAACAGCTTCAGGAAGAACGGCAAGAAGAAGACCAGTGTCATCAACACCGCCAGCGTTGTCGCATTGGTCGGTAGCGCAACGCCCCAGCTCGCATACACCGCCAGCAAGGGTGCCGTACTGGCCATGACACGTGAGTTGGCTATGGTTCACGCACGTGAGGGCTTCAGGTTCAATGCGCTATGCCCAGCACCGCTCAAGTAGGTTTACTCCCAACCAATACGCTACTTGTGAGATACTAACAGTAACAGCACACCACTTCTGCAAGATTGGCTTGGTGACGACCAGGCTAAGCGTCACCGTCGCGAAGTCCACTTCCCCACTGGTCGCTTCGGTGAGGCCATCGAGCAGGCGCAGGGTGTTCTCTTCCTTGCCAGCGATGAGAGCAGCTTCGTCAACGGCACCGATTTCGTCATCGATGGTGGCATGACCAGGTGTTACACCACGCCTGACGGTCCACCTACGGAGGCGCCCAAGAACAACGCAAAGTAAGTGCGGGTTCGAAGGGTTAAGTTGTTGGAGGATCAGAAGAGCACCAAGGCCCACGGACAGGGAACCGTGGCTATGAAGGATGTATGATATATGAGATCAAATCTTATGACGAGCAATACCATCAGTGAACATCTACCTTTGTTGCTGACCGTGGTCTACCTTAGCGCGAGTTGTCCATGATTGCGGATGTCACCACAACAGAAGAGCCTTAGACCTGATGAAGTCAAGAACGTGACTTACGCAGCTGTCACATAGGCTTATGGATGGCAGTTCACAGAAAAGCGCCCTGAGTGGCTACGGGACGTCTTCCACTGCAATCAACACTTCTTCCAAATTGCCTGACAGCGTAAGTAGGAAGCTCTACGCAATTCGCTCGGGAATGTCTGACCGAGCATGAGTATGGGAATTGGAAATGGGGTTGAGGAGTGATTCGTCCGGTGAAGTATGCCCTCGACGCCTGCAGTAGTTTCAGATGACCACGCGTCTTAGCGCATCCGTGTGGGGATGGCGTTTCAGGGTCCAGGCGGCCAGGATCGGACTTTCTTGGACCACGCGCCATCTGGTCAGACCGTCATCGGCAACATGGACCGCATTACCGCACGCGCTGACAACGACTTCAATGTCGCCTTGTATGGCGCACTCTGGATAGCCGCACTCTCTTTCATCTGGATTACTTGTCGTGCTGATCCCGAGGAGCCTGTCAAGTATGAAGTCGACACACCTGAGCAGGCTCGCAAAGGATGGAAGGGCCAGGTGCTTGAGAAGCCGCAGTTGAAGGTGCACATGTACTCCCCAGGTTTCGGTTTCGGTGACTGACTTCAGCAGGTACCGGGCTCTTCCCTGATCCAATGCTACGCTCCCGCGACTGGTGAAGCCCTCGGGCGCATCAACCCCTCCACAGCCGACGGCATCGACCGCGCAATCGCCAAAGCCAAGGCAGCCCAGGTACAATGGGCTCAGACAAGCTTCCTCAGGCGGCGAAAGGTGCTGCGCACTATGCTCAAGTTCATCCTGGAGAACCAAGAAGAAATTGCGCGGGTCGCATGTCTGGACTCAGGCAAGACTATGGTAGACGCGAGTCTGGGCGAGATTCTGGTGACGGTGGAGAAGCTGAGGTGGACGATCAAACACGGCGAAAAGAGTCTCAAGGCTGAGAAGAGGGACACCAACTTCCTCATGATGTACAAGTGGAATGAGGTTGTTTATGAGCCGCTGGGCGTCGTTGCGGCTTGCGTGAGCTGGAAGTAAGTATCAAACGTCACTCGATTAAATTATTGCGGCTAACAATACTACAGCTACCCCTTCCACAATCTCATAAGCCCCGTAATAGCCTCCATCTTCGCCGGTAATGCCATCATCGTCAAAGGCTCGGAAGCGACTGCCTGGTCTTCGTCATACTTCGCTTCAATTGCTACTCGCGCCCTTGAAGCATGCGGTCATTCGCCCGACATCGTTCAGTCTGTCGTCTGCTGGCCTGACGTCGCCGATCATCTTACTTCGCATCCGTCGATATCACACATAACCTTTATTGGATCGCGACCGGTAGCACACCATGTTTGCGCATCGGCGGCGAAGGCACTGACACCAGTGTGCGTAGAATTGGGCGGCAAAGACCCGGCGATAGTACTGGATGACCTATCCAACAGCGACTTCAAGCGCGTTGCCAGTATCCTCATGAGGGGCACGTTCCAGTCTGCAGGCCAGAACTGTATCGGCATCGAGCGCGTAATCGCCCTACCCAAAGTCTACGACCGCTTCATCGAGTACCTCACACCCAAGATCCAGGCACTCCGTCCAGGCTCCATTCTCAACAACACCTCAGACGCACCCATCGACATCGGCGCATCGATATCCGACGCGAGCTACACGAAGCTCGAAGAGCTCATCCAAGATGCCGTCAACAACGGCGCCCGCCTCCTAGCAGGTGGAAAACGCTACACCAACCCCGATCACCCGCAAGGCCACTACTTCACACCCACCTTCATCGCCGACGTAACCCCAACCATGAAGATCGCACAAACCGAACTCTTCGCCCCCGTCTTCCTCCTCATGCGTGCCGAATCCGTCACAGACGCCATCACAATCGCCAACAGCACCACCTACGCCCTCGGCTCCTCTGTCTTCGGCACCTCGACCCGCGACCTCGAACTCGTCGTCCGCTCCCTACAAGCCGGTATGGTTGCCGTCAACGACTTTGCAGTCTACTACATGGTTCAGATGCCATTTGGCGGTACAAAGGGTAGTGGCTATGGGCGCTTTGCGGGTAAAGAGGGACTGAGGAGTTTGTGTAATCAGAAGAGTATTACGAGGGATCGGTGGGCTTGGGCGGGGATTAAGACGGCGATTCCGCCGCCTATGGATATTCCGTTGAGAGGGGAGGGCGCGGGGGAGAAGGCGTGGAAGATGGCGGAGGGGATTGTTTGGTTGGGGTATGGGGATTTGAGGGGGAAGGTTAGGGGGTTGAGGGGTGTGTTGGGGGTGTAGACGTTGAACTAGTGAGATAGGCATGAGCGATGATAGAATATAGGTCATATACCAGTATTGCGTCATATGCACAGTCAAGCATATGCATTGCAGCATGGATTCAAAGCGGTATTGGCATCTACCGGTGATCTGATGTTACGATCCATTTCATCGGACAGGTGCATCGTCATTTTGAAGAGGATGTATCTAGCCCAACATCATAACTGGAAGTCAACCAAGAATCTAACCTGTCCACCTCCTCTCCAGCTCCACTCAGTTGACATCTTCATCTTATCGCTTCCCCGATACCCTCTGATCAGAACCTTGAGCAAACACCATGTACATCGCAGGCAAATCCTCTAGCATGTCTAGCTGCAGCGTCTCCAGCGAACTTGCCTGCAGCCACGAGTGCTGATGCGGAACCAGTCTGACACATGGTTTGCAACTGGCCCAAAGCGGTAAAGCAAAAAGGTGGCCTACAAGAGGGGTAATGACATTCTGCATGTCTATGTCGACAATCTGGAGGTTGCCATAGACTGGATCGTGTGTGACGTTGACTAAGTTGCTGTGCGCACCCTGGATGATAGGATAAAGCTATATGGGGAGATCGTCGGGCGCTATTTCTATGTGCAGAGCGCCTATAATGAACTCTCGCAGGTTGGGTGATCTCGCGACAAGTAATGCGAGCTGAACTTGAGCGGGATCTTTCTTAAGTATTTCCTATACATTCTCTGGCTAATCTTCTTGGGTCGCTAAAGCTGCCTTGAGCTCTTCTTCTGCTAGTCCGTCGTAAAATGACCTTCTATCCTACCTAGCATTGCTTAACACCTCTATTTGCCTGCAATCTGGATATCTACCATGATAACGCTCGGTCTGTGCTCGTTGTGCGAAAGGTCCGATCGGGTGCCGGAATTCCCATACGCATTTCTGACGGAGAATGTCCCTTGCGACTTGAGACAGACCGCGACAGGTGCGCGCTAAGGCGTAGAGTGTTAAGTAGGTGGTTGGAAGGTCGTATTCGCGAACATCATTATCCAGCTCAGCTTGCTGGCGCTGATCGTCGAACAAGTGATCGAAGATAAGAGTGAGGATTTCATTAGGAAGGGCGTGGAGCATAGAATGACTTGCAATGATCTCGGCGCACATGCTGTGGGTTTACGCCCATTGATGGTATGCGTATGGAATATGCGCGTGTAAAGGTTGGAGCGTCGTTTTCAGCAAAAAAATGGGAGATTCATACGTGGATGAGACTCTCGGCGGATGCAGGCATGTTGCCGGGCAACGATGTTCAGTCGTTCAAACCGTGCCTCTCAAAAACGACAGGTACACTCGCTTGCACCGGGCACATATGACGTATGTTATCCTGTTCAATATGGCCCCATCGGCGCATAAGTCTTCATCTTCGGAAGGTGAAATTTGCTATGTTCTGATCATATTCAGACCACATAGCGACCAGTTCCAGAAAGAGATTCAATCACACGGCAAGTGGGCCTATTTGGCACCGTCTCAGTTCTGTCAGACGGCCAGTGTTGACTGTATTGCAGCCGCTCATGGCCATCGCATTTCCCTATTGCGTCTTTTTATCCGGTCCAGCTGTCCCTCTCAGCTTGTTCAGCTTGAACGTCCTGGTGAAGTAAAGATCAAGCGCCGCAGTCGGTAGGTACGTCCACGCGAACCACACGACCCAGCTCATCTTGCCCTCCCATATCCATCTCGTCTTGGAGAGTATGCCGTCTCCAGCTAGCACCTGCCTCACGCAACTGCTTGCGTATTGCTTGGTATCCATGCCCAACTCTTGACTGTGCTTCAACCTTCGCTCGTATTCGGCAGCAAGCGGTTGCATATAGGAGCCCGGTGGCAGAGTTCGGTGTGTTCGCGCAATATTCGATGTGACGCCGCCAGTCACGACGTTGATGACGCGTACGCCTAGCGGAGCGAGTTCGACGCGTAGGGTGTCGGAATAGGCGTGTAGTGCGGCCTTGGAGGCATTGTATGGTGCACCCCACACATAAGGCATGATGCCAGCTAACGACCCTGTCTGTACAATTGTACCCTTCGCTTCGACCACAAGAGGGGTAAAGGTCTTGCACATCTCCATGACGGAGAAGACGTTGACTTGGAAAAGTTCCTGCAGCTCATCCTCGTCGTAGTCCAGCGCTGGTACGACATAGTTGCGTCCGGCATTGTTGTATAGTATGTCGAGTTTTCCGCCCGTGATCTCGGTGACGCGCTGGTGGAGTGCGCGTATGGATTCCTTGTGGGGGAGTTCGAGGGGTAGATATGTGATGTTGGGGTGCGGCGAGGTGTATTTGGACGGATCGCGAACGGTACCCAGGACTTGGAAGCCTATATACGCCGATTAGCAACCAAGAATCGTGAAGACATGGTGTTATGCGGACCTCGTTCGGCGAATTCCAGTGCAAGAAAGTGCCCAATGCCGCCGGGCGTACAGCTGCTCGCGTCAGTTGGAGCTGGAAGGAGCTAAGCCTACGACTGTGGCGACTTGTAGAAGTACTTACCCCGTGACTAAAGCGAATTGCGTTCTCTTTCCTTCGGCCATTGTGTGTTGACAGCTGCCAATGCGTTGATGGTAGCAGACGTCACAGCTCGCGATGCGCGCCTCGGTTGTCCCTGCCACTAGCGCGTCGACGTCACACACGCCCTGTCCGTATCTTGAACCCCCCAACTGACCTATCATGTCATCAGCTACCACAATGCCTGACTAGCATTTGTTCCCGAGCGTTCCATTGGGATATGGAGCCTAGCTGATGATGTTCCTTTTTGGATTCTGGATTCTGCTTCCTTTCCTCCACTTTTGCACTTGTATCTTCATCGATTAATTGCCGTTGCGACCGCGGATCCACTTCCGAAGTACACTATATCGAAAACTTGAGATATACAGGACCTCGGGATTCAAAGATATCATGACAGCATCACAATGGCTGGGCGAGCACATTCCGACGCTTCTTCGTCCGTCCATATTGCTTTTCATAGCAGCATATCGTAAGTAGCATTGCAACTATCGTTCAGGGCACCTAAACTGACTTGTACATAGACTTCGTAATGACCATGTTTGAAGTCGTGTTCTATGACTGGCGCCCTTTTTCGCTCTTCAACATTACCAAACTCCGTTTCAAGGCCTTCGCCCGCCTCTGGAAGAACAACGGCGAAGCAATGTCTGCTGAAATGCCCGGCCCTACATTCTCGCTTTTGTCCCAGTGCAAAGGCGTAGTCCTCGACATCGGCCCTGGATCCGGAGAGATGCTTTCACGTTTCAACCCGGATATCATTTCTGCTGTGTACGGGGCTGAGCCTGCCGAAGACTTGCATCCAGGGTTGCTGAAGAACGCGGAGAAGAGAGGGTTTGGTAGCAAGTTCCATGCCATGGTCTGTGGTGCAGAGCCAGAGAGTCTAATTCCAGCATTGCACAAGAGCGGGATTCTGGATGTCAGTGGAAAAGGCGGGTTGGCATCTGATGGTGTGTTCGATGAGATCTGTTGCACTCGCGTGCTTTGTGGCGTTCCCCACCCAGAGCAGACTATCAAGGGACTCTACAACCTTCTCAAGCCTGGCGGCCGGATGGTGATCTGCGAGCACGTAGTGAATCCCTGGAGGACCGAAGGCAGAGTCGCTGCGCGCTTCATGCAACTGGTGTATACGATTCTTGGGTGGCCATTCTTCATGGGTGGGTGTGAGCTTCAGAGGCATACGCCAGACTTCTTGAAAGATGCAGGTGAATGGGATAAGTTTGATCTAAAGTACTACGGTCCCCAGGATTGTTTACCGTTTATCGTTGGAGAGCTGATCAAGAAGAACGCCTCATTGGACAAGAGTTACGCCGAGGCTGTCAAAGAGTAAACGGAGGATCAAGATGTAACGTGGTAGTTGTATCATGATTGTAGATAGAAGGCGGCCAGACTAAGTACAGAACGGGCCTGCGTGGAAGTTGCAATTATGGCTTCGCTTGGAGGCGATTAGATACTTAAGTTTGTACTGTTGTACATGTGAAATAAAGCAACGCTCAAAAAACGTCGGTGTTCATTTCTTCATGGTATTACCGTCTACACCCTGACTTATGACATGATCATGCTACCAGAGACTAACAACATCGAAGCAATAGCCCATCGAGGCCAATACATCTTTCCCGGGGCAGCATTCGCAGTCTGCTCTGGCGCAGTAGCAGCTGCCGTTGGAGAACCTGTTCCCTCCGCACTAGACAAAACAATTGTTGATACAGTAGCGGGCGGCTCTGCGGCTGACGATGGAGAAACGCCGCTCGATGGGACGACCGAGTTCACTGGCCTACCCGATGCTGCTGAGGTAGGGGTAGGGGTCGCAGCTGAAGAAGCCGAGTCCGCGTCTCCAGGCGCGTTCGCATCGTCCGTGGGTGTAGCGCTCGCAGCCGTATCTGACCCACCAGTAGCAGTAGACACCCTGACTGTCGTGCTACTCGCTGGTCTCGGTGTTGGCAGGCTACTAGGCAACGCTTCTGCACTACCACCTGCACAATCTGCCTGACCACCAAGCTTCACAACCATCCCTACTCCAGCCATCGCGTCCCCTAACCCATTATCATCTTGGAATTTTGTGATATCAAAGGCCTCGTCGTCTCCTGGCAATTGCAGATCCGTGATCTCTTTCCGTCCCGGGTTCGTGTACATCAGGAAACTGTACTGTCGGTCGTCTCCTTTCTCGCCGACGGAGCCAGGAGCAACGTAATCCAGAACAGCAGGTGAATCAGTTTCTATGTTGGTGATGTCGAAGTTGTTTTTGAAGTTCGCCCGAGCGTAGTGGAGTTTTCGAGCATTTGGACATGTGCTATCGACCATGATGATCGTGTACAGGGTGCCGGGGGAGATGCCACTGCTATCGCCAAGAGCGAATGTGGGCTCTTTTGCTACAGCTACACGATGTTAGATTTTATAGCCTAGCTTGAGCTAAAAGACTAACCATCTTTCTCGAACACGGTCCCATCCTTGAAGCCATTAATTGCTTCGCCTGTAAAAGAAACCTGTACTTCGTCTCCGCCTGAACGAAAGCCTGATCTTAAGTCTTCGGGTATGATGGTGTCGTCTTGCGCTGCGACAAATGCTGCGAAAGCAGCAATAAAAGTTGCATGTTTGAGGAAACGAATAGCCATACTGTGTAGATTTGAGAGAATGCTAGGTGGAAGTAATTAGGGTTGAGCGCGCTTAATCGATGGTGTTATACTCCCTCTCAAAGTACAATGCAGCCCCAGGATATATATCCCCTCCACCATGTTTGCATACTCTGTACTCCAACGGCGATGTTCACGCCGCGTAGTCCTCCCCACACAGTCCACTGCGCCCCAAACCCCGGAAGACCGTTGTGTCCGGCAGACGCCGGTGGAAATAGACCTTGGCATCTGAACACTGCTTGATCTCCAGACGATAAGCGCACGATCGCACCATTTTGGGTGGTTTGTTGGCGCCCGGCTGTGCTTGTCAGCTGTTTTGGTTTCATCTCGTTTCGGCAATCAGGCAGCCGGGCGCTTCTGACAAACGATCGGCTTTACTGAGATTCGCGCATCGGCGGTACACCCTTGGTTGCCTCTGGGTTGCGACAAGTAGGCGAGACGGTACTGTGCCTGAGATGTTGTTGCGAAACTCAGGTGTCACTGCCGAGCCTTTCGTTTCCTTGAACCGCGCGTTCCAACTTAGAGACTCCGCGAGAATTACTCTCAGACTGACAGATCTTCATACAATCGCAGCTTTCAGTATAAGAGGATTCAATGCTCATTCTTATTAGAGTAATAATTTGAAAGTGTGCTAGCATCAGCGAGAGGACTCGGCTGTACACGGCGCGACAACGAGACTTGGGTGTAGGTTACATTTGTCGCATCTGTGTGATACAAACCCTCTCAACTGCTTGATCAGAAGCCGGCTACAATTATGCAGTACTTCGAGAATCCAATGGAATGCTGTGTCTCGGTGTCTCAGGCCTCTCGCACCGGAGGCAGGGTTGTTCCGGTGCCGCACCACGCCAAGACCCCGGTTTAGCGATTTTTGGCGCCCCACACCACTTTGAAGGTCATCGAATTCAACACCCAGACGCTTCCACACTCGTCAACTCATCACAACCGCCAAAATGACGAAGCGCACAAAGAAGGTCGGCATCACCGGAAAGTACGGTACCCGTTACGGTGCCTCGCTCCGTAAGCAGTAAGTATTCCCTCGCCGCAATCGCAGAGCCAGGGACAGCTATACTGACAATATCTAGGGTCAAGAAGATGGAGGTGCGCAATCCCACACGACCCGTACAGCCTCAGTAGAACGAGTCACTCACCTGCGATAGATCACACAACACGCCCGCTACGTCTGCCAATTCTGCGGAAAGAACTCTGTCAAGCGTGAGGCCGTCGGTATCTGGAACTGCAGGTCTTGCCGCAAGACCACCGCTGGAGGAGCCTACACCGTCTCGTAAGACTCCCCGCACACCATCGCGCCCTTACGCCGCTGCGCAGAGGCTGGCCGTATCGATGTAGAACAGGACAGTGCTAACCGCTACCCACAGTACTCCCGCTGCCGCCGCCACCAGGTCAACGATCCGTCGTCTCCGAGAGATTGCTGAGGTTTAAGGGAACATTGAGCATTGGGTGGAGTTCTTCGAGGGTTTTCTCTGCATCGGCAGCCATGGTCCGATGAAAGGCTCACTGCAGCATTCGGATGCTGGTCTCATAACGACCAGGGGTTCATCAGGGAATCATACAAAACAATGGCACGATCATGACAAAACAAACACCTCGTTCCTCGCGCTGCGTACAAACTGTGATGATCGCATCGATGATGTGGGGACGCCATCGGATTTGTCCTCTACGAATAGTTCTGTCTAATCACGCCGCGTTCCGTCATCTTAGTGAAGTCGCTAACCTTGGTGGTTCGCCGCATTCCTGGGGTATGCAGCGATACCGTTGCAGTAAGCATGGACACTGCGCCGACTATACAGATCTACATTGGTGTCATCATATTGACAACTGCCACGGACGGTGATCGTCATCGACGAGGAACACGGTTCTGCACCCAGAGTATTGTAGTCACGATACCTTGTTTCGTCGCTCGCAGCACATTTCACCAATGAATGATATACACACCTCAGAGACCGATGTGAGCGACTTTATCTCGATGTATACAATGCCTTGTGAAAGCTTCAATTCTCGGGTTTTCACTGCAGTAGACCGCCAGCGCACTGGTTCAGTCTCCTCTATTGATAAGTGCTTGTGCTGAACAAGTCTTGGGCCGGACTGGAATAGACGCAGCAGCAATAACAAGTCGTGGGTATTCTTCGGCTCGTGGACGTCTAGTCCGTGCAGATGCGAACCCGCCACTCTCCCACGTGCCACCTGGGATCCGAGAAGCAACGCTTCTACCGTCGCTTCGACTTACATGCATCTCGCATTCATCTGTTCAACGCTGCAATCGTCAGATGGCGCTATAGTCGCCAGTGCACATACTCGAGGTCGAAAAGATCTCACACGAGATAGCTCGCGCTGTCATCGGAGAGGTCAGTATTGCCTCAAGGTGGAACAGGCATATTTGAAGTAAGCATGCATTATGCGACAGCCCCGTAAATCTGACAGATTATGCAGGAGTGACTGAGCTAACCGAGCTTTGCTATCGTGTAAAATCGTGAGGCACACGGTGGAGGTCACCCAACGATCATCGATGTGACTGAAGTCATACGCGAGGAACGTCTGGATCAGACCACTTGAACGCCCGTTACACGCGTGCTCGGACATGCACGGCTGCCGAAGATAGGCTACAATCTAGGCCTCTCCGATACCTATGCAAATTTTGGCATAGGCTATCCACGCGCGACGTCATGCCGTGATCCTGCCGACCGGACCGCCCACTAAGTGGAGTCCCGCAGAGCCTCAACACCAAACTCTTCTCACAGTCCTGGAACGCTAGAGCACATAGTGTCCGTACACGTTAGAGATAGCAGATTTTTCTCGTCCGTCCACGCTTCGTAATGGCACTAAGTAAATCTATTGGGCATTTGTGCACCGATACTATGACGTCGAAGACGATGAACCTGGGATACCCCTTTGTAGTGGTCCTTCGTCCTCGAGCCAGCCTGTCGGGTGTTTACGGTCAGGCCATGGACGGGATGAATGTCATCCCACACACCGCCCCTAGTGGCGACGATGCCGTCCCTCGCCGGTATTGACAAGCAGGATATACATATCTACTTTCCGTCTCCCAAATCCCATTCCTCTCTTTGATTACGGTCATCACTCCGCGCCCATTCCTTTGTTTTCCAATAGGAACCTCCACTTTAATCGTCGATCAACATGTCTGGGTACTACGGTCCCTCCTTCAACCACAAGTCATCGCGACCTCCATCTCTTGCAGCGTCAAGAGCAAATTCCTCATACAGAGTTGCTCGCAGTGCACCCGTCACACCTCGCAATGGTTCGATCACCACCCCTCGCAATGGTTCCATTGCCGCCACAATCGCCGGTACGACTGCACAACAAACAGCTGCCAACACAGCTGCCAATACTGGTGCAACGACACCCGCATTGCTCTCGAGAGTGAACAGCAAACTAGAGAATGAAGCCAACGGCAAAGAAGAGGCTCCTTCCATGAACTCCGAAGTATTGCGCAACGAGAAGGGCGAGCTCATTGTTGGAAGAATCGCAGGCGGCAAGCATCTTACCGATGACATCGAGGACATCGATCCCGGTTGTGGCGAGATCAAGAAGGTCGACTGCGACATGCCTCTTACATTGACCGAGATGGTCCACCATGAGGGCAAGGACTACATCGTACTCAGCTTCGCGACTGGTGACAAGGAGAACCCGTTCAACTGGAACCCCTGGTACAAGCGCAGTATCACCACGATGCTGAACTTGATGACACTGTTCATCGGTCTCGCAACAACGGCATACAGTTCGGGCATCAACAGGATGTGCGAGGAGTTCGGTGTCGACACAATCTACGGTCAGCTTGGACTGTTCACCTTCAACATCTCTTGTGCCATCGCACCCATGGTACTGGCTCCTTTCTGTGAGCTTGTCGGACGCAAGATCGTATACGCCAGTGCCTTCCTCTGCTTCTCGCTCATCTTCATCGGTCTCGCACTCGCACAGAACATCTCCACCATCATCGGCCTCCGTCTGTTACTCGGTCTCTTCGGCTGCGTCGGTACCATTCTCGTCGGCGGTACTTTCGACGACATGTACGAACCCCACAAGCGTGGCCGACCGATGGCCATGTTCGCTTTCGTCGCCATCTTCGGTACTGTCGCTGCACCCATCTACGCCGGCTTCATCGATCAAGCGCTCGGATGGCGATGGGTTGAGGGTATTCAGGGCCTCGCCAATATTCCCCTCTTGATCCTCATCTTCGTCGCCTTCCCCGAGACACGCGGTGGTGCCAGACTACACAAGCGAGCCAAGCAACTGCAAAAGGCAACTGGAGATGAGCGATACGTCGCGGAAGACGATATCTACACCCCCGATGTCAAGTCCATGCTGAAGGCTTCGTCCGTCAAGGCTATCCGCATGCTTGTCACAGAACCTGTCGTTTTCGCCTTCGGTCTGTGGATTGCCTTCTGCTGGGCCGTCGTCTTCCTGTTCCTTTCCGTCATTCCCATTACCTTCACCGAGAAGCGTGGCTGGTCTGAAGGTGTCAGCGGTCTGCCTTACATCTCTCTAGCCGTTGGTACTTTCCTCGGCTGGGCTGCCCACCACCTCCAGATGCGCAAGTACAACCAACTCCAAGAAGACCCCAATGTTCGCATCGTTCCTGAGCACCGTCTCTATGGCGCCATGTTCGGCGCTGTCTGGCTGCCCATCGGTCTCTTCATCTACTCCTTCACGCAATACGGATACCTGAGCTGGGTTGGCCCCGTCATCGGTCTGGCGCCTATCGCATTCGGTATCTTCTTCGTCTTCGAGAGCACATATTCCTACACTGCCGATTGTTACGGTGAGACGTCTTCCTCGGCTATCGCTGGTCAGGGATTAATGAGGAACACGCTCGGTGCTGTTACCCCACTTTTCGCGAGCGCTTTCTTCCACAACGTAGGAAGTCAGTATGCGGGTTTGATCCTTGCGATGTTCGGAACTGTGCTGAGTTTGATCCCGTTCGTTATGTTCAAGTATGGACATCTGCTCCGCGCGAGGAGTAAGTTGGCGAAGGAGTACTAGTGGAGGAGAGAGTTGTTCAGTCGTTCATAGCGCATTAGCGTCGCATATTAATCAATTACATTATTGCAATGCCACGTAGGTGGCATCCTGCAGGTGTGATCTTCAGCCGTAAGCGAAACAACAGGCAACAGTGATGCCGCCTTCTACTCCACGGAAGATTCCACACAAACCTACAGTTCTGCAACATGCACTCATCATGATCGCATTTTCCTGATCGTTTTTCTCTTAGCTACAGAAGCGGCTTCCTCTCAGAGAAGAGCGAGATTGTCGCAGATAGCGCTCGGTCCATACTCTACAAACGCTGGCAGGTCGCAACCCATGCTTTTCCGAGAACACATCATATCTTACCTTCAAAATACACCACAAAGACGAAGTCTTCCAGTTACGACAATGATGCTCGTCAATCCGAGTTCGTTTTGCAAGAACTGCCGAAAACTTGATATTGAGCGTCTGTTTGGCGTTGCCGACGCAAAGAATACTAGAATTCCTGATCACAACGGAAGATACTATGCTTACATAAAACCGGGAGGATGTGGGCTATGCGATTTCTTCATGGAACGTTTACCGGAACGATGCAAAGTACGCGGCGCGGATGGCACATGGTCCATCGATATGAACTCTGCATCTTCCCCTGACGCGAGAAATCCTGCACATTTATATGTCGAATGCTACTCGCCTAAGCAAGAAGAGGGAAGCTTAGGAGGTCTACGGATGACCGTCTTTTGTGACAAGCTCGAATCGGGGACCGAACGTGTTGAAGTCTCACCATTTGTGTGTGTGTCTATTGGAGAGTCACAAACTCACAAGCTCCAAGTACCGACCCCAAGCCTGGATCTAGCACCGATATCTCATTGGTTAGACAAAGAAAGATGCACGCAACAAGCTCGGTGGTACAGCAGAAAGGATGACGCGAGCTTAGCTCTCACCGTTATCGACTGTGCTACGCGCACGCTTGTGCCCTTACCCAAAGAAGAGCTTTATGCAACCTTGAGCTACGTCTGGGGACGTGCTGTTCAGCCTACATTAGATGACACCAACGGTGACCCGTTGCCCCTGCATCTTCCAGATACGATCCAAGACAGCATCGATGTTTGCAACGCGCTGAGTATCCGTTATCTATGGGTTGACAGATATTGTATATCAACTGAAAGTAGCCATCTTCGAAGTCTGCAGATCAGTAGGATGGACGAAGTATACCAAAACTCGTTCCTCACGATTGTGGCATGTGCAGGGAACGATGCCAACTATGGTTTGCCGGGCATTTCGAGACGACGAAATCCGAATCCTTCTATCGAACTTGCTGGACTTGGCTGTATAGGAGCGCTATCACAGTCTATCGAGATTCATTCTAGCATCTGGGCGACACGTGCGTGGACGTATCAAGAAGCCCTCCTCTCGCAACGACAAATCTACTTCACGGATAAGGAGACATTCTTCGGGTCAGCTGAAGGCGTTCAAGGGGAGATAGGGGTAATTGCCAAAGCGAGTCTGGAGCAGTTTCTGCCCGAGTCTTTGCGTACTGGATATCCAGTTCCGGAAACTGTGCGGACTGCGCGGGACAAGAATCTCAGGAAATACTCACTCGGAAAACTGCATGAATGGGAGTGCATCTCCAACTACTCCACACGGACCCTGACGTATCAGGGCGATATTCTCAACGCTTTACTGGGTATCTTGGCATACTATCAGCGGGAACATCGTATCTCTCATCTGTGGGGCGTTCCGTTCTCTACCTCCTTCCCAGCGTCAGCGCCTTCCACCTTTTTCAGGTTCGATTTTAATCTGCGCTGGATCATTACTGGTCCCAGTTCTCGCCGGGAAGGATTCCCAAGCTGGTCCTGGACTGGTTGCAACGCTTATGTACAACATTTTAACATGCACCGGGAGACTGTGTATCGTGTACCTATGACTAAAGAGGAGGCCATTCATATCGAGGTAGAACTTGCATCTGGTCGGCTCTTGAAGTGGTCCCATTATCAGGCCGACTATGCAAACCTGCAAGACTACACTCAAGTTCGATCATCGAATGAAAACGCTGATCGGCTGAGTCGGTTCATCCACCTCGATGCGTTGACATCTCGGATCGTTGGAAAGCAGCGGGACGACGCGGGTGTTCATTACTTCCGTATCGACGCATCAACGGTATTTCACGATGAGCATAAGTACTTCGGTGCAGTGGAAATCTCAAGCTACACAGAGTCTAATGTAGAAACCGAGGAGAGTATCCCCGTCGGCTCACTTCTGGCATTACATTTCCCCGAACTCGATGACTCGAGCGTGAGAGGAGGTGTCAAAATGGCGTCGTTCTATTCGTTCCCCGGTGATGGATGCGCATTGCTCATCCGAAATGTTGGAGACCATTGGGAGCGAGTCTGCCTGTTGGCGAGTTGTCACGACTTGAAACGAGAGGAGGTTCATAAAGTCCGCAGGAAGATCCGGTTGGGATAAGCACGTGACTAGGGGTAGCTACAATAGGGTTCGCATTTTCTAAAGAATGTATCAGGGCAGGAGTCTATATCACCTCATGGTCTGTGAATTTATTGAGTTACAGTAGCATGTATACTGTAAGCTGTGGCCCGAATTTCACAGAGACGAATTTTTATTTTAGCTAAAACCGAGTAATTCTAAACTGCCATAGTGAAGATTGGGAATAGAGAGCATGTAGCTTTTTGGAAAGACTCGATGTAAGATGAAAAGAAATGTTCAACCCGGAGATAGTCAGGGAGGGCAAAAGAATAGAAACGAATGGCATCAGGTCAGATGTATTGCTTCTACCCATCATTAGTTGGAGATCTTAGTCAAAGTATAACGCATACATACGGCCTTCCATCCGGCCCAGAGATCCTGGTGGGCGTAGCGCTTGATGATCTCGCGAGCTTCCTTCAGGATACCGTAGTCTCCTACGCAATTGAGTTTTGCGGCCCGGCAGCGGGGTGGTAGGAGACCATCATAGTCGGTTCCGGTGTTATTCAAAAAGGCCCAGTATGCCAAGACACTGAAATCCATCGACGAATCGTTTTCAGGAAGTGGATAAAGTTTTGCAGCATCCAATGCTTTAGTTGCCAAGCCAAATTGGGTCAATGGACAAAGTTTTAATCCACATTTACCGACGTCCTTGGTGAAAGTATTATGCAAGGCGGTTTTGCACGTCTGCAGGAGCTCTTGAAGTACGGCAGTACGAATTTGACCAGCTTGAGCTATATCCAGGGTTAGCATCTATGAGATGGCAAAAGTAGGGCATCGTGCAAAGGAGAAAACTGAACAGGCCTGTAGCCTACATCAAGATGAAAACATGCAAAGTAGATGATCCAACGTCAACGTAGGCTCCAGGGTGTTCAATGTTTTTCGTGACTGATCTCGGCCTGTGTGCTCACCTTGGATACGGGCCGGGAAGTCAGGTCGGACATGCACCAACTTATCATCGTGTATCACGCAGTAACGCTTGTCTTTGTCGACGCAGATCTCCATGGCCAGCTTATTGACCAGGTATTCGTAGTCAGCCATGAGCCCGAACGCGGCCGTAATCATCGTAAAGTCTTGAAGATCGATGTCGGAAGGCCAAGACACGCCGCCGTCTTTGTGTTGTTGGATCCAGTTCTTCAACTCGGCTGCAGCATGTAGGAGACGCTCGAGGTCGTACTTGTCGGACAAGACTGCAATCTGTACCAGCTCCTGCTGCGACAGCGTTTCAGGTAGCTCTTGAAGTTGCCAGTGAGCAATTCGGAGGACGATGTGGAAGGCGTAGGCTGAATCCTCAGGAAAGGCGATTTCGGACATGTCGCTCTCAGCCCGATTGCCGCTCATCATGGCGTCCCAGGCTTTGCTAGCATGTCGAAAGACGCCTTTGTTGACTTGATAGGCCTTTTGACCATCAGCATGCTCCGGTGACCCTACTATAAGAGTAAGGTCGTACTGGCTGTCGATCGTGATAACTTCGAGGTTAAGATCGGTAATTTTTCTCTTGTTCTGGAGGTCAACTGCCTCATCATGAAACTCAAGTGACTCTCCATTGCAATACCCACTACCGAAGATGGAGTCGTCATTCGTAGCTGCAAGGGTGAATTGAACATCTGATGTATCCTGTAGGCTATCGCCAGGGCTGCCAGCACTTGATGGTGTGGTCATGATGTAGATGGCCTGGATACTCGTGATGGTTTTTGAGGGATGCTTCGTCGACGCTGTATACTCGAAAGTATAGGGTAGAGTTGATGGTAGAGTCCTGAAACAGATCACGTAGGCGGTAGGTATGTATATTACCGGTCGGACGATCAGCTAGCAGTGGCCGAAGCTGTCAGACAGGTGAGAGAAGCTTGAACGATACCATCTTCCCCGGAGTCGTCTGTTCGCCACCGGATCTGAGGTAATAACTTCATGTATAGTGGAAGTACCTTTACCGACTCCTTCGGGGATTGCAAGGCCACGTATGCCTATTGACCTGGTATTGCGGTACATTTCAAGACCTAGAAGCTTGAGTCGTCACCCACGTATCCCATGCCCTTCCTCCACCAATTCCAAACACCCATCTTCTGCATACTAACTCCGAAGTCTTTCACGCTCTCCACTTCTTCTAATTTCCCATATGCGGCATTTTCTCCCGCCTCTTTCCCTTCGACCTCCTTTCCGGCAGGCTTCCTGACAAGCTGGAAATCCTTGTAACGCAGTCTCTGAACACTTGCTACCCATTCTTTTACACCTACTTCGGAGCCTTGGCAATACATGATGCCTGGACAGCCACCATAGCGTAGTAGAGCGTAGATGTGACAGTTGGATGCAGCAGCTTTCAACTTGGCCACTTTCTTGCGGGAAGTTATGTGATGGGTCCGTATCAGCGCGTTATAGATCGGATGAGACATGCCATCGATAGGGGTAGACCCAAAGCAGAAAATGGACGTTGTGTTCGCAATGTCATGGTTTGCGAAAGATGCACGGGGATGAACGCGGCCGCACGTGACGTCACTAGCGCAAAATGATTTTCCAAGATCGCCGAACGCCAATGACGTGCGGGCGAGACGTGAGCGGTATTCTCGAACGACTTCAACAACGACCGTATGGATCGCTGCCGTATACGGAACTCTACGTATGGAAAGTTATGAAGCCTACTTTGCTTCATAGAGTCGCCGCCCCATCACCGTCGGTTCTGAGCTTCCTGAGGGCCCAAGTCACCAATGCATTCGAGCGACCGCTGGCGCAATGCGCACAAGTAACCCAGCAACGACGTGGATATGGGACGAATCCTGGGACGAGCTGGGCTTCTGGAGATGCGACATGCAGGATAAAGACATCAAGTTGCAAGAGGAGAGAGGGCAGTAGGGCATTCGCAACTTCGCAATGTCTCCCGGCCAGGAGGGTTTCGCAACCAGTCCTCGAGACTTCGCTCGCTATTCCACAGGCTACGGCTCTTTCAGTTAGAGACATCGACCCTCAGGGTCACCGCAGTTTCTCTACAACGCCTTCGAACAATGGGTGGAATATCTTCAACTCAGCAAAGATGCGAAAACTGGCCCAACTGCAAGCACCGCAGCCGCCACCGGATGAACCGTCGTCAGGTTCAACGGGGTTCGGAAGCAGTCTGGGACGTATAATGCGACCTACGAACGAGCTCAAGATGCGGTGTACCGAACTTGACGAACACGGCAATGTCACACTTGTTAGCGGAGAGTTCAAGAAGAGCGAGCTGATCGCCAAGGTACGCATGGCAACGAATCTATCCAGATCATACAACTGATACTTGAGAATAGTACGGTCTGCTTCCTCGCGATCTCCGCAAAATCGATTCCTCGCTCCTCCCACATATTCTCGTCCGGCCGTCTGCGATCCTGATAAACCTCCTCAACCTTCGTGTCCTCCTCAAGCACAACCGCGTACTTGTCTTTGATGCATACGGTACCACCGACTCGAAATCGCAGTCTGTCTTCATGTACGATCTTGATCTCAAACTCCGCCAGAAAGAATCCACCGTCAACGGCACCCTCGCGTACGAATTTCGAGCACTTGAAGCTGTCCTCATAAGCGTAACACTGAGTCTGGAGAAGGAGTTCGAAGGTGTCAGTGAGCCAGTGGTGAGAGTTCTGAGGGAGCTCGAGGAAGACATCGATAGGGACAAGCTACGGTACCTGCTCATCTACAGTAAGAAGCTGGGTAGTTTCGAACAAAAGGCACGACTAGTCAGGAATGCGCTCGAAGAATTGCTGGAAGCGGACGATGATCTCAGCGCCATGTACTTGACTGAGAAGGCTGAGGGCAAGACGCGCGAAGACGACGATCACACGGAAGTCGAGATGCTCCTGGAATCTTATCACAAGGTCGCCGACGAAATCGTTCAAGCAGCTGAGAACTTGGTGTCGAGCATCAGGAACACCGAGGAGATGTATGTGTTCTATTCTTCTTGTACAATCTCCTGTCACTAACTCTCCACAGTGTCAAAGCCATCCTCGATGCCAACCGCAACTCCCTCATGCTTCTCGACCTCAAGTTCTCGATCCTTACTCTCGCGATCACAGCCGGAACCTTCGTCGCCGCTCTATACGGTATGAACTTAAAGAACTTCATTGAAGAATCCGATCTTGGTTTCTTCGGTATAAGCGCCTGGTGTTCAGTCTTTGGCTTCTTTGTCGCTGTATACGGTCTGTCAAGGCTTCGAAAGGTACAACGGGTCAGCATGTATGGCCACGGACCTGGTGCGCTCGTTAGCAGGGAGCCAACCAGGCCGACTGTAGCTCCAGGCGGAGGATGGGGCCTTGGTGCGTGGGGTGGTGGCAGTAGAAACGGTGTCAGTCGAGGAGACATGGGCAGTACGATGCCGACCGGAGCACCGGATCTGGGTGGAATAACGAAGAGAGGTGACACACTAGCCAGTGTCATGGAAAGAGAAAGAGCGTTGGCGAGGAAGTTGGCCAAGGTCGAGCAGAGGGCTGACGATGCTACGAGACGTTGAGGTTGGCTTCATTTGCCTTTGTGGAAGGTTCTTGCATTTCTTCGCTCTGGTTTTGATCTCTGCTCAGATATCCCACCTCTTTCTTAGACGCTTTTTGTATGAATAACGCACGGGTTTGGCTGCATAGCGATGGCGTTTGGGACTAATGATAAGATGGGCACTCTTAGACGGGGTACTCATTTTGTATCATCAATGTATAGTAGTGTATAAGTTCATAACCTGCTCAGACCTGTCCGATTTTCCAAGCAATCATAGTTGGGTTGCATCCATCCCTCATGTTCTTCATTCCGTGAAGCCTAGCCTGTTGCCACTATGCGCCGATAGTCCTGTCCATGTCCTTGTCTCCACCATATCCTTGTTCTCTCCTCTGCTTCGCCGCATTCTCGTCATCGTCCTTCAACGCCTCAGTACCACCGAATCCACCTGCTCATGATTAGCCTACCATCCTTGATTACAACACTTGTTTGCCGTTGACGTACCTTCCGCGTTCGCTTGGCCCGTTGAACTTGTTGTCTTGCCACCCATACCGCCTTCTTGGATACTTTGTCCGTATCGAATCTTGTCTGCGGGGGTAATGCCTTGGGTGTTGGGCGCGCCGGGGTCGGAGGTCTTCTTGTTGACTGAGGTGCCTGTTGAGGGATCTGCGGAAGCCATTGGTTAGCACTTGCACCTTGACAGGGAGAGAGAGGAAGTCATACCGCCTAGTTGACCGGCTTCCTTCGCGTGAGGCTCAACAAATGTGTGAACGCCTTCGTACTGGTTCTGGCGCTCGCCGCCGGGCTCGGTGTCCATGAGCTTGTCTGACATGTTTGCACGTACGGAGATTGTTTATTGTGGGTGTGAGAAGGTATGTGCGAGGAGAACGTGTAGAAGTAATTGGATTGTGTGAGATGGTAGTGGTATTGAAGCTCAGAAACTCGAGGTATGGGGAAAGCTCCATGCTATGACGTAACCACCAAACGCCGAACGCGAGACGCGCTTTGCAGCGCCAGAACACCCTGGTATGATGACACATTAACTACCTTTCCTCCACGGCTCAACGGTATGCGTGTAAATGTGCGGCTATGACGAATCGAAATCGATGCCCATGGCGTAGCTGCGACAGTTGTTAGTATAGGCATGACTTTCTGGAAGTCCATTACACACCTTTCGTACAATCTCATGTACTTTGCGACGAAAGCCTCCAGATGGAAGATCTGTTTGGCGCCCATCTTGCACCTGTGCTCGTAAAACGCCGCCCACTTGATAACCTCTGGCTTCAGCGCATCTTCGGTCATTGGTATGAGTTTCCAGGTGAGTGTTTTTATGATGGTTGTAGAGTCGATGCAATGCGATAGCAGATCGTAGAGTGACGCGCGGACTTGCAGGAGGCGTTGAGGAGATCGCTCTTCGACGATTTGGCGGGCGATTTGCTGGATGAGTGCCTCCCAGTCAGGCGGTGGGATGTGCGTCTGGTCGGTGATTTTCTCGCTGTTGATATATTAGCTGAGGTTGAGGGTCTAAAAAGAGACGAAGCCATACTTCTGAGCGTGCACTGCTTCGAACATCAACAGCGCTTTCCTCAGGTTTCGCCCGCTGTCCTTCGCTATCCTCTGGTTCAGACTCTCGACATCCTTCCATCCTTCCTTCTTGCCCACTTTGCTCAACACGCTGCAGATCTCGGTCTCTGTAGGCGCTGAAACCCTCACAAGAAGCGTTCGACTCCTGATGGGCGCGATGATGTTGCTCGTGGAGTTGGCGAGCAAGATCAATCGCAAGTTGGGACTGTACTTCTCCATGGTACGTCTCAGCGCCGCCTGCGCATCTCTTGTCAGATGATCTGCCTCATTGATCACTACGACCTTGAAGCGCTGCTTTGCGCCCAAGTCGACCTGTTGTGTCTGTGCAACTTCCTTGAGCAGGTCTTGGACGACCACTCTGTCGTAGTTTCCGACATCTGAAGGTGTGATTTCGAGGTGGTATACGGAAGCGACGATGTTGAATTCGAGTTTGCGGTTCGTGGTAGTCTGGAAGACGCGCGCGTCGATCTTGATCTTTTCGACACCGGGGCCGTAAAGCTCTTTGAGTGTGGCGACTATGCGCGTCTTCTTTCCTGCGCCGGAAGGACCGTATACGAGCAGATGTGGGAAGTCGCCGCTTTGTGCCTACACATTGTTGCGTTAGTTGCCGCAATCGATGGAGGATGTCAATGTTTCCTTACAAGAGCTCGGAGACGATCTGAAAGCTCGGGATGGTAACTGAGCGCCTCAAGATTGCGTGGTCTATGCTTGTCTACTAAGAGCGCCATCGTTTGGGTAAGTCGTGGTGTTGTTCGTGAATTTGCGGCTATCGGTGGATGGTGAGTTGGACGCGTCCGGGCGACGCGTAAAGTGGTGGGCTAGCTTGGCAGCCCACACGTCGACGCCTGATCGCGCTCTTCATCACGCTGCATCCTAAAGCAAAGATTTGAGCATCTCCAGCACAGCGACTGGGCTTATTCAAACGAACGAGTCATTTCGCATTCTACCAACTGAATCAAGCCCGTTCACTGGTTGAGCCTCAAATCCATCACCGAGACATCTGTTTCCCAGGAACCGAAGTGAACTATCTGGCCGGCAACGCCTTTGACAGGACACACTTCAACTGACGAGATTTCTGCCACCATCACCCTCTGTTCCTTAGTCCATGTCCTTATTCTCTCTGATTCGACCAACAATGGTCGACGAGACGACCACCACACGCCCATTCGGTGACCGCCCAACCTCCTTGTCGACGTACTCGAGACATCCAGAGCGTACCGGTGTACAAATTCTGACTGAAGGAGTCGCAAGTTCTCTATCCGTGGGATCAGGATTGTTGTGCAAGCCGATATAAGTGTCGCCGATCCGCATTATACCGATATTGCGGCTGTTATCCAATGTCACCTGTCCTAGATCTGTGGGTGGAACAGAAACTTCAGCGACTAAAAATGTTCATCTTTTTCTGGGATTGCTTACCCCGAAGGCCGTATTCTTTGGATATGCGCGTTTGCGATGAACGACCCTTGTGGATGACTCTGGTTATTGAGGCGTCGAGGTGCAAGTATAGGATGTACAGAGCGAGTGCTGCGATTAAGAGGAGAAGCCAAAACTCGGTTCGAGGCATGTTAGACGCTTTGGTGTTGGTATAGATGGCTGACATGTCGTGCAAGTGGAAGAAAGTGGAGTAGGTGTCGATGTTCAGAAAAGTACGATCCGGGTTAACCTAGTCTGGAAGTGAAGGTGAAAGAGCAAGGCCGATCACGTAAGGGGGCAAACCAACATGGCACGCAAACGCGGACATCACCAGTAAGGATGTGCAGGATCATAACCTGCAGACTTGCCTGCATCCATGGATCAACTCAACGACCTCATACCGCTAGACCTCTAGCCATGAGCGCCGAACTCTTGCGTTAAGTGAGATGTCTCAGAAGCTAGATACCTACATTGTAGAACCAGGCGAGAGAAATGGCAAAGCCACGTTCAGTTGATATGGGTGGTGAAACAGTCGGGGCACAAGTACCTGTCGCTATCACAGAGTTCTATCACGCCGCGGAATCACCTGGATCATACAGTGCTTATCATCATGTTCTTCCTCCTTCATAATGAATCAGAAACACGTTCCAGTCACTTCATCGCAACTGCACACTTTCAACTGCCAGGTCTCAGGTGCGACTCAGAAGGACATCTACCAAACGGCAGCAAACATCCCGTTAGCTTCACTTCCAACTTCCAAAACGATATGGCGGTCTTCCATGGACCATCCACCACGCCTTCAAGCGAGCTGAACTCCTCAGAATCTGGTAAACTGAAGCGGAGAGTATCGAACGAATCAAACAACTGGGATGGTGAGTCCTCCGGCACAGAGCAATCGTTTCGTACAGCATACGCCGATATGCCTCCAAAGCCTAGGCAGACACGCTTCATCGAGCGATTTGAGAGCGTGAAGCAGCTGACGGAGAGTAACCTCGCTGTGTTACAGGCTGGGTATACGGGCGCACCACCACAGCCTAGATCGCCTTTCGACGGCGAGTTGCACCTCAGACCGTCTCCACGCGCAACAGCATTTCTCGTAAAACGCAAGCCGCTCCCAGATACAGCGCAAAAGGCACTCATAGAAATGAACGACGAGGCAGATATACAGTCACATGCAAAGAGCGCAGACGAAGCTTCCTATCAAAACCACACACTTGGACATGCAAGTCACGGCCGCAGACCATCTTTCCACCGCACAAATACCGTGTTCACGGATTTCTTGCCGTACGATCAAGTGCGAACTTGGCAGCAGGTTGATAATGAGGAGTATCAGGACCGACGTAGGCATTCTCTCTCAGCTATTGCGCTGGAGGGGATGAAAAAGCTCAATCTAGACCGCGATGCACTATCGGCTCATAGCAAGAAGACTGCGAATCAATTGAAGAAAGTGATCAAACAGCACATACTTGACAAGGAGAAGTCAACTTCGTAGATTTTGGACGTACAACAAGTTGTCGCGCGACGCATGTTAGATTGGGAGTCGTAAAAGTTGTGCTTGGTAGTAAAGATGTTCCTACGACTGCGTCTGCAAACTTGACATTATATGCAAACCTTATCCGCAAAAAAAGTGTTTCGTTCTCAGATTTCGTCCTCTGCGTACCAGCGACATCGCATGAGCAAAAAGAACGTCGCCCGACCAGGGACTCGAACCCTGAGCCTTGAGATTAAAAGTCTCACGCGCTAACCAATTGTGCCAGCCGGGCTATGATTTGTTGATGAGCAAATTCCACGCAACATAATACTAGTACTTATTATATCTACGGCGCATCTGCAAAGTCGAAGTTTGCCAAAGGAAGTTTGACACAAAGTATGCTAACCGGTTCCATGGGGCCACGCTGCGAACGATTTACCTAATGGTTGGTAGCAGTGGTGGGGTGGGTCCACGCATTATGCGTCATCGATTTCCTCCATCAAAGGGACCATACAGGCAGCATAAACAAAGAATGTAGTCATGTGCATACCTCACAGCTAAAGCGTCAAGCGAAACACAGAGAACAAGTTAATCTGTTGCTAGATGTAATTACACATCTCCCAGATCCATTTACAGAAGAAGGCACTTTTGTGCTATATATCCAACATGCTTAAGTCGTCATATCATAGATGCCCCAGGCAACAACACTTACTGTGGCGCGTTGACCTTTCCAGCAACAAGCGCAATGAGCGCGGCACCAACACCGGATCCATCCTTCGCGATACCGATCCTGACTCTCTTCTCGCCCTTTGCACCGATTTCGGGCACCGCACGTAGCGCCTCACGGATGTACTTCTCAAAGTTGGGGTAAAATTCAACGAGCGAGCCATCGACACCGACATCGATCTCGTCACCTTCGGTGGCTTCGACATCCCCACGTGCAGGCTCAATGCCTGACTTTTGCTCTGTGGTAGCTGATCCCGAGGACTTGTCCAGACGACCTGTGTTGATGACAATACCGGCGATGGCGACGGCAGCAAGACGCGCCGCGCGGCGACCGATCGCTCCAGCGATTTCGCGGACTGCTTCTGCGTCCTCACGGCTGACGGCGGAGATTTTATACTTATCAAGTTCCTGTCGGAGCATCTGGTTGCCAGGCTTGTCATCGCCAGCGCACACGCTGAGCAAGCTAGTGTCGAGACCCCACTGCTTCCATATCGGGCTATCGTCGTGAATTTGAGTGGTGCTGTGGACATCGTTTGAAGACGAGTTGTCGTCAGTGAAAAGCGGAACATTGGGGTCCTTGATGAGCTTGAGCAGGGCAAGACGTAGAAGCTCTCCCAAGAACATGCCCGACACGCGCTTTTCGAACATTTGGATTCCAGGGTTCACAGAGTCCTTGTCAAGCTGAACGTCGTAGGGGCTGTTGGGCAGAGTGCGGAGAGAATTGTCAAACGAGCCCCACTCAGTGTTGACGATCATCTCCCCGGTTGACTTGTCGTATGCGCCATCGCTGGTGTCCTTTGACATCTTCTTGACCTTGTCCAGCTTCTCAACGTAGGCTCCGTTGGTACCAGTTCCAAAGATGGCACCCAGTAATGTGCCAGTCTTGCCGGGCGAAGTGTATGAGCGCGCCATGAGGGTTCCGACAGTGTCGTTTACCAACGCAGCCACCTTGACAGGGAGGTGGAGCTCGTCAATCTCTTGCTGAAGCAGAGCGCATACATCCTTGCCAACCGCATCTTGAATGTCGAAGCCCTTTGTCCAGCGCATCAGCATACCCTTGTTGATTCCGATCTGGTGTACAGGGAATGAGAAGGTAAAGCCCAGGTTGAATATCTCCTCATCCTCTGGCTCACCTGGCTTCCCCTCTCTGCGCCTGAGTGTCCCAGCGTAGTGTTCTTCGTGGTGCAGTTTGAGGAAGGCTTCGATCTGTTTCGCGAGGAAGGAGAAGAGCTCTTTTGATGTCTTCGCGACCATCAGCTCGCGCGGGATGGCTACCTTGCTTTGGGTGAGGGAGAAGGTAGTGTTGCCGTGGAGCTCGATAGAGCAGACGCGGAAGTTCGTACCGCCGAGATCGACGGCCATGTAGAGGCCCTGTACAGCATTAGATGACGGTGAAGACCGGCGCATATAGGACCCATACCTTTTCCGTGCCATTGGGGACGGCAGTGACGTATGTCGGGATCTGGCTCATCTCAGTGCCTTCCTTCTCTAGACCCTCGTCTGCGCGTCGTCAGTGACCAATTGCCCACTCCATATTCTCGTGCGTACCCATCTCCCGAATAAACTCCTTGACGGCCTTGTTGACGGCATTGTCGTCGAAGTCGAACTCCGCGGCGACGCGCTTCGCCTGGTCTTTGAGTGTCATGCTGCGCTTGTGTGGGGTGTTGAAGGTACCGACGAACTCGACCTGCTGCTCAGGCTTCGGGCAAATACTCGGTTCCTGGAGGACGATTGGATTCCGGATTGTGAAGGAGGGAACTTGTTTGTTGATAACAGTGCGTAAGACGGCGTTGGAGAAGTGGGGTGCGAAGAAACCGGTACCCAGCGCTAGCAGCAGAACAAGGACGGTGACTACCGTGTGGGTCGCGAAGGGACTTCTTGTAGGTCTTGGGCGATCGGGTCGCGCGCTCTGTGTCGGGCTCTGAAGCGGGCGCGTGGCTTTATTGGGGCGTGACAGCGAGCTGATGCTCATTCTGCCCCGCGTTGTCCAGCTATGACGGAGAACGAGGGGTAGGCAAGCTTGGGCGTGCAATTACCATGCATGAACACCATCACTTGCATGCCAACGCCTTGGGATACGAGTCAAATTCACTCCCGGGGCGTGCAATTGGTTTAAAGGCGGGACGAGAGCATTGCCTCTCTGTCGGAACTCTTTGCACGGCACGCTGCGCTAGCGAAAGTAACCAGCGACCTAGCCGTCGGCATCGTGAAAGTGAGGAGCTTGAGCACGTGCACAATTTCCCGTGATCTACGTAGGCGGCTGATTCCGGAACAACGGCACTACGCAAAACCACAGAGCCCAGAACTTGGCAACAGCTTGATATCCTCTGTTAATCTCCTGCCTCCCCCGACAAGAAATCAGCTCGGGCAGACATCTCGCTAGTTAAGAACAGAACATGGGGGAAAATAGTCTGGAGAAAGGAACGTCTTGCTTGCTTTTGTGCTCGTCGGCCTACATATGCTCAACTACGAAAATGCTTCTCCATCCAGCCTTCAAAATGGTACGCGCTACGGTTGGTGTAGCTATGGTAGATATACACAGCACTTGGGAATAGGATAAGCCCATGGGGGCAAACAAAGGAAAAAATGAATGACAAGGTACAAGCAAGCAAAATCCATATGCATGTATCAAACTCCGTAGTATAGCAAACAAGTGGTAAAGGGAAATAACCCAACCTCCTCTGAGCATAAAACCCATGCAGACAAGGAAAACATGATTAGCGGGCTGCCACAGTCTGTGTGTGAAGGAGAAAAAGGGAGGCTGTTGCCGCCGCCGTAAGAGCGTTCTACAAGTATGTACGATATAGACAAAAGAGAAAACCCGAAAGCAAAGGCTTCAGTCGTGCGAGGCCGGTTTGTGTACGTCAAATGTGTCCCTTGCCGGCCCAATTCTATTCGTCATTAGGACATCCACCATCTGGACGAGCCTCTGGCTGTCCATGAAGCCTCCCGGACCGCCATGGAGAGTCTTGTCGGCCGGATGGTGATGCTTCGGTGCGTATACGTGTTTGTGGAAAAAGGTGTCGAAAGAGACGTCTAGACTGCTTCGCTAGCTGTCTTAGACGAGAAAGGATGTGTGTCGAGTGCGGACCAGTAGATGATTTCGCCAATGTCGTCGAGGTTGAAACAGTGTCCATGCCAGATGCCAACATTCAAAACGGATGGCCGCCAAATCTAAGTCGAACATTATCCCAATTACCGAACGCCAACCGGGGGACGGGGTCCAAGGCTGCTTTGGCTGCTGTGCGCAGAGTTTTCTGTGGAATCTACTGCTTTTGCGCTAGCGGAACTATTTGATGCGCTTCCAGTCAGACTGCGAACTTGGGGACGAGACTTGGGCGGGTAGAGATTGCTCACCCCAGCGTGTTGTTCAACTTGTTGTGGTGCCACCTCGTTTCCAGGGTTTCGTGGCATGGGCTGCCTCATGCCAGGAGGCGATGGCCGCCCGTTAGGAATCATTCCATTTGGGGGCATGCCGTTAGGAGCCATGCCATTGGGAGCCATGCCGTTTGGTGGCATGCCGTTGAAGCCGTTTGGCGGCGATGGTCGGCCCATGGGACGCGGGCCCGGACTGAGCGGGTTGCCAGGTGACTGGCTCATGCGACGGGCGTTTGGTGCAGGGTAAGCACCGTAGCCTGCGCCCCCTGAAAGCTCATCTAGACGAGCCGATGTCAGTGAGTTGGTTCTGGATTGCGCGCCCATAGCACCGCGATCGACGTGTCCGTAGCGGTCGGAGGAGTAGCCCATGAGGGGGTTGTTCATGATAGAGTCGTGGAGACCAGGAACATCTGCCATCAACCGAGCACTACTCCGATTCTTGTTCATCCCCGGACGTCCAAATGGGCCCCTGCCGCCCCTGTTTGGTCCAGGCGCGAAGCCTGCGCCCTCAGGGTTTTGACGAATCTGCTTGGCGCTGGGTGCTGAGCGGTTGCGACGCGACGTGACGCTCATCATGTCGAAGTTGTCGGGGTCGATGATTGGGCCTCCACGACCGCCCATGGGATCGAAGAAGTCATCGCCATCGTCATCATCGTCATCAAATCCGCCCATTGATGGGGGTGGCGGAGGACGTCCCCGACCACGACCCATCGGACCCATGGGAGGCCCCATGGGAGGTCCCATAGGACCGGGACCCATTGGACCACCACGTCCGCCTCGCATGTTCATCTCCTGCTCTCTGATCTGGAGTTCTCTCTGCCTAAGCATCAGTTCTCTCTCGCGAAGTGCCAGGTTGTTGGAAGAGCCTCCGGCGCTCTCATAGGGACCGCCATTGACAGCACCGTCTGGAACCATGTCGTCGTAGAGCATGAGGTGGGAAAACTCCTCAAGGTTGCCGGGGTCCTCGAAGGAGGGACGCCTGTTGGGACCTCCGTTCATCCTAGGAGGGTAACCGTTGGGGCCCGGGGGCGGACCACGACGCATCATTGGAGGACCTCCGTTGATTGAAGGAGCACGGCTTCCCGGGCGAGGGCCGCCCTTCATACCGTTACCGTTCATCATGGGCCCTTGGGGAGGGGGCCCACGAGGCATCGGCGCCGAAGACTGTCTGGGAGGAGGTTGCATGCCATTTTGAGGAGATTGTGTGGCGGGAGCTGGAGCAGCTGGGCGTGTTCGGTTGACGATGTTGAGGTGATGGAGTGTGGCATACAACGTCTCGATCCGAGGCACGGCGACACCAGTTTCTTGTGCAATCTTGAGAGGGGACCCGAGATACGTCTCGATTTCCATCGGGCGCTTGGCCTCAAAGTCCATCCACATGGTGCTGTTGTTGTCCTGTGGACGGGTCATCTCTTGAAGCGTTGTCTCGCGGAAATCGTCGGGGAATGTGCAGTTGGAAGCATTTGCAAGCGCGATCATCTCGTCGAGCACTCCGGTGATGAGAGCACGCACGCCGACCTTGTCCATGAGTTCAGCGTGGTTGGGTGTCTCGAATACTACACTGGCAGGGTGGAAAGCGATTGGACTGTGGAACGTTAGTTGATGATGTGCGACCATGGCACAAATGACATACCCTATCATTCGCTCGAACTGCTGCTGTCGTATGTTGGACGAGACCTTGCAGTCGACCTGTCCGGAGCTCAATGTCATGGCCAGGGCCTCGGCCATGTCTGACTGGATCTGCGCAGGAATGTTGGCATTTTTGTTGGCAGGACCAACCCAGATGTCGGTCGCGCCTTTGTGCTCGAATTCGCTAGCTCCGAGCTGCGAAATTTCTGCTCCCGATACCAATGAAAGCACGACGTTTGTGGGAAAACGCTGCTCGAGATAGGATTCAACGCCAAGGCTGTGTGTAGTGTTCATAAGGATGCACGTATGCTGAGGGGAGACGACCGACTCGATGATGTTGGCGATATCGTATACATCGGGCAGGGCTTTTACGCAAAGGAGAACGTAATCAAAAGGCTGCTTGGAAGAATGGGCGGCATCTTCGGGTGTGCGGACGACTGAGGATGTTAGCTGTACGTCAAGGATAACCGTGAGCTCGTTGCCTTACCAGCATGGGGCTTGAATCGCTCGTTGCCGTACAGGGCGGATCTGTGGGCGGTTAGTGAGTGGCCAGAGCAGGTGCGGTGGCGGGAGGGCGTACTTGAATGATATGCCGTACTGGGCAACGCTCTCGTATCCCGACTTCCATACGAGGGTGACGTCGCAGGCATTGGTTGCTTGCAGTCGCCATGATAAGAAGGCCGAGACGGCATTACCGCCCACTGGAGAGAGTCAGCAGTTGTTCGGGCGCTGTGATGACGCGGCCCAACGCCCACGATGCAAGAGCAGGCGTGGGCGGCGTATCTGGTACAAGCAGAGCGTGTGCGAGGGCAGCGGAGCCGTCGGCTGCCGTGCGACGCTCGCGGGGAGATGACGCACCTGACAGAATGCGTAATCGGGGGACTGCTGGAGCCATGTTGGGAGCGCCTTAGGGTGGGCCGCGAGGTGACAGGCGACAGCGGCGGCGTGGTGAGGGTGAGGAGAGCCAAAAAGTTGGCGTTGGGAGCGCGCTTCGATGTAGCGCAATTGGCGGGCAACAACGGACAGCGGCAGGTGAATTATCGATTAAGATAGTAGCGGAAACGAGTGTGCGGCGGCCTGGGAGATGAATCACTGGGGCGACTCGTAGCAGAACATTAAGAGAGAGGCGCGGGTGAGGAGGCAGGACGGGACAAGACCAGACGGACTGGGTCGTGACGGGCGCAGACGGCGGAGGGTCAGGAAGCTACCACGACTGCTGGCGTCGGGTCAGCGTGAGAAGGAGCGCACGGCGGGACGCGGGTTCCACGGCAGAGTCTCTACAAAGCGAGCGGACGCAGGCAGCAAAGATGCAGTGCAGGGCAGAGGACAGAGGATGGGTGAGGATGCTGGGTGTCGAGGCAGCGGTAGCGGTAGCGGTAGCAGACAAGCAAGCAAGTGCAAGCAAGGTTGATGCGCTGCCACGCAGACTGGCTTGATATCCCGCTGACTGCCTGCTGGTGCCCACTAGAATGCTTTGGGCACAGGCCCTGCACTTATCGCTGTCGACGCCAAATCCATCGCTGATTTATTATGGGCGGGGCCGTGCCCGTCGTCATTGTTTTTTTGCTTCATAAAAAGGCATATGCGCGGCGTGGCGTGCACATTGCGCTGACGGTGCTCATGATTGCGACAGCGCGAACGCAGATCACGCATAGGCTGCCATTGCCTCTGCGACGCGCTGCAAACTGAGCGTTTTGTTAAGCGTCTTGCTGAGCAGACGTGGAAACACGCTGGAAACAAATCCACCTCGCAAGCCCTGGCTGCTGGATGCGTGCGCGGCATCATCCCGGCGAGCCATGGAGATCCGCTTCGCCCACATGCACTCGACGATCTGAAGCCCTCGCCTATCACGAAAACCTGCTGCACCTCGCGCTTGGTGTCGAGCGCGCCGGCCATGGCTAGCTTTATGTCGCCCTTCCTACACGGCGCTGGCACGCTGCCTCAACCACCTGCGCGCGTCTGGTTCACAACTCACCACCGTCAGCGCCAGCCCGCAACCGTGCTAGGCCCAATCAAACTCGCGTGCTAGTCGTCACTGCAGCTCCGCGCGTCTGACGTCGACGTTCGCTACGTCTGGGCCAAGACCAGACCGTCCCAACGCCTATTCCACCGTCGAACTGGGGGCCGTGCGACCGCTGTCAAGTCCCATCCTTGGTCCATCTCTCAACGGGCAGCCTGAAAATCCTCTAAAAGGGGCTGCCACTGTCCGAGATACAGCCCCGCCCAGATAGGGCTATGGCTAATTTCCACCTGGGCCGTTTGCACTGCTCGGAGCTTCATTACGCCCGCTGCTGCTCCGTCGAGTTTAGTCCTCGCGCAGCCTTGCTCAGTAGAATAACCAGTGGGCCTAGCTGTACCTTGGACTCGGTCTTTTCACCACCTCGCCGCGAGCGGCAGTGCCGCCCGGAGCCACTACCGTACCATTTCCTGCGACTAAACCCACCGACTGGAAATGCACGGCTCGACTTGCTTCCCGCACCCGAGCCGCGTGCGAGCTTACAAAATCAGACCAGAACTGGAGCGCCCAACATAGCCCGGGTACATGTGCCAGCAGCCAACACGACAGCAGCAATACACAGCGCTCGCTGTGTCTGAGGTTGAGCAACCCATCAATCTGCACTCCAATAATTAGCTGTCGCTCTTGCCACATTCTAATACGCCACCGGCTGCGTCGACCACTGCCAGCAGCCTGTGATATCGCCGCATGCAGCAGATCCGCGACTTGCTCCTGGATAGGACATCTCGCCAAGACATGCGCGAATCAATGTCCATGATCACTGCTTCCTTCGCCTACTCCGCGTACTCCTACCCGCACAACTGAGCTTCAACAGCTTCACATAATCAAACTGTGCGAGTTTATCTGGAACCGAAGCCATCGCTCTCGCGCTGTCGACTCCCGACCCACTGCGATCGAGATCTCGCTTCAGACGCGACCGCTCCTTCCTCGCCCATCTCATCTCTGCCTTGGCCGCAGGCGACTCTAACACAGCTAGTTGCACTCGCTCGGTGGTCGCTCCTTCTACTTCCGTTACGTAGCACATCAACGCTAGCCTTCACTCACTTAGCCCATTATTTGGACTCGCCCACGGTCTCCTTTCACACCGTGGTACGTCTTACATACAGAAGTTGCCGCGCGATGCCGGTGACTCTGACAGCGGGCGCCAGAAGGCGGGAATTACAACCACTCCATTTCGTCCGTCAACGTTGAAAAGCTTAACGCCTTAACCTAGCTAAGCAATCGCGCCTTTGATGTTCCTTGCGCGCGGGGCAGGGGATCCCGTATTCGTATCCTCCCGCTGCGTTGGAAGCAGTCGAACTACTAGCAGACGGCGGACGTGGAAAACGCGTTCAGCTAGGATGCACGCGTTCCGGCCAACGGTCGCTCAGCATGTTCCATAACATGCGTCGTATACACGGGGAGCGGGACAGCCTAGATGTTTCAACCGCTAACACAGCAATCATACGCGCTAACACTACAGTTGAGACGCCACATGAATGCGATCGAATATGTATGGGAAATGACGATTGCGATTTGCAAGCCTGCCTATAATGCAAAACCCTATCATATGTGGTGAGGCAACCGCTTTCGGAACGTCATCTCAAAATAGATCCCTTCCCCTCTGCCCATCACTTTACACGCTCCCTGAAGCTCATCTGCAAAGGGGCGACACGGCTCGCCGCATTATCAGCAAATCGATTTGACAGACGTCTCGCGATAGTCACTGCATTATTGAAACACGACTCTGCATCTCGTTACCTCTTATCGAATCACAAACTATGTGGCTTTAGCCTTCTGACATTTCGCTACCCATGTCTCATTTCAACCTCACTAACCGCTTCCGAGATCCTCGCTCTTGCTCCTGAGCGCCGCCCCGCCACCCGAGTCACTCTGCTCTTGTTCCTGACATGTGGCGCCACTGCGGCCCGGCAATGTGCGCGGCTGCCGAACAAGGGACTGGGTCGCCGCTGTCGATCTTCACACCACGAATTTCCGCAATAGAAATATCGAAATAGCAACGCGGTGATCATCGCCTTATGCTGAGCCCGACCTTATGGATGGTGGTCGCGATACGCGGCAGGCCCCTCCAAACCTTTGTCTCCCGCACACACCGCCTACCAACTTTACCAACTTCTGTCTGTCGGCTAAAGAGAGACCAATAGTCCCTGATGTTGACAAAATACCGATGATCTTCAACTCACCAATCGTCTCGTTTAGGGGCACCCGCGGCTCTGATCGCTTGCTCGGAACCTGTCGCAGCCGTGCTCTATGCTCCGCAACCATATTTTGACGTCTATCAAATCTTATTGATATGATATGCAAGTACGGACACGCCGTTGATGCTCGAACGGGAGTTGCAGAAGCGAGATGAGCTTTGGTAGCAGCCCTTGCCCGTGAGAGCGTTCAGCATATGGAACCCGCAGGCATCCCGCCAACTTTTCTCCGCTGACCTGCCGCACCAACAACTGTGCTCATATCGGATATGAGTAATCTATGCGATACCCATAGTATAGCCAGACGTAGTATATACCAAGTGGAGAGCGGATCTTATGTCATGTTCTGGTAATGTATCGGCTCGTAGATCGGTACATGTTCCCCGTGAACATATAGACTGGGGGCTTGCTTATAGCTGATATGCGGCTCGGGGCCCGCGATCTAGAGAAGAGAAGCTGTTTCCTGGTCTACATTCGTAAAGCACAGTCTCTGTTGCAGCGACTCTGTCATCCTCGCTACAAGATTGGTCGACTGTCCTACAAGTTCTTCAAGAGAATTACATGAGTCTAGTAGGCACAACACGAAATACCGAAGCCTTCAAGCTCATGGTAGGATCATGTCGTTTCCGAAACCAAGCCATTGCTAGAATTTGTAGTCGCGTTTGCTGTATGGTGTTCTGGCTGGTCGGTTCCAGATGGAATATTGACACGCAACTTCATAGCTTTTCGACACTGCTCAGAGGAGGCTGAACGTCTGTCGCATAGTGAAACCGCTTATAAATTCCCCGCCAGACCGGGAGAGCAAACAAATGTGTATCCAGCAGCCCTTCCCTACACAAGCACGTCTCAGCCTCGGTAACACCAGGGAAGAACACCTCAAGCACACCCGACTCCCATCCCACGCGTTCGGTAACCCATCCACAAGCCATCTGTACTTTTCTCTACCAAAATGCACATATACCCTTTCCAGACAACTGATCTACAGACCCTGAAGCGACGATGGTCGCTTACTGCGGCAGTGGCCGTGGTTGAGGAAGAAGCAAATGGGAAAAGCCCTCTTCTAGCCTCCACGCTCGAGCACTAAGGAGCCTATAATTAGGAATACGCTGAGAGAGACAGAGCTTCGGACTCCGATGTCCTTTCCATTTCTTCTTTGGCACGCGGCACTCTTCGGAAGCAGGGCGTGTTGGGCCTGCTTTTGCGATTGCCCGAGCCGAGAAGATGTCGTGCTCAGCCAAAGCAATGCGGGTAAGCGGAAAAAGAAACAAGGCACAGTGTCATGCTCGTGCTTGATGTCTAGAGCGTCGGAACGTTGAGATCACATTTGCGCAAAAGAAGTCATTGTGGACAGAAGATTCGCATATCAATTTCTTTGGTTCCTCTCATAGTGAGATAATAACTCTTGAAGACTGGAATTCAGAACAGCCTTCACCAACTTAAGAACCACCTTGCGCCGTTGCTTACGTGTTCATTGCACCGAAGGTCAATCGTGACTTTTGTCCAAAAGAAAGAACCCTCTCCTGCACCTTTTCCGTCACTCCGTCCGGGCGGATTTTAGTTGTCCATGTAGGTGGACGAGTTGATACCATCCTCGGGGAACTCAGGGAGCTCGACCTGGAAGCGCTCCTCGATCGACTTGAGGACAGCCTCGTCGTCTGGGCTGCTCACAAACGAGATACTGAGACCCTTGGTTCCGAAACGACCGGCACGACCGACGCGGTGGAGGTAGGCATCGGCCTTGTCGGGCATGTCGTAGTTGATGGCCACGTTGATGCGCTCGACGTCGATACCACGACCGAAGATGTCAGTGGAGACACAGATACGGGTCTGGAACTCCTTGAACTCCTTGTAGCGCTTGATACTAGAAAAATATTAGTTTTGAGCTAGCAAGTGGGGTACATTTGAGTACATACCGCTCTTCTTGGCTGATGCCAGAGTGGACAGCAGTGCTGGGGAAGTTGCACTCGCGGAGAAGCTTGTCGAGCTCAGAGCAGCGCAGAGTCGAGCGAACGAAGATGATGACCTGGTTGAACTCCAAGCTGTCGAGAAGGTCGTTAAGCTTCCGGTTCTTCTCCTTCTCGTCAAGCTTCATGTAGTACTGCTGGAGACCGTGAAGCGTCAACTTCTTCTCGTCATCGACGTAGATCTCGAGCGGGTTCTGCATGAACTTCTTGCAGACAACGCGCACCTCCTTGTTGAGGGTGGCGGAGAACATCATCACCTGCTTGTGCTGGGGTGTAGCGCGAAAGATGGCTTGAACGTCGTTGCGCATGTCTGTCAACTGTTAGCGGAAGTCGGTCAAGACAGACGGTTTGTACTAACCGGGCTGGTCCAACATCTTGTCACACTCATCGAGGACGAAGTGCTTCAGGTTGGCAAGGCGGAGATGCCTATCGCGGACGAGGGCGTTGATACGACCGGGAGTACCGACGATGATGTGAGGGTGGGTATCCTTGTTGCTAAGGAGCTCGATGTCCTTCTGAACGGGAGTTCCTCCGTAGAAGACACCAACCTTGACGTCAGGCAAGAACTTGGCGAAGCGGTTGTACTCGTTGCGAATCTGGTAGGCCAACTCGCGAGTGTGGCACATGACCAGGATAGTGGCGGTACCGGGTTCGGGCTTCTCGTCCATCTGCTGGAGGGTTGCGAGAACGAAGACGGCAGTCTTTCCGAGACCGGACTTGGCCTGGCAGAGGACATCGTTTCCTAGGATGGCCTGTGGAATGGTAACTTGCTGGACTGTAGGGCACACGTTATGTCAGAATGGTCTTTAAAACGGTCGAAAAGAAGCGTGGGAAGCGAAGCGTCCGTCCATCTTGTGTAGCCGAGGTTTTCCATCTAGCGCGCGTGCCAGTCTGTCTATCCTCCCCATACGCTCAATGGTGTACCTCCTCCTATACACCCGCAACATGCACTCCTCCTCTGAAACCAGTCCTTCGGGACCACGGTAGTGAGCCAATAGGCACCACTGGCTTCTCGATGCATATACCGGTGCGCCTGCGAAATGCAGTGCGCGTCGACGCTCGTGGGTAGCGGAAGGCACTCGGTCCCTCGCCACTTTGCTCGAATATAGACAGACCAGGCCGCATTACAGATAGTGCTCGTTTCGTAGATGGACAGACGCTTGTAGGTGGATAAGGCTGAGGGGAATTATTAGACTAACCCTCGGAAGGATGTTCGAAGCCACAGTCCGTGATTGCTCGTACGAGCTCGTCCTTGAGCAAGAAGTCGCGGAAACCGGTCGAGTGGATGCCGACGTAGCTGCCCTTCTTGTCGCCTGCAGCATCACCGGCGGTGACGCCGCCCTTGGTTGCAGCTGCGCTGCCGTTGGCGGGCGCATCAGTCGTCTGGATCTCCTCGTCGGAGTAGTCGATGAGATCTTCCTCGTGAGACATGATGGATTATGTGTCCGTGTAAGAGTGTGTGTGGTGTGTAGAGTCGGTGATTGCGCGTGTCGCAAGCAAGGCTGCCAAACAAAGTGGAGTCGCGACGGTACCGAGGCGAGGTATTATACTAAGAGCTACGAGTAGAAGAGATCAGCAGTTGTTTCGCGATTTCACGTAACGCGAATTCGACGAGGTTGCTGTGGCTTGAGAGGTTCGTGGTGGGCGGTGGACAAGAGCGGTCGCCGCGCTGATGTCGAGGTAAAAAGCTCGGGGCGCCTTGCTGGGCGCGCGCTAGGCCGCAAGCGGACTGCTCTGAATCACGACCCACCACTGCAAATCCTCTGACCTTCTATCATCTATCTGTGAAACCGTAATTTACGTAGCAGGCCAGACGACAATACAGCGGCGCATCATGAGCAAGGTCAAAGCACCAAAGACGAAGGGCATTCCGAACAAGCATCTGCACGCCCGCTCGACTTTTCTCTACCAAGCAGCCACATATCTGACGCTGCAAACGGCTACGCAAGAGGACGTCGCAGCTTGTGTCGCACGAGACAAAGATGATCGATCGATCGAGACCCAGCGACCTTCGCCGTTGGCACTCGAACTCGGATCCGATCTTCAACAGGTATCACGGAAAGGCCAGCTACGGCTGGCTGTCGACTTGAAGCGCTCCATGTGCAAAAGTTGTAACACAGTCCTTGTTCCTGGACGCACTCTTACTCAAAATATTGAAAATCCCAGCAAAGGCGGTAAGAAGCCTTGGGCAGATGTACTCGTCATCACTTGTCTCATTTGTGGCGGAAAGAAGCGGTTTCCAGTGGGCGCAACGAAACAACTCAAGAAGGCCAAGAGGATCACAACGCATACAAGTTTGTTGTCAAAAACTGCTTCGGAAGATGGCCAATGCTCAGAAACTACCTTTGCGACGGGTATTGACTGACTTGACGTCACGTTGTGGTTTATTCCACTCATTTGCTACGTGCCACGCCGGAATCGCTCAATCGAGGAACCCATGAAGGCCTCCGGAACTCTCGAATCGATTCACCAGGGGAAATCCGAAAGCTGCTATGGCTCAGACTGCTCAGATCAAAGTGAAATACACAGGAGCATTTGCCGCCTCTCAACTATGCTCGCTCCACGCACGTCCATTTACGCCACGAGAGGATCTAAAGTTTCGCCTGGACAACTTCTCCAGTCAAAAAGCCGAGCGAAAACATCGCATGAGAACAACTTGATCTTCACCAACCGTTCTCCTCAACGTAAACGGTCATGGATAGTCAAGCTCCCAAGGAAAGCATCTCGCCTCTCCAGTCTCTGCCACAAGAGATCCTGTCAAGCGTCTGCAGTTACCTACCGCAAGGGGCTCTCTACCAACTAACCCTCGTCAACAAAAATATCGGTCAGCGCGTAGTACCAGCCCTGTACAGTTCCTTCAGCCAAAATGGAGGCGACAGCATGCAAGTTCGACAGTACTTCAGAACCGCGGTGCGGGAGCCTGAGTTGGCTGAGCATCTTCGCGAGGTTACTATTCAGGGCTCTATCGAGATAACCCACAAGCAAATGCGGAAATGCCTCCAGAAATTGGACAAAGATACCTGGGCTCGTCGGCTTCACGAACAACACCCCCGTCTCGCTTACGATTACTTTTCGTATGGACCGGACTTGGCCATTGCTCTGTTACTGAGCTTGGAACCCAAGATACACTCTATTCGTGCTCTGCATCCTCCGAACCCCATAAAGAAAGGGAACTCATTTAAACTCCCCATCTATCTCGAACCCATTCGAGGCATTCTAGCAGCAGGCTCTCCACTGCCGCAATGGACCAATTATTTATCCACGTTAGAGATCACCCTTCGGACCACATCATGGCAGTGTATTGCCCCGCTGTTCCAGCTACCGGTACTCAAGACGCTGATTCTAAGTGGTGGAGGTGGATTCCACATGGCTACTGAGAATATGGAAGCTGCGATTCATTCATCACCGATCGAAGTACTTGACTTTGAAAAGTGCGCGGTCCCATTGACGACCATTGCACAAGCTGTATCTGCTTGCAAGTCACTGCGTGTCCTACGACATAGCGACTGCGACCATTGGGCAGCACCTCATCATTTGCATTTACTCCAGCAGTTACATGAGCATGCGAGCACTCTGCGCACCCTCAAGACGTGCTGCTGGCATGCCCCCAAGAGCACTTCGACTGACAATGGGATCTTGGCCAGCTTCATTGCTCTGATCGAGCTCGAAGTGCACTACTCTCATGCCGCGGATGATCTCCTGCCACCAAACCTCTGTCGGCTCGTCATATGCGCAACTACCCGCGACCGAGTATGCATCATGGAAGACATGGAAACACTAGCGCAAAAGCTCAGCAAGCGATCAAACATCGACGTAACACTGAAGTATCGGCACTACAGGAAGCCAAACTACGAGCTTCCAAAACTACGCGAACTGCCATCCGTGTTCGCCAAGTCTGATCTTAACCTGTCGCTTTACGTGTATCCTGTTGTCGGCTCATCATGTAAGTTGCCCGCAGTAACGTTCCTTTAGAACGAGCTAACAGTCAGAATAGGGTACTTGATCGCCAAGTTCGATCACCGCGCTGCATGGTTGTCGCAGAGACCTAGCGAAACAGGCGCAAAAGAGTTGAGAGCTTGGTCGAAGCGATTAGATTCGACGTACGATTACCGGGAGATTGTGCTCGCGGAGATCAAAAATATGGTCGGAAAGCACGAGAACCATTGGAAGAGCAAGGACTACGATCTCGACTTCATGCTACCGTATCTGTTTAGAAATCTGTACAAGGTCTGAGGAGAGTAGTCAGTTGACACGAAGATGCGAGAGGAAGGATGTATCTGTCACGAATGGGAAGGTGGATTGGAAGAGTAACGAACGGTAGCTCTTTCTCCAAAATGGACCTCGCTTCAAACACATCACCGGCGCTATCTCTACGGTCATCCTCCTGGTTACCTCCACCACCTGCTACTCACCAATTATTCCCAACTGCTCGTGAAAATTCTAATACCGACTCACAAAACCCGCATCGCCTTGACCTACCAACCTTCCACCCCCAAACCCAGGTTTTATACATCTCGACCACAGCACTCTCTCATACCGAAGACCATGGCATCGAACAACTCCTGTAACGGCGACGACGTCAACCCCCCAGCTTACTCCAGACTTCACGAGGACCATCACACCGACGGAAGCGCCCGCAAGAACAGCAAAATGAAGAGTGCGATCGAGCTCTGCATCCTCATTCCCGTCTTAGCCATCGTAGTTCCACCCGCGATAGTGCTCAACGTGGGACGATTAGTCGTAGGTGAGTAAACGACCATATTGCACCTTTTGTTACGACCCTGTTGCTGACTTAGTACCTAGAATCGCTTGTAGAAGTTAAGTGGTCAGTCAAAGACCGGAACTATACGCAAAGGGAGCAAATGGCTCGAAGGACGCTAAGGATGGATGCTCGGCAAGCGACAAGATGAAGCTGGTACTTGAGTGAGCAGAGGAGAGGAGGTGAACGGGTTGTGCTCTTGATTCAGCTTCCTCTGGTAATGCTGTGTCAGATTAGTCTTCCTCGATACGGCGATACATTTCTTTGACGGAACGAGCCCTGAGACCCGTATGAAGATAAACATCGGTATTGCTTTGTACCTAGACTGCAATCAAGACGCTTAATTGTGCAAGTAAAGTCTATTCTACAATTATCGCAAGAGCATTGTGCTGTATTCTCCATTCGGTTCCCCTTCACCACTCACCACTCATATCTCACTGATCGCAAGTACTCCAGCACTGTATCACAAATCGCCCATCGTCTTACCCTACCAACTTCCCGTCACAAACGCAAAGACTTCGCAGTCCATCTAAAACACCTTCCCAAAACACCAACTTTGGTCTTCGACAAATCCTGGCATGACCACAACTTCTCATCCTCAACTGACTTCCACTCCCACGAGAAACAGTACACCAACAAGAACTTCCGCAGAGCTATCAGCACGATGGTTGCGTTCAATATGTGCACACTCCTTCTGTGCCCGGTGGGATTCTGTGTGGAAGGCGTGACTAAAGGTGAGTTAGATACCGTCGGGCCTATTAACTCGCCCTCTCCTGCTGACATTCCATCCAGGTTCCCTTGCAGCAGCATGGCAGTCGACGATAGGAAACGTGCTTGTAGGAAATGTTTTCTCTTTCCTCCAGAGCGCTGGAGCCGGTGGACAGCAAGTCTTCAAATAGTTCGTCTGAACGCCATGACGGATCCATACAAGCTGGCCGAAGAAAATATAAAATGGCCAGTTCAGAAGCGGTCTTCGTCGGTCTCGACGCTCATACTCTATGATGTCGACATCCCATCTACTTGGATGAAGCTCATGATCACTTCCTGCAAACAGCTATCAAGATTTGAGTATGCTGGTCCGAAGTATCACGGGTCGGCATATATTTTACCGAACATCATGTCTGATCTTGAGCAGCAGCAAGATTCGCTGCGGGTTCTACACCTTGCTCCAAAAGACGATGACTGTCGGGATGAGCCTGATCTGACCCACGCTCGCATCGATGGTTTCCACCGATTACATGCCCTGGAAAACCTCTCTACATCATTTCGAGTATTGCTTGGTACACCACCAATGAACTATACCGGCGAAGGAGATTGGAAATACCCTCGGATGCGGGATATACTTCCCCATAGGCTACAAGAGTTATCTCTGTCTACAACGGCTACGATGGTATCCCACAACTACCATGATGGATATTACGATCTCTTCAAAAGCGCTCTTCCCATACAAGCAAATGGTCTATACTTGAAGAAGATCCGCATAGCATACTCAGACATGATCCAAGGCGATCATTCGTTGCCCTTCAATCTCTGGGACATCAAGAACTTATACGTTGCACACGGAGTGGAGTTTGACTACTCTATATCCATCAGCGCAGATCGAGACGGTACGTGAGCCTTCAACCCAGCCCTTTCCATTCATCCATTTACCGCAAATGCTAATAGCAAGCGTTCGGGTCTCGGCATTACCTTGTGTCAACGTTTGTCACTTCCTTGACTACATATCACTAACGCTTTTACATAGAGCCGGGACTATCTCTTACAGATGCGCACATTAACGATATGGTTTCCATGCTCAAGAGTTACGGGCCGAAGGCAGTCGAAATGGCTCATCACTTCACTTGTTTCGGAAGCCAAATAGTGCAGAAAGTACTGTCTGAACTAGGCTATTCCGAAGACTGGATAAGCAGCGAGGAAGGCCGGAAGTATATGTTCGTATCGTGAGCTATTTATAAGCTTAGCATCACTAGCAAGACCCTGGTTCTTCGATTTCCTTCATCCTGCTGAGTAAGACCGATGCTTGTTGGGGTAGACAAAAAGCTTAAGTTTTGCTTACTGAACGGGACCATCGCACCGAGCCGGTGTCATCCATTCTGTAACGTAGCATCGTATGCCTGAAGATCTCCCGTGTCAGACGTATTCTTGGGTGAAGCAACGCCCTATATCCCCGTTCCTACCTTCCAATACACCAGCACTCAAACTATGACGTCGCAACTACTACATCCACACTTCGTCTCACTAACGGAATCCCGCTCCGAAAAACACAATCCCATCTGCAAGCGAAAACCCTCATCGCAGCCCAACCCCACGCAGCGCCACAATGCCCTCAGGTACATGACACCTGTACCTCCCTCCACCACCAGAACCCACAATCTCGTTCTTTTTTCGCATCGACGATGAAAGGGCGCATCGCATGTGATGTATATACAATGTTCTAGTGTGTTTCCACGCACAGCCCACCCCAATTAAATACATATTGCGAGCATACACCAATAGCGCCGTTTTCGCGGATCAGGTACCTATATCAGCCGGTTGTTATTACCACGTGAGGGAATGCGCACCTTGGCGATCGGACGGTATGGACTATGTGGGGCCAAGACTACCGTGCGCCGTGTATGTGGTAGTGTGTGTGGGATGTAGTGGGTAGGTAGTACTTGCGAGGATGGTGGGTGCGATGGTGGGATCTGGACCTTGGGGGGCGGCTGGTGAGCCGGCTGTGTGGTAGGTGGTCGGTATCGTTATCTGAGACTTGTATTACCACCGAGATATGGGATTTCGTTTTGCTGACTGTGTTATTGGATTACGTTGATGTCACATGCAAAATTGGTCCAAGGTTGAGGTTGATGTGATGATGCTGTTTTATTTTTTACTATTTTGCTTCCATTGCAACTAACTTGAAATTGAATCAAGAAATGCCCTTCGTCTACCCAATGCACATCTAAGAGAAAGCCCAAAACTCCATCCGCAAGATGCGCAATGCCGCTATATTCCCTAACATCCTGTAGCACATATTTCTGTACTGTGTTGAGCCGACCCGTCTCCGTCTAAGATTGAGTTCACGCCGAAACTCTAAAAGTCCCAAAGTGTACCGAAAGCGTGCATACCTTCCTTGGCACACCCCTGCATCATCTCATCGTTGCCCTGGCTGTTGCTCGTAATGAAGATGACCTCAGCGCCGAATCTCTTCCACGTATCTCTCAACAACTCCATTGTGTCCGGGCGGCCACCCCGCTTCTTGCTGTCCCAGAGGATCATGCGCTCGGGCTCGATGTGCTTGTGGATGAGACCTGTGACGGTGGGGCCGAATGTGCGCTCTTGGTCGGAGCCGATCCAGATGAGGAACCAGTTGGGAGATTGGATGCAGGTTGAAAGGGCGGCGCCGATGCCAGTACCGGTGCAGATACGGATGCCGCGTTTGAACATTGCAGAGGCGTGGCCGACGCCGGCTGTCACTGTGTTAGCAATGGAGATGCAAGTGGAGTCATGCAAGACATACCGAACTTGAGCTGTCTTGTCCATACAGTCTTCGGTGGGTTGGCGACGAGGTTCTTGGTGAAGTCTCCTTGAACACCACAGATCATATAGTGATTGGTAGCATTGCGGCCCTCGCTGATGATACCAAAAGCGTGGTACTCCATGATGGACGTGCGACTGATTCGTCCTAGAAGACCTTGCTGCATGCCGCGCTCGAACTTGAGGACCGCGACTTTTGGTGAGGGGATCTCGACTTCGACTGGCACCTCTCTGAGGGTGACCCATGGGATGAGGATGCTACGACTAGTCAGTAGGAGAAGTTGATAGAAGTATGGGCGCTCTTACAATACTGTCATGAAGACAGCGAACCATAGCTCTTGTGCACTGAGTAAGCTGTGGGCGTCGGTCCTCCACTCGCCACGCTTGATGTCGTAGGTGTTGCCCAGGACCACGAAAACCCATGTCATCTAGCGAGCGTTAGTATGAGTCTTCGGAAGAACGCAATCGGGATGCATACTGCGAGGCCTAGCCATCCAACAAATCGGTGATGCTTCTCGAAAACGTTGTGATAGGTGCTGACCAGGGCGTAAGCATTGTGTCACAGAGTTACACGTCCGTTGGAACTACTCACTTGCGAACCCAAGGGAAGGCGCTCAGGACCGAGATGATGATGAAGACGTTGGTGATGATACCGCTAGCGATCACAGCAGGGTGCTGTACGGCACGATATTTGATGATGTCGACGCACTTGTAGATGAGCCAACTGGGCTTTCTGTTAGTACTATTTGCAATGGATGTATGCAGGTCTACTTACGCAGCCCCAGACAATGCGCATCCAGAATGTATTCCCCCGACGTGCTGCAAGACAGATGTTGCAGCTAGCTTTACGCATACTGGTGCCCACTACAATGACTCGTCAGAAAGACTCGTGATAGAGACAGGGGAAGTACATACCCCTAGTCCGTATATGGCGACCATGTATAAGAAGCGCATCCATAACTCGTTTCTGAACAAGATGGCGGAGAGTAGGTTTCCCAGTACCAAAGCACCGAGGTGGTCCTCGCCATATTTGAAGCGACCACATGCTGTCAAGACGATCCCCGTGAGGTTGAGTGAGACGACGAATACGAAAAACTTCCTGTATGTATTGAACCAGAGGTCAAAAAGGATCCACCGGCTGATCTTTGGCTTTTGAGGTTTGGCTCCTGCCGGTTTCTTCACGGTAGTGTCCAGTGCAGCAGCATCGGTAGGTCTCCGTCCCTTTGGCAGTGAGAGTGAGAGCTCCGGTACGCTTGTGCATGGTGTTATGCCTTGGTGAACAGGGGAAGCGGGAAGCAATGACGAAACAGTATATGTCGACCTCTTCGGCTCCATATACACAAAGCCAGGTGCGGTCAACTCCAGTGTACTATCGTACATGCCCTTTTCTGCATCATCGAGCGAATCATCGCTACGATGGCTAGTAAGAGGGCTCTTCGGTGTGAGTGACATATTGCTGGTACGCGGGAACGAGACCAGGGTCCGAGGAGATAGGCGGGAGGACGGTAACCTTGGAAGGCAAGGGCAACTGACAGGTGACGTTGGCCAAATTGGTAACAACGCAGGAGCGTTCGAGTGAACAAAGATTGGTAATGAGCACAGGCTAGACTGGGTGCTCTCAAGAAGTACTTATTGGGGAAGCAGCCATGAGGCGCACTGTCGTGTCATCTGGATCATCAAACCTTGCGGCGACACCATCCACAATTCATCTCTGGAGTATACGGTACCAATGTCCGTAAGCATCACAGTCAGACGAGCCCGATGATGGCACATTGTCCCAGACCAGCTTCCGTCGATCCCGGATAGATAGCTACCCAGCTGAACCAGTTGGCGGTCGGCGCCTCCACTCCGTGCTCAGCTCGTGAGGGATTCCCCGTGGGGAGGGCAAGGAAACCCGGGACGGCCTATGTCGGTAGTTTCTGCTCAACGTTGGGTTAGGAAGACAACCCCACAGCCTCGATATCGATCCGGAGACTTCTCTCGGCCGTGACGACGTCGTCATAACGCATCCGATATTACAGTCGTACAGATATGTCGGCAGGCTAGGATCACGCGACGAAGGTGGAATATTGCAAGAATATACTAGGGGGTCAATGCGGTGGCTTCGGTGTGACGGCTGGAAGTAACTTTTGGTGAAAAAGACAGGGATATAGAAAGCAGTAATAAGGCGGAAGCGCACGTTCCCGATTTCGGGAGGTCGTTCAACCGCGTCTAGTTGCATTAGCGACGACGCGATAACGCGATAGTCAGCCATGCCGAGGCGCGCCCATCGCGAAGTCACTCAATCTAGCTAATCTTGATTTCTAGTTCTTCACGTACAGATCGACGTACTCGTCGATGTCCATGCTATCGAGCGACTTGGGATCCTGCGCTAACGCGACGAGCTTGTCAACGTGTTGCGACGGGTAGTGCGGGCCGAGATGCCTCTTGAACTTGGCAAGAATCTCGGGCTTTGCTTCCTCACGACGCAACCGATGGCCAAGCGGAGCCTCGACAACCTCTTCCTCCAGCACGGTTCCGTCCTTGAGCGTTACGGTCAAGGCGTTGGAGATGGTGCGCTTCGCAGGGTCGTGGTAATCCTTGGTGAATTGCGGGTCCTCTACACAGCTAATGCGCTGGCGGAGAGACTCGACGAGTTCCGATGTAGCAGCTTCGCTGTCATCTGGGTAGTCAGTGGCTTCAAGGCGGTTGAAGACAAACATGGTGGAGACCATGTACTACCATGATGTCAGCATAGGCGGCGAACCACGAAGGGTGAGACTTACTTGAACGCAGTGATCACGGTCAGCAAAGTTCTCCATAGGCTTGAACTGCTTATCGATGATACGAATGCAGGCCTCATGAGTCCGGTTCACTACACCCTCAATGTCTTTGGCGCTCTTACCCATCGCTGCAAGCTTCTTGTTCAGGCGCTGCGCCGCTTCGACCGCAGTCTGTGAGTGGAACTCAGCTGGATAAAATTAGTAAATGGCTCAAGAGTAGCATTGACCTGAAGGAGTCGTCTTACCCGGATAAGAGACCTTGAAGAGAACGTTCTCCATGACGTAGCTGCCATAGCCTCTCTGGAACTGGAAGGGCTTGCCGCCAAAGTTGACGTCGTAGAAGCCCCAGGTAGGAGCTGAGAGAACAGTAGGCAGACCCTGCTCGCCCTTCATGACCTTCAGCACGAGGTTGACGGCGGTCTGGCAAGCATCACCAGCGGCCCAGGATTTGCGCGACATGGTGTTGGGCGAGTGCCTGTAAGTACGCATAGACTGGCCATCGACAAACGCTTGCGAGATGGCATCCCGAGTCTGAGCCTCGCTGAGACCCATCATCTTGGAGACGACAGCTGTGGAGGCCAACTTGACCAGAATGACGTGGTCCAGGCCGACCTTGTTGAAGGAGTTCTCCAGGGCCATGCAGCCCTGGATTTCGTGTGCCCTGATCAT